ATCTGGCCATGATCAGTGCCCTGCTCTGTATGGCCGCGATGTATATGCACCATGGCCCTGTCACACCCCTGGACCAGGAGGTTCTGGCTAAGCAGAGGCAGCTGGAGCTCCTCCTGGGTCCTAGAGGCAGCAGGCTTCCAGCACCCTGTAGTTCAGCTGAATTCCCCCTTGTTCCTGAACAGCAAAACAGCTGCCTGCCTCCCCGGTACCTTGCCTCCCTGTGCCCCATCCAGAGGGGACCAGAGCAGGATGGGCAGCTCTGTATGAGGTCTCCCATGGTCCCCTGCAGCACCTTGTGGTCCAGCCCCCGCCTTTGCCGTCTGCTCCTCTCCTCTCACTGTCCCTGGCTACTGTCCACACCCGTTAGGCTGTCCTGTGTGCTGTGACTCTACCCTGCCAGGCTTTGCTTCGGGCCCTCCCCTGGCCCCGGCTCAGCCAGCGACCGCTTCCCCAGTGGCACACACCTGTGGGCAGGTGGTTAATGGCTCTGAGGAGACCCCGTTGGGAATTTTTCTTACTGACACGTCCCCATCACCCCTTGAAGTTGCACTGGGCATGCACAAGCCAGTCCTCAGCCGGGACTCACTCCGCGAGGCCCCAGCATCTAATGAAAGACGGGCAGGAGACAACTTACTGGGAGCTTTAAGAGTGCCAAGTGGAGCCCGTGGTGCCTGGCATAGTGCCAACTGTGACCACTCTTGCACAGCTCAGAGGGGAGGAGTCACTGGCACATAGAAACATCACACATGCCACAGTGAACTTTCTGAGCTGGGCCAAGATCTCGGAGCTCCCTGCATCTCACTTCCTGTGAGAAGCTGCACAGCCAGGTCACCTGGGGCAAGGCAGCGATGCCCCTCACCAGTGCTGTGACCTGGAGCCTCTGCTGTGCTTCGGCCGATGCTTTACCTGCTGACTGTGCTTTGCCGAGTTTGTGAAGCCTTGCCTGACCCATTTCCCTCCTCTAACAATATCACATGCAAACCTCGAGTGCTAGAGCCGGTAGAATCCCAGATGGCAGGTGGCTCCCATCTGGGTGGCAGTTGGGGAGGACACAGGAGGCAGTGGGTTCTACTTGAGAGACCACCCTGCTCTTTGCACAGGGTGGTATGGGCGTCCTTGGTGTCCTCGGCCAGTCTGGGCACAGCCTAGGAAGGTCTGCTTTGTCTGCATCAGCCCCAGGGGTTAACGTTGCCCAGGCCACACCTGTACCACCTGTAGCAGGGCACTAAGAATATAAAGAGCCTTTCCTGCCTGGCCATAGGGGTCCCTTACTCCCAGACGTCCAGCCCCAGTGTGCCCCAGGCAGTGGCAGCAGACAAAAGCTAGGCTCCTGCTTCCTGTGTTAAGCCCACACGGGCACTCAGCATCCTGCCAGCCCCTTCCTGTCCACTGCTTCATTTACCATCCCAAGCAACCTATTGTCACCTCCATGGGCATACTGAGACACTGATCGCAGATGACTCGCCCATCCAGCTGGTAGCCGAACGTCACGGAGTCAAGATTCAACTCGCATCTCCCTGACCCCAGAGCCTGCTCTCTGAACCCTCATGTGTGTGCGGTGGCCTTGCAGGAGCCAGGGGTTAGCATGACAAAGTGGGAGCATCCCCCAGCCTCCCAAAGGCAGGGGCCAGGCGAGCCAGCCACACTCCGCTGCTCTCCCCCAGTCCTTGGCCAGGCTGCTGCTTCAAGGGGAGCTGAGAATGAGAGTGGTGAAGCTGTGAGTCAGGCATGCAGTTCTGCCAAGCAGGTGCAGGAGCGTGACTCAGGTCTGTGTCTGCCAGGTATGTGTAGGGGTGTAGCCAGGCACAGGAGCCAGCAATGGCTCCCCAGTGCCCCAGGTAGCCTCCACTCTCCAGATGATCGCACTGATGCTCACGCATCAGTGAGCGTTGGGTTGGGTCCACGCTGAGATGTGACCCAGAGCTTTCTCTTTCCTGGATCTGTGTCCCTGTTAATGCCACTCCCTGTCTTTCTCCCTGGCAGCAGTGGAAAGTTCAGAGTTAGAGCCAGTCTGGCACCCACCTCAGCCCCAGGCGGCCCTTTGCCTGGCAGTTGTGGGCTTGTTTATGGAAAGGAACGTGGAACCACCCCTGGGCAGCCTAACAAGTGCATGGGGTGAGCTCGGGTCAGGGCCTTCACCCCTGCCCAGCCTGGCCGCTCGGCAACCTCTGGCCTAAATGGAAGGCTCTCCCCTAAGTGCCTTATTGGCCTGCAGCCCGGCCCTGTGCTGGGTGGGGGCAGGGCTGGAAGCCCAGAGCAGGCCTGGGGCCTTGCCAGCAAATCTCTCAGGAAGCCGTCTTCTTTTTCAGCCCCATTGAGCTGTCCCCAGAGACGTCATCATGGGACGGAGTTGGTCACAAGGTGCCGCCTGGCCCTAAGACAGGGAGAAGGGGGCCACACAGGGTGAAATCACCGGGCAGCCCAGGGCCGGAGTCAGAAACCGGATCCCGTGGACCACCTCCCTGGCCTTGCTCAGCCTGGGCCATCATCAGGCTGGAAATGATCAGTATGGGTGGGGCGGGTCAGCAATCAGATCCTAAATGGTTTTCCCAGAGAGCAGAGCTGCCACGTGTGTGGTGGAAGGCACGCCACACTTGGCTCCGAGCAGAGCTGATCTTCCTTCAGTGTCCTCCTGGGTGAGGCTACAGGATCTCGGCAACTCTGCCAGACCCCTCACACATCCTCTTGGAGGCCCCACGATTGGGCAGGAAGGAGCTGGCACTGCAAGCCCTGGATGTGAGCCTCAGGTTGGCCCCCCACCTAAGACTTGAATGAAGAAGGATGCTCCGAGCAGCTTTCCAGTAGGTTCAGCCCTGACACCTGCAGGAAAGGATCCAGGCTGGCTTTCGGAGTGCGTTTCCTTCCAGTCCCGAAGCGTGGGAGGCACCGGCTTTCTGGAAGCTCAGCTTAGCCAAATACAAAGCCACCAGTTCCCCAGTCCTCCCCGTGCTCCGTGGCTAGCGTGCCCTTTCGGTAGTGAAATCTCTGACTTCAGCTTTCTCTCTTCCACCTGCTCCCCAGGCCCTGCCCTCTACCAGACCTTGCCCAGAGAGGTAGGCAGCGCTAATTATAGAGGTGAGGTGCTGCCCTTGGAGCCTGCACCCTGATTCCAGTGGGGTCAGTGTCTGTCAGCGCCCCCTGGAGGCCGTGCTGGGACCTGCAGGCTGGTGGCTCTGCACGCTCAGCCTCCACAGGGGGATACTGAGGCAGCAGTCATCCACCTATGCAAGCCCAGCTAGCCATGGGTCAGAGAGAGGGGCCCTTTCTGTTAAGATTTATTGATTTATTTGAAAGGCAAAATTAATGGCAGGGATGGGGCAAAGAGAAATCAATCGTCCATCTACTGGTTTACTCAGCAGGGCTGGGCTAGACAGAAGCTCAGAGCATGGTCTCCCCAGTACCTGGGTGATCTTCCACTGCTTTCCCAGGTGCATTAGTAGGGAACTGGATGAGAAATGGAGCAGGAGGGACTGAACCCATGCTCATATAGGATGCCAGCATGGCAAGTGACAGCTAAGCCTGATGGGCCACAGTGTTAGCTCCGAAAATAGATTTTTTAGGGGCCCGGCACAGTGGCCTAGTGGCTAAGGTCCTCACCTTAAACACATCAGGATCCCATATAAGCACCAGTTCTAATCCCGGCAGCCCCACTTCCCATCCAGCTCCCTGCTTGTGGCCTGGGAAAGCAGTCAAGGATGGCCCAAAGCCTTGGGACCCTCACCCACGTGAGAGACCCTGAGGAAGCTCCTGGCTCCTGGCTTCGGATCAGCTCAGCCCTGGCTGTTGCAGTCACTTGGGGAGTGAATCATCAGGCGGAAGATCTTGCTCTCTGTCTCTCTTCTCTGTATGTCTAACTGTCCAGTAAAAATAAATAAGTCTTTTAAAAATAGGTTTTTAATTTGCATCTAGGGACCATGCTGTAGTGCACTGAATTAAGCCTCAATCTGCAGTGCTGACATCCCATATCGGCACTGGCTCGAGTCCCAGCTACTCTATTTCCCATCCAGCTCACTGCTTACGGCCTTGAAAAGCAGAACAGGATAATCCAAGTCCTTGGGACCTTGAACCCATGTAAGAGACCTGGCAGAAGCTCCTGACTCCTGACTTTAGCATGGCCCAGCCCTGGTCATTGTGGCTGTTTGGGGAGTGAACCAGCAGATAAAAGATCTCTGTCTCGGGGCCGGCACAGTGGCCTAGCAGCTAAAGTCCCCTCTTTGAACAAATCGGGATCCCATATGGGCACCAGTTCTAAATCTGGCAGCCCCGCTTCCCATCCAGTTTCCTGCTTGTGGCCTGGGAAAGCAGTTGAGGACAGCCCAAAGCCTTGGGACCCTGCACCCGTGTGGGAGACCCGGAAGAGGCTCCAAGCTCCTGACTTTGGATCAGCACAGCTCCAGCCATTGCAGCTGCTTGGGGAGTGAATCAGTGGATGGAAGATCTCCCTCTCTGTCTCTCCTCCTCTCTATGTATTTGACTTTCCGATAAAAATAAATAAACCTTTTTATTAAAAAGATCTCTCTGTCCCTCATTCTCTCTGTAATTTTGCATTTTAAGTAAAAACATTTTTAACAATACATTTCCATCTGTATTAAACACATACAAACTGATGTCTCCGTCATTTCTCCCCAACACATCCACTGTAAGAACTGCAGACATAGCATCTACATTGTAATGGGTGTGGTTGGCCATCTAGAATGGATTCAAGGTGAACAGGAAGATGTGCCTGGGTTATCTGCAGATACTCTGTCGTTTATGTAAGAGACCTGAGCGTCCGTGGACTGAACTATCTGTGCAGTGTTCTGGAACCATCCTGATCCCGACAACCCCAGGAGGATTCTGGGTCACAGCTTCACCGTTGTGGTAGCGTGGAGTGCCCCAGATGGTGCATGGCATGTGTGCTTTGCCCGGGGCCTACCTGGGCATCTTAGGGTCCTGTTCAGATAAGGGTTACAGGGACAGACATGATCTGGGGTCCCATCTTGTGGTTTCTCTGCCCACAGGGGGTCTCAGCGGAGCGACCATCATTGATTCCCTGGACACACTCTACCTCATGGAGCTCAAGGAGGAGTTCCAGGAGGCCAAGGCCTGGGTCCAGGACAGCTTCCACCTGAACGTGGTGAGTCAGAGACCCCTGAGGTGTGAGGAGCCCACGGGGCCCGTGAGGTCAGCTGCCCCCTAAGAACCCAGAGATGGTGGCAGTTATCTCCTCGGGCTGCACCGCCAACCTGTCATACGACCAGGCTGCGCGTTCTGGGGTCCGTGCTGCACACCCTCTGCTGTCCTCTATCCCCTGCCCCCACCCCCAGGTCCCAGCCTAGCCTCTGCCCCTTCCCCCCCTCCTGAGGTCAGCCAAGGCTCCTCCTGGGCACACTGCTCACCCCCCAGGCAGCCCCTCTAAATCACACACGTGGGCCAGGGGTGGAGGAGGTGGCTCAGCAGGGGGCAGAGTGGAATGGGGGACTGGGCTCTGGCTCCCCTGCACTTGTATCCCTTAGGGGTGGGGGCGAGCAGTTACAGGCTCACCTCCAGGTTCCCCCTCCCAGGTGTCCCTGGACAAGGACAAAGGTCTGGCATAAGGGTTATCTGTGTGTTTGATGGCACAAAAGCCTCAACAGACACATCTATTACCCCAGCGCAGTCTTCCTGCCCAGACCACAGGGACAGCCCTGGAGGGCTCAGCAGCCAGTAGAGTGAGGCCGTTGATGCGAACTTGGGGACTGGGAAGTAGAAGCAGGTGGGAGGGAGCTGGACCCATTCATCTGCCACACGTATCCCCGCCCCCCGCAGGCAGGCCATCCTTCCCCGTGATGCCACACCATGAGCCCCAGGCCTCGTGCCACTCCACGGACACATTGTGGGACTTCACTAGTGCACTGAGGCCACAGCAGGAACAGGCCCTTGTGGGGCTTGCTGCTAGCACAGAGTCTGTGAGCTTCCATGGGGCGGAGGCCCTCCAGGGTCCTGGGTGTCTGCCTCCCCAGCCTTGGTGACTTCAGCTCTAAGACGGGAGTGAGGATAACAGTCACAGTGCCAGGTGTGCAGGCCTGGTTGCAGGTTGAATGCTGCAGAGGGCTGTAAAGGGCATTGTGTGACACCATGAGGTGTGACAGCTGCAGTGTGATGTCATCGTGCTTCCGGCCATTAGGATGACCCCGAGCCTAGTCGGGGATGCCGGTGATCTGGGGGTGCTAGGGAACTCAGCACCCCCAGCCCGTCCTCCTGGGTGCTGCCTCTAGGCAGGAAATGGGCAGCAGGCAGCTGCCCAGTGACTGCAGAGCCTGGTGATCTCAGGCAAGCTGGCGCAGTTTCAGGAATAGAATTCCTGGAGGAAGGCAGGTGGGGGTCACCCCTCCATCTCTCTTAACCTTGGCTTTCTCAGTCTGAAAACTGGCAGTGAGCTTTGCTGCCACATCGGCCTGTCCAAGAGCCGTGGGGCTCCAGGAGCGCAGCCTCGCAGTGGCTTTGTCAGTAGATTTTCTCTCCCAGCTTGAGGGCCATCCCACTAGTTTCCAGTCATGCAAACCCTAGGCAGCAAGCAGGTGCACCGAACAGAGCCCTCATCACAATAGTGGCCCCCTCAGGCACGTTAGGAAGGCCACACCCTGCTCTGGCAGCCACCAACCTGCACCACCCATGTCTCACAGCCACTCAGTGTGGGGGTGATAACGGGTAGGAAACAACCAGAGATCCTGCCTGAAGCCACGGAAGAAGGACCAGTCGAGTTTTTACCCCAGATCTGGTCTTTTACTCCTTGATTTCCAACCTCAACTGAAGGAAGGAAAGAGAAATGATGAAGGCAGGAGTGGGCAAGCCCCTGAGCTGAGAGGAGCTGCAGGCTGCTGCAGGGGCACACCTGCCTGGCACCGCCGTCCAGCCCTGGGCCTGCCCTGTCTGCCTCTCAGCCTCTGCCTAGAACCTCCTGCTGATCTGCACCCCCAGAGAGGACTCTGTCCCCAGGGGCACCCCTCTAAGAAGGAAAGGAGACCCAACGAGAGGAGAATTTTCCTCCCCTCAGGCTAAGCTCCAGCCCAAGCTCCCTGTGCCAGTTTCAAGGGCCTTGGAAAACAGCCAGGCGTAACCTTGCCCATGGCCTCGGGCAAGGACTGGGGAAGGAAGCCAAGCCCGGTGTTTATTTGGAGCCTTAGAAGTGTGCAGTGGCAGCCGCCTGGCAGCTGCTCATCCTGCCTGGCTTTGGCTATGAAAAACGAGCATTGCCTGGTGCCCAGCACAGGTGCAGGGTGGCAGGTGTGGGGTGAGGGCAGGCTGGGGGAGACGGGGGCTGTGGAACCTGCATCTCACAAGTGTTCCCTGTGTGTCTGCAGAGTGGAGAGGCGTCCCTGTTTGAGGTGAACATCCGCTACATTGGAGGGCTGCTCTCTGCCTTTTACCTGACGGGGGAAGAGGTAAGTGAGCCTGCACACCCCTAGACCGGAAGGGGCTCCAGGGCACATCCTATCCCCACGGAACAGCAGAGGCCCACAGGATCTGGGGACTACCTGTGACCACCCCCGGCTTGCTGCCCCTTCAAGGGCCCATTTACCCGTTTTCCAAGTTTCACCCGCAGTCTCCTCGTCTCCAGTGCCTCAGGTTGCTACCCAGGTGAGCCCAGCTGGCCCCACAGTAAACTCTGAGGCCACACAAGTGGACCCATTCATCAGCCATTCCCATCCCCCCACATAGGCCACTCCACCCCATGATGCCATTCTTGAACCCCCAGGCCTGTGCCACTCCACAGCCACTCTTCCTCCCTCCCTTCCTGAGCCAGCAGCCACGTGTCCACTTCCTATCTCAGAGGGGCTAGCAAGCCACCATGGAGTGGCTGGTGCTGGTCGTGCATTTAGGTCAGAGGCCCCGTTCCGGGTGGATTGAGACAACTTCCAGAAGAGGGTGGCCAAGTGCTGCTGTGAGAGGCAGGTGCACAATCAGGGGTCTGCACTTCACGCCACCCACGCCCACCTGTCCATGGCCTGGTGCAAGTGCTTTCCGTTCCTGGGCTCCTCATCCTTCCTCCACCTGATGTCCTTCAGGTCAGAGAGCTCTGGTGACACAGGCCAGGGTTTGGCCCAAAGATTGATCAGCCATCAATCTGGGAGCCCACAGTCGCCAAGCATGGACGTTCTGAGGGGCACAGAATTCTCTGGAAACTGGGCATTTTTGTCCACCCCTGGGAGCTCTCCAGCAGCAGGGCGGCGAGGTTGACTGGGGCCCCAGAATATTGGTCACAGTCTGATTTGTTTCCCCTAGCCCAGAGGGGCTGCTCACTAAGACCTTGCCCCTGGTGTTTCTCTTGCCCACTGCCCTTGGTTCTGGGTACCCAGAGGTAAGTAATTCCACCTGCCCCAGCCCCTAGAGACCAGGGGCCCTGGAGGGGAAGCAAGTACCAGAAAGACTGCTATTGGGAAAGTCTTCCCCACTTCTCTCTGTGGTGCAGGCAGCAAAGCTGTGGTCAGGGTTGGAAGGCCACGGGTAGGTGCTTTACCCCTCTGTGGCCAGCAGCCTCTCTCCATCCGTGGAGCACAGATCACTGCTCGTATCTATTCGTCCCCCAAGATGGGCACCACCCAAAGCCTGAATGTCATTGGGATAAAAAAAAAAAAAAAAAAAACCGCGGGAGGGGCCCGGCGGCGTGGCCTAGCAGCTAAAGTCCTCACATTGAACACGCCAGGATCCCATATGGGCGCCGGTTCTAATCCCTGCAGCTCCACTTCCCACCCAGCCCCCTGCTTGTGGCCTGGGAAAGCAGTCCAGGATGGCCCAAAGCTTTGGGACCCTGTACCCATGTGGGGGACCCAGAAGAAGTTCCTGGATCTTGGCTTCGGATCGGCATAACATCGGCCATTGCGCTCACTTGGGGAGTGAATCATCGGATGGAAGATCTTCTCTCTCTCTCCTCCTCTCTGTATATCTGACTTTGTAATAAGAATAAATAAATCTTAAAAAAAAAAAACCCTAGGACAGAAAAGTGACAGGGGAACAGAAAAGCATGAGTGGACCCCATGAAGAGGGGCCATGGGGAAGGGGAGGGGGGCAGTTCAGGGCTCACGGGGGCTGATTTGGGGTCAGCGATGCAGGAAGGAGCTAGGGCTCACGGGTCCTGTGGTTTGCCCCTCCGTTCTCCAAGGTCCTCAGCTCAGAGAACACCCCCAGCTCAAGTCCTGACTTTCTGGGACTGTGTGAGGACAGGAGCCCCCGGGACCTGAGGGACAGCTGAGGGAGGGGCCCACGTGGCCAGGTCTAGCAGCCCAGCAGTTCCTGCCTTCCTTCTCCACCCCTTCCTGGCCCCTACTCACCTCATCCGGGTTGTCTGCCTTGTGTGCTGTCCTCAGCAGCTCCCATTAGTGGGTGTTGTCTCCGATTCGCAGAAGGGGCTCTCAGGACTGTGTTAATCCTGACTCCCCCCACCATGGGGTTAGGTGTCACACTGGCTGGGTGGCTTGGCTCATCCCCCCACACGTGGATCCTGGGTCTGCACAGGGCATCTCCCCCAAGCCTTGTGCATGGTGACAGCTGCCCAAGGCCCCAACCCTCCCCTGGACCAAGGCCTTCCCCAGCCTCAGCCAGTAGCTGCAGGAGGATCCCCAGGACTCCAGCCACCCCAGCTGGGGCTGGCAAAACACTTTATAGTTTGTAAGGCACATTTGCTTACATACATGCCATGTTCAATTTCTACAAAAATCTGGCCAAGCAGCCAAAGCATAGGCCACTGTGTGTGCCATCATGCGGTTAAAGAAAATGACGCTCAAAGCCCCATAGCTGCTACATGGAAGGATGAGAACCGGACTCCATCCAGCGCCTATCCATGTTGCCGCCTCTTGCCCTGTCGTGTAGCTGGGGCTGCTAGGTGGGCCAGACACCAGTCAGCTCTACATCCCCCGGAAAAGTGCTCCTCGGAGGCCCAGCACCCTCCCCCTCAGACTAGGCCAGCCTCTTCCCCACGAAGCTGCTGCAGGAGCCCCAGGTCATGGGGAGCCACGCCTAGCACTTCCTCACTGCTCATGTCGCCCAGCGCCCACCCTGTGCCAGGGGAGACCTCTGAGCTGAGCCTCCACTGCGTTCATTCACTCTCCACGGGCAGCTGCTCAGGTGTGAAATGACTCTCTCAGGAGCCTGGCGGGAGACAAGGCCCCCTCTGCTGGCTGTGCACTAGGTTTCCCCAGGGCAGCTCCCTGCTTCTCAGGAGACACGGGCTGTGAATGGGATTCCCAACAGATTCCTGCAGGCTTTTTTTTTTAAGTTTTATTTATTTTTTTATTATTATTACAAAGTCAGATATACAGAGAGGAGGAGAACAGAGGGGAAGATCTTCCATCCGATGATACGCTCCCCAAATGACCACAACGGCTGATGCTGCGCTGATCCGAAGCCAGGATCCAGGAACTTCTTCTGGGACTTTTAGCCGCTAGGCCTCGCCACCAGGCCCCTCCCACAGGCTTTTACTGTGTTTTATTTGAGACAGAGAAGCTCCCATCCAGATATGGACTCCCCCAAATTCCCACAAAAGCTGAGGCTGGCCAGATCCAGGAGCAGGAATCCCAGTCTCCCACATGGGTGGCAAGAGTCCAGCTGCTTGAGCCACCACCACCGCTGTCTCTCGGGGTGTACACTAGCAGGAAGCTGGAGTCAGGAGCCGGATATGGATGTCAAACCCTGGCACTCGGATGCAGGACACGGGTGTTATAACCAGCATCTCTAACAGCTAGGCAGAATGCCTGCCCAACTGATCTGATGTGGCTGGGCCCATGCCTACTCGGGACCCAGCATCCGGCCCTGGATGTTATCTGCTCTGACCTGTATCTGCCAGCCCCGAAACACCTGGCCCTCTCTCCCTAACTGGAGCCACTTCCTGGTCTCCCGGTCCCCACCCCAGGCTGAAGTGTTCTGAACTTCCTCCCTCACTACCTTCCCATCAGTTTGCAGTTACTGGGAGGGAGACCCAGGAAGTCCTCCTCTTCCTGTCCCCTTAGCAAACTAGATCACCCCTAAGCTCCAGAAGTAGGGACAAAAGTCTGTGGCCACCAGGGGCACCTGCTCTAGGGCCTGAGTGTGGAGAGCAGTGATGGCATCAGTGATTGGGTTCCAGATGGAATTCTAGGCCTCTGGCTTTAGCCTGGCCTGGCCTGGCTACTACAAGGAGTGAACCAGAAAATGTAAGATTCATTTCTCCCTCTTGTTCTCATTCTGCCTTTTAAATAAATAAATGTGAAAAGGATTGATTTTATTTATTTGAAAGAATTAGAAGCATCGTCCACCCACTGATTCACTCCCCTAAATGGCCACAGTGGCTAGGGCTGTGCCAGGCCAAAGCCCAGAACCAGGAGCTCCATCCAGATCTCCCCACAGAGGTGCTAGGACCCAAGGCCCTGAACCATCTTCTGCTGCCTTCCCAGGAGCAGTGGCAGGAAGTGGAACAGCCAGGATGGGAACTGACACTCACCTGGGAGACCAATTACATGACAACACCAACCAACCCCGTGAAAAGAAAAAAAAGAATGCCTAGATTTTGTTCAGGACTCTGCCCCTCCCCACCCCCATCCCTTGTCTACAGGTAACCACCCCTATGGATGTGCAAGTCCCTATGTCAAACAGCGTAGGATTTGTGGGTCACCTGCGCATATCCTCCTGTCTTACAACACCTAAAGCCAAGTGAAAGACTGCGGTGGGGGGGGGGGGTCATTAACTCTGTACTGTCTGGAGCATAGGATGGTGGAGAAAGTTTATAGGCCCTTAGCACCTTGTGTTTTTGTTCTTGTTTTTTATGAGATCTCCAGCCTTGTGTTGGCCGACTCCTTAGCTGTGCAGCCCTGGGTGCAGAGAAGCCCAGGAAAGGGAAGTTACCCTGGGTGCACCTGCCCGAGAAGGGCCAGCTTGCGCTGTGCTGTCCTGGCTTCCTTTGCCCCTGTGGCTGTGAATTTAAGAAGAGCTGGGAGCCTGCTGCTGCTGTGAAATGCTGCTCTCCTTGGCCACAAACCCTGGCTGGGTCATTAAACTCCTCTCCCCTGCTGCCTGGTGGGGCGGGGCAGTCCCTGTTATGGGAACAGACTTCAGTTATCAGGGTTGCTCAGCCCTTTCGTTCCCACAATGCCCATGATTATTCGCCTCCTTCAAACACACATGCAGGCAGGAGATGGCTGAGTTGGGTCCGCCCCCAGGGATCTCAGAAGAACTGAAGGGTGTCTGAGGCTTGGGCAGGCACCCAGAGGCCTGGGACCCCCGGATGTGGCTCCCCCGCTGTCCACTGGGGAGTTTAGGCTAAGCCACTCACCCTCGCTTCATCCCCTGTGTGAGATGGGGCAGTGGCAGGCAGGAGCTCAGAGGGAGGAGCTGCTTCATGTGCTGCTGGAGGGAAGACTGCCACCCTAGGGGAGCGATGGGTTCTGCAACTTGGGGACTGGAGTAGGGGGCATCCTATCCTTTCTTCTCCAGCCAGTGTTCTTCAAACCATCTGAGGGACCCCCTCAGATGTCTGACACTCTGGTCTCACTCCATCTCAGCCAAGTCTTCTAGATCTGGAGGGAACCCCTATTCACATTCCCAGTGCTCACCTTGCACAGGTATAGCCACTGGCCATTGTCCTGGTACCCGGTGTCCTTTTGCCCAAAGTCCATGTCTCCCAGCACCTCTTGAGGAGGGCTGCACTGGCCTCATTTTACAAAGAAACAGGCTCAGACAGAAGTGGGGGGCGTCCAGGGCCATGTAGTCACAGCTTCCCAGAGCCCTCTGGCTGGCTGACTGCAAGTGTCCCACCCAGCCCAGGATCACAATGCCCTTGGCCCCTGCATTCCAGGTGTTCGGGATCAAGGCCATCCAGCTGGGTGAGAAGCTCCTGCCTGCTTTCAAGACTCCCACGGGAATTCCGAAGAGCTCCGTCAGCTTCAAAAGGTAGGACCCGGGTCCCTCCCCTCCAGGGGCTTCCGCCTGGTAGATAGGGAGTTCCACAGGCAGCTGAAAGAGGAGCCCAAAGCCACGCTCTTACAGATGTCAAGACTGAGGCACAGAGAGGAGGATCCCTCCCTCGGAAAACCGAGCCAGCCAGGGGCACAGGGAGAACTTGCCAAGACCTGGGACCCTCCTGTTCATGCGCTTATTCCGACACCTGGTCCTCGGGATTGAGGCCACGAGGCTTGGTGGTCTGCCCCGAGTGGTAAACACCCCACAGCACAGCCCCAGTTCAGTCCTCCAGGCCAGCTCCGTGCTCCCTCCCTCTCCAGCCCACTTGATGGGTGCAGCAGGTACAGGAACCCAAAGCTGCTCGGGGGCTCAGGAGCCTGGCTGCTTCTGGGACACAAAGCCGACTGGCCCCGTGTCATGGGCGGAGCGCCGCAGGACACAGCAGGCTTGAGCTCCCGGGAGCTGTGAGAAGCTGTAGCAGGAAGCCATGGTGTTTACACTGCCCTGGGCTCATCCCTGCTTCTGCTGTGACCTCAGAGGAGCTCCGGCCCAATGCCTAGGAGAGGCAAGGCAGGAGTCCCAGGCTGTGGCCAGAGTCCACAGGTCCCCTCTAACCTTTTATGTGAGCTGTCACCTCCTGTCTTGTTAGGCAGGAAGGCAGCATTCTGGTGTGTGGCCTGAGGAAGGCTGGCAAAGGCCAGGGAAGACCCTTAGGGACCACGGACTCGCATCTGTCACGCTAGGCTCAGCTCCTCAGGGCTGGACACGTGGATCTTGGCTTGGATTCCTCCCCCATAGACTCTGAACCCAAAGAAACCAGGCCAGGTGCAATGGAGCCGGGGTACACTTGTCCTTCCAGCTCCCTCTGCATGGCCCCAGCTGTGTGTGTTGCCATGACCCTCAGACCACACTACTGATGGACACAAATGCTGGCATTCCTGGGGAAGGAAGCGTGTTTCTTTAAGGCCGTTTGTGGCTGGAGATGTATGTATGCGGATGCGTATCTCCTGGCAACAGCACCCTTTCGTTTTTTAGGATAAGACAATCGTTGCTAAAAATGCCTCCCCCTTCTGCCGGGCACAGCAGCCAGGGACGCTCAGGGTTGCAGTGCTGAGCCCGTTCCTCCAAGTGCCAGTGGGGGAGGGAGGGCAGGCAGCTGGGTTGCACACACTCACCCCACTCCAGCCAGGCTCGCTGTAGGCAGCTCCAGCAGGAGGGGGTCCCACAGGTGGGGACCATTGCTAGGTGAGGAGGTGAGCCATCTGGTGCCTGGAGGCTGAGGCAGGGCCAGCTGGGTTCTGCAGAGCCTGCTGGGCTGTCTGGGAACCTGACAACAGCCCATCCCAAGGCCTCATCTCAGGTACAGGATCACACGCCACCCGCACAAATAACTCACATGGGGTTAGTCACGCAAGCCCCTCTCTGCAGCTCCTCCTAGGCACACATGCGCGCACGCCAACAGGGTCATGTTCATCACCACTGCTTCGGCTCACCGTCCTGTGTGTGTCAGCACCACAGGAGGAGGCGGCACGAACCCGGTCTCCAACCCTACGCCAAGGGAAGGGAGCCCATTGCACCAGCAACGAGGCCGAGGCCTGGAGAGGTCAAGAAGCTTAGCCAAGGTCACACACAGCTAGAATCTAGGGACTAGGGGGTTGTGGTGCAGCAGCTTAAGCCCCAACCTGCAGCACCAGCATCCCATATATCCAAGCGGCTGTTTGAGTCCCAGCTTCTCTGCTTCCAGAACAACTGTGTGCTCATGCACCTGGGAGGCAACAGATGTCGGCTCAAGCCTGTGAGTCCCTGATACCCACATGGGGGAACCGGATGGAACTCCTGGCTTCAGGCTGGCCCAGGACGGACTATTATGTCTGGCTGGTGAGCCAAAAGAAGAAAGATCTATCTCTCATTGTCACTCTTTCTGTCTCTCGCTCTCTCTCTACTTTTCAAATAAATTAATTTAAAAAGAAAAAGAGGGCCCGGTGCGATAGTGTAATGGTTAAAGTCCTCACCTTGAATGCGCCAGGATCCCATATGGGCGCCGGTTCTAATCCTGGTGGCCCTGCTTCCCATCCAGCTCCCTGCCTGTGGCCTGGGAAAGCAGTTGAGGACGACCTGATACTTTGGGATCCTGCACCCACATGGGAGACCCGGAGGAAGCGCCTGACTTCGGATTGGCTCAGTTCAGGCCATTGCAGCCGCCTGGGGAGTGAACCATCGGACAGAAGATCTTCCTCTCTGTCTCTCCTCCTCTCTGTATATCTGCCTTTCCAATAAAAATAAACAAATCTTAAAAAAAAAAAAAAAAGAAAGAAAGAAAGAGCAGCCAGCATTGAAGCACAGCAAGTTAAGTGTGTGTCACTGCCATTCCATATGGACACCAGTTCGTGTCCCATGTTCCAGTTGTTCCAGCTTCCTGCTAATGTACCTGGAAAAGCAGTGAAGGATGGCCCCAATTCTTGGTTTCCTGCATCTGCATAGGGGACCTAGAAGGAGCTCCTGGTTCCTGGTATCATTCTGGCCCAGCCCTGGCTTTTTTGACCCAAATGGGAAAAGTGAAGCAGGCTGAATGAAGGTGCAGGCCCAAGTGTGCCTAAAAGGCTGGGAAGGGAGGCCAGGAGGGCTAGGTTTTAAACGCAGTTAAAAGTTGTTACATTGTTACACGCAGCTAATTCCCACAGCCAAGTCCGCTTCACCATTAGTTTACCACAAGCCAAAATCCCAGACACAATGAGGTACTAGGAAGTCCTTTTATTCCAATGGGGTAAGAAAGGGAGCGAGGATGGAGGGGTGGGGGAACAGGAAGGGCAGGGTGGCAGGATAGGGGCTGCCAGGGCAGAGGAAGGGGCAGGATGGAGGAGGAAGGGGTGGAGAGGAGAGCCAGGTAGGAAGGGAAGAGAAGAGAGAGGGGGAAGTAGGGACGGGCTGTGAGTAGTGTCTGTGCCCCGGGGACTGGTGACTGAGATTTTCTGAGCCACAGGTAGGTGGGTCGAGACTAGGGGGAGGGGGTCTCAGGTAAGAGGTGAGATTACATTTCATTGGTGGACAACCAGAACAGAGCGCAAACTTTGCAGCAATGGGGAGGGGATGCAGGTAGCTAGGCCTGGTCTGAGATGGGATGTTCGAATCACTCCTCACAGGGGAAGCACCCTCAGCCTCGGGCTCACAGGACTGATCCGGGGACCTTCCCGTCTTGGAATGCTGCCCAGAGCAGATTATCTTTGGGACACAGAGTATCTAGGATTGGCATTTGGATTCAGCTCGGCTGCCTCCTGTGTGACCTTGGAGAAGTGTCTCCCCCTCTCTGAGCCTTAAATATTTTCAGCTGTGAAATCAAGAGGGTGGAAACGAAGTTATAATAAGATCCGAGAGCTGCCCGGCACAAATGAGGAATTACTAACAACGGAGCAAACAACACGCAACTCACTCACATGGACATAATTGCATACTGATGAAAAGACAGCAATCACTGCATAATTTATACCCCACAATGACTGGCAGGCCTGAGTACCAACATTTAGGAGGAAGGGGGAAGAAATCGAGGTCTAAGGAGGTTAACCCGCTTCCTGAGGGTGGGAATGGTGGGAACAGCGGCTGAAGCAGGCAGGAGAGAAGCAAGGGGACCACCTTGCAAGAGCAGGTACCACCTTCCTGCCGGGCAGCCCCATTGCTGGAAGCTCACAGGGAGGAGTGAAGGAGGATCCCACGAGAGGGACTGAGAACAAAGGGTAACGGACTTCCCTACAAAAGCAGGAAGTATTAATTATTCAGGCAACCCCCTCTGTGGGTACCTGGGCTGCCAAGGAGAACCCACACCTGAAGGAAGAGACTCCTTGGGGAGAACGCAGGGGCTCTGTCTTCCCCCTGGGGCAGACCCTCATGGAGACCCCCTGAACACCTGCCCCAAACTACGTAGGAGCCCCTACATGGGAGGCGATGCGACCCTGCTCTGTCCCCACCAGTTCCCAGCAGAGATCCCCGTGTCCCCAGTTATCTGAGCAAATCCTCCCAACACATAGGAGAGGAGAAAACAGGTATGGGACAGGAGAGTAGCTTACCCAAGCAAACGAGTGTGGCCCCGGATCCCACACCTTCCTCATCTCTCCACACCCTGGGAGCTAAGGGATGTGAGGGTTAAATGTGTTGCCCATGGCCTCCAGCTAAGAAGCGCTGGAGCCCGCAGCCTCCAGGTCCCAGGAAGGCAGGGTCTTTGTTTATTGCTGTGGGTGGGAGGAGGTGGCACGTTGGCCAGCAGCATGGGCACCAGCGTCAGAGCCAACTCTGGGTCCTGGCCACTGCACTGTGTGATCTCAGGTGACGTCACTGTCCTGTGCCTCAGTCTCCTGTGTGGAAGGGGCAGGAGGGAGGGTCGGCTGGGAGCCTGGCTCCACACCGTCCCTCCGTCCCTCCGTACTGCACCCAGAGCCTGAAGTAGCCTTCAAGAACCTTCTCCAGTGAACTACCAGGGTCACACTGGTTGTTTCTGTAAGGATTTGTGGGCAGTGCCTGGTTCATAGAGAAGGACACCTTTATTTGGCTGTGTCTGTCCAAACCCTTGGCGTCCCCATGGCCTGGTAGCTCCATGGATGTGGTCCTCCCTGAGCTGCCTGCCCATCATGTGAAGGCTCTGTGAAAAATCCAGGCCGAAGCCACTGTGCATCCTTGGCCAGCCCCAACACTGGGGGAGTAGGATCCCTGCTTCCCATCTGAGGCGCCGGTGCCATGGCAGGGGCCTACACTCTTGTGCCAGCAGGTGCCTTTAGCCAGCAGGTGGCAGTCACGTCCTATGGGGTCCTTAAGGTCCCTGACAACGTGATCATGTGTCACCTGTAAACTCCACATAACTCCTGGACTGGATAGTTCAATGATAGAAGCAAAGAATAATGCAAGTCAGACAGGTCTGGGTCCCTTAACTTCCCCGAGCTCCTGCAAACCACCCCTCCATGGGGCTCCGCAGAGGAGCCAGCTTGGCCAGCAGGAGGTGACAGTGGCAACTCTTGTCTTTCCAGCGGAAACTGGGGCTGGGCCGCGGCAGGCAGCAGCAGTATCCTGGCTGAGTTCGGATCCCTGCACTTGGAGTTCTTACACCTCACCCAGCTCTCCGGCAAGCAGGTCTTCGCAAGAAAGGCATGTATCCCCCGACCACATGTCCATTCGCTACTCACCTGGCTCTTACTGGGAGGTGTGGAACACAGCGGGGTGGGAGGGCCCCTCTTGGGTCAGCAGGTGGACCTGGGGTGGAAGCCAACTCCTCAGAGCACATGCTGATTTGTGGAAGACTTGATTGTGCCCTGGCCAAAGCAGTGAGCACAAGAGTGTCCAGGGTCCTAGGAAGGGCAGAGAGGGGCAGGGTTTCTGGGGTCAGTGTCAGCTCAGTGGTGAATGTGACTAATGGGAAAGTTGGACAGGGTACAGCTGAAACCGGGCACCTGCCAGTGTACCAGGCCCCTGCCGGGGGACACAGAGCTCTGTGTGAGGTGGACCTGCTGCTGCTTCTCAGCTACAGGCAGCAGACCTCCTCATAGCAGGTGCTCACAACATCCTATTTGTTATTCTCCAGCTGGCTGGGGCATGTGGCACGCTGAGAGCAGCTGGGCTCAAATCCGGTCCTGACGACTGGGGAGCCGCTGCCAGCCCCAGACAGGCCTCACTGGCAGACCAGCCTTAGACCCAACCCAGGGAAGGGTGCACGTGTGGTGCTCAGGCTCTGACCACTTGGGGCCACCCTGAGTGCTGACCCACGGGACAAAAAGGTCCTGCACATTGTTCCCCCCGACTCCTTTGGGGGTGGTGCTGGAGTACTTGGGGGGAAAAGAGATCCTTACCTCCACCCTGGAGCTTTCCATCTCTTGTCTCCTATAAGCCTCACTGTGTCCTCTGGTGACCTCTCAGTGTCAGAGAGAGGGCGAGACATCTGCTGGTTCACTTTCCAAATCCCCATGATAGCTGAGCTGGGCCACGTCAAAGCAGGAGCTCCCTCTGAAGTTCCAGGGACTCGGGTCCTTGGGCCATCACCCACTGCCGCCCAGGGTGCACATTAGCAGGAAGCTGGCTTGGAAGAAGCGGAGGCGGGACTCCATTCTGATGTGAGACTCAGGTGCCCTGAGCGGCGGCTCCACCCACCACCGTGCCACAGCACCTGCACCCGGAGTTCCGTTGCTCTTAATGCGCACATGGGTTTTTTGGTGCCGGTTTGGGAACGTGGCTTCCCAGCCTCTCCTGGATTACTTCCCTTAAGCAGAGCTCACTACCAGCTTGAACAGCCATCCTGCTGTCTGATTTTCCTTCAGAAAAGTTCTTCTGCCAGAAGGGACTCTTACCTCCCTGTGACTCCCAGACTTCAGAGCTCATGGGCCGAGTTTAACCCCACAGCCTCTTGGCTCTCATTTCCTCTCCCCCTGCCCACTTCCAACTGTATCCTCTCCTGGTCTCCCTGCTCCCTCTATTCTTGATCCAAACTCCTAGGAAGTTTGTGGCCTCAGCTCAGATCAGAATGAAGTTGGGGGGTTATGGGGATGAGGGTATGGTGGTTCTGTAGGCTAATCTTCCATCTGCAAATGCCAGCATCCCATATGGGTGCAGGTTTGTGTCCCGGCTGCTTTGCTTCAATCCAGCCCTCTGCTTGTGGCCTGGGAAAGCAGCAAGGATGGCCCAAAGCCTTGGGATTCTGTACCCATGTGAGGGACCCGGAGAAGGCTCTTGGCTCCTGGCTTTGGATCAGCTCATCTTGGCTGTTCATTTGGAGAGTGAACCAGCAAATGGAAGATCTTTCTCTGGCTCTCCTCTCTGTATATCTCCCTTTCAAGTAAAAATAAATAAATTATTTAAAAAGAAGAAGAAGTGGGACAATCCACTTGCTCTGGTCTTGCACTGTTCTGGGCTTTTTCTATGGCCCCATTTACATGCGCAGCCATTTTGGTGCCTGGCTGAGCTTCCCACAGAGGTAGTTATTGATGTCCACAAAGCAAACCACATCCTAGAAGCACTCATGCCCTCCAGAGGAGCCATTCAGCTCCGTTTTGCCACCCTCCACAGGAACAGAGAGGGGCAGGCATACAAACATATCCCTGACTCTCGTAATGGCTTGTGCTAACCACTGGCGGGGAACACAGCCCCTGGCAAGGAAGTCCTGACTGCTGGGAGGTGGCTCATCCCTGCTCCTCCCCATGTGGCCAGCCTGGCCTGAAGCAGGGGGTCCCCAAGGCATAGCTGGCCTCACGGAGCCAGTGTAGGGAGGAAGGCCAGCCTGTGCCTGTGGAAAAAGCCCCCTGGGCCCTGTTTCTCATGTTTGCCGTGCCCAGAGGTCCTCGTTGCACCCGACAGGGACAGTTTCCAAAGGGACAGTACAGTGTGTCTCCCCAGCTGACTGCTCCTATCCCGTCACCAATGTGGGGGCACCTCTGCTCACCACGATCCTTGTGCCTGGTCTGTTTCATGCATGTTGTCATGCATGGCATGATGACATGTTCCACGGCACCTGTGACTCCAGGCTCAGACCATGCATCTGTTACTGGACACGCGTGTCCAGCTGCTCTCCTGGCTGTAGTGAACACAGCTGTGCAGGTGTCCCTGGAACACCCATGTCACCGGCTTTGGATCACCCCGCTATCACCCCAGGGCCCATACCGTCACTGTGGGTGAAGCCTATTCCCTAGAACAGTCCTCGCTGCACGTGGGCCCAGCTGTCTCCTGTCCTGGCCCCAGGGGGACATCAGGCACTGGGCTTCTGCAGGGGGTGACGGTACCACGGTGTCGTGTCTCACAGGTCAGGAACATCCGCAAGGTCCTCAGGAACATGGACAAGCCCTTCGGCCTCTACCCCAACTTCCTCAGCCCAGTGAGCGGGAACTGGGTGCAACGTGAGTACTGGGATGCCGCCTCCCCCAACCCCAGGGCCACCCAATTCCCACCCCAGCGCCTGGACCCTGTGCTCCTGGGCAAGTCAGTGACACTGGTATCAGAGTCATGTGCCAGCTGGGCATTCACATGGGGCTCCCGGCTGCCACCCACCCTCCCAGGCACCTTGGGGCTGTCCCTTTGTTGCTGCCGTTGCTATGGAGACAAATATGATGGGGACTAGCTATCACAGCTCTGTCCTGTACCGCCACTGGCCCTGGCTTGTCCAGCCTGTCCTGCCTCATGATGCCCACCGACGCCTCCTTGGTTATCTTCTCCCTCCCAGGAGTGCCGGGGTAGAGCTGTCTGCTCTGCAAGTGGCTCCAGGTGGGCCAGGCCTCCTTCTCCTCCTCTCCCAGTTCCTCTCCTCCAAATTTGATTTTGGTTTTATTTTTCACTTATTTGCATTTTATTGGAAAGAAAGCAGAGCAAGAGAAAGCGAGATCTTCCATCAGTTGATTCACTGATCCTACCCTCCCCACCAGCAAATCCCTGCAGTGGTCAGGATTGAGCCAGGGCAAAACCAGGAGCCCGGAACGCCATCTGGGTCTCCCTCATGGGTAGCACCCTGTTGAACTGTTTGGCCTTCTGGGGTGCACATTCCAGGAAGCTGGAATTGGAGGCAGAGCCAGACTTGAACTTGGCCATAGGGAATGTGGGCATCACAAGTGCTGAGGAGCCACTGCGCTGAGTGTCTGCTCCCCACATCTAATTCCAAGAAAAAAACAGATTCAAGCAAAGCCTAACCATATGGCAATGTAAAGATTCATGGAAAGGCAGGTTTACAGAGAGAGGGAGAGACAGAGAGCTCTTTCATCCACTGGTCCTTAAACTTGACAGCCTTTCCCCATCTCTGTTCAGAGGCGTGCTTCCCCCAGCAGGTGGCTCTTGGTCACCTAGGGATGGGACTAAACGGATGCATAACCTAGGAGGGGGGTTGCGACAGGCTTCCAGGCCCACGGGATGCACCCCAGTTGAGAAACCCCAGGCATGGGAGAAGCAGATCGTGGCTCCAGCTGTATCCTCAGTCACAGTCAACTGGGATTGATAGTGGTGGGTTTTTCAGGTGCCTAATCCAGGCCTTCCCAGGATCCGACCCTAGCTCCCACCTCCACTGCCTCTGTCCCAACCGAGTGAGTCTCCAGCCCCAGTCCTTGGGGTGAGAGCACCAGACAAGGGTAGACGCCTAATTATTACACAGCTTGGGGAGATTCTCTTTATCTCTTAGCTCTCTGAGATACATTTCAGTGTGGCTCGGAGAGAGGGCCAACAGATTTCAGTTCCATCTTCCAGCAGTGGCCTGCCTTCTCCCAGAAGGAAACAGAGCAAGTAGGGTGTAGAGGGCAGCTGGCAGCGGGATTCTGTGGAGAGCAAACAGGGGCTGTCTGTGCTGCCCAGGCCTCTGCCCTCTGCCAGACCCAGAGGAATTTCCTGCAGGGATGGCTTCACCCCTACTGTAGAGGACACTTGGAGAAATGCAAAAACACCCTGCTAAACAGGGCAGGCAGCAGACGGCTCGAATTACAGATCCTGGCCCTGGTTGGCCAAGTGTTCTAGCATTCCATCATTTCCATGGCGGGGCCGAGCGTGGAGGGAGAGAGATGGCGGCTCTGCTGACCCGAGCTGCCCCAGGACAGTGCTGCAGAACCCGTCAACAGGAGGGAGGGGCTGGCCCCCGCCGCCCTGACCTCAGTGACCAGACGAGCCCCCTCCAAGACATCTTGCTTTGTTAATTCTGCTACTCTGAGGAACACAGGTCTGCAAAGGTTGGGCACATATGCAAAATTGTTCTTATTAATAAAGTATGAATCCACAGGCTGCTGAGGATCAGGCTGCTGCTGACCCATCCTCTGGACCTGCCCTCTCTTCTCTCCTTTCTCTTCCTCTGCCTTTGGTGCCAGGGTCATGTCAGGTGTTCTGGGGATTGGATAGATTCCTGATGCATGGTATTTTTTTTGGCAGCTGATAGCAGTCCCACCTTGACGAGTTAAATGCCTGCTTTCCTCTCCTTAAACCCTCAGGACTCACCTGCAGGCAGGCCGGGCAGGAACTGCACAGCCCATTTGTGGACATGGGGACTGTAGCACAGAGGGACATCAGGGCCAGGCCTGTGCCCTTCTTGCCTGTTTCTTGCTTCAGAAGCCGAGCTGCAAGGTGGCAGGGGAGGCCCCTGGGGAAACTCTGACAGCCCCAAGCACGGATGAGCCGACCCTCAAACCCACTCACCCAGGGTACAGACAGCGGCCGGGGAGGGGCCAGCAGACTCAGCACGTGGTGATCCCCTCGCCCCCACAGCACCATGCCCTCATCTGTAGAAGGCAGAGCTGGAGCCCCGTTCCAGGGATGCCCACAAGGCTGCCTGGAGCATGCCTTGTTCACAGTCTCCGTGGGGAGGGTTCTGGGCTGAGGCAGAAGATAAGAAGGTGTTAGCTGGGCAGGGCTTGGAGGTGGGGGTGCCCACAAAGGAACCTCCTGAAGGCTGCGAGCCAAGGGTGTTCAGGGGGGCAGCAGGAACAGGGGGAGGAACAAGGAGCTGATTGTGCAGGTGGTGCTGCTGTTGGCTGCCATGCCCTTTGCTGCCGTGCCTGAGACGGGCCCCCTCGTTGGGGTTCTGCAGCTCTCAATGGAGGCTTGCACAGCCTGCCTGCTAGCCATGTCCACCATCCACACGTGGGTCTAGCCCCAGCCTGCCCCTGCTCACTTGCGCTGTGCCCCTGGAAAGGTTCTAGGGAGCTGGACGCCAGCTCATTCCCTTCCCTCCTCTTCAAGTGAGGCACCTGAGCCCTCGCTGTTCCCCCGCACAGCACACGTGCTCCTGTCTGGTCCAGTTTTCACAACTGCGTGTTCCACTCCAGAATGCTTGCTAGGCCAGGGTTTGTATTTGTAACGGTGTCCAGAATGACAGGAAGGACTGGGTGACCAGGTGCCAGACCCTCTCCGGGGTCCCACCTGCCCTTGCACACCGTCTTGGTCCTTCACTCATCCTGCTTGCCTCTTTCTCCTTAGCCATCAGGTCTGGCTGCAGAAAGCGAGGCCCGTGCGGCTCCTTGGTGGCTGCAGCAGTCTAGCGTTGTAGCTCACTCTGTCTTCCTGTCTGGGAAAGGGAACTGGCAGCGCTTTCCCTGCAGAGTTGTTGGGAAGTTTAGAGAGAATTCAGAAAAGCTCCCAACCCACAGTAGACACTCAGCAGGTATTAGCTGTTAACAGATTATTATTGTTTTATATGTATAAGATTAATCTTTACTTGAAAGGCAGAGTTTACAGAGATCTTCCGTGCACTGGTTCACTCCCCAGATGACTGCAGTGGCTGGCGTTGGGCCAGTCTAGAGTGGAGCCAGAAATTTCATTGGGACTTCACACATGGGTGGCAGGGACCCAAGCATTTGAGCCACCCTCCAGGCACAGTATCCGGGAACTGGGTTGAAAGTGGAGCAGCCGGGATTTGAACCTGCACCGCGAGCAGCAGTTTTACCACTACAGCCCAGCATGGTCCTGTTGATGGATTTCCTCTCTCTCACCCACTCCACTCTCCTTCCACCTGCTATTCCCATCCCAGCCTTTAACCCACCCTGGTTGCTTTTGAAAAGGTGTATTGCATTCTGTTCAATTTACTGCCTACCTCCATTTCCCCCCTCAGTTTTCAAAGCTTGTTCCTGCAGGGGAGTGCTCCTCTGGGGATGGTGATGCTGGTGGGGGCACCTGCTTACTCCCTGACAGACCAGCCGGGGCCTGCTCTGGTCTGGCCATCCTAGCTGCTTCACTATCCCCTGGGCTGGTCCCGCCAGGACAGGCAGAGCCTCTGCCCACCTGCGTTTTTCTTGCCCCCTTGGTTCCCCTCATCCTGCTTGCTGAGCAGAAACCCCATTTTTCCAAAGAGTCAGTGTAGGCTGTCCTCCTTCCCCACCTTGCAGGGTTCTGGCTACGTGTCTGTCACTGGGTAATAAACAGCACCCAACTTTCAGATTATCTCTTTAAAGAAATCTACCTTGTTTGCAGTGAGTGACCAGGGACCCAACGGCCCAGCCCCAGCCACCCCACACGGGAACCCACACCCCTCACCATGGTACCCTATGGCCCAGCACAGCCACCCCGCACTGGACCCCTATGGCCCTCACCATGGTACCCTATGACCCAGCCCCAGCCACCCCACACTGGAACCCACACCCCTCACCATGGTACCTGGCAGCCAGTGCATCTGACAATGACCTTTTGCCTTTTCCCTGTTGTAGAACACGTCTCAGTTGGAGGACTCGGGGACAGCTTTTATGAATATTTGATCAAGTCCTGGTTGATGTCAGCCAAGACAGATGTAGAGGCTAAAACCATGTACTATGAAGCCTTGGAGGTAAGACACATGCTGGGTTTTTCAGGATGGTCGGGGACTCAGTCCCCTACAGGGAACAGGGAGAGATGAGTGACAGGTGCACCCTCCCCCAGCTGGGCACATCACACCCATAGTTGTAAGCCCTTAAAGCTGTGGGGGGATCTGTGACATCCTTTTCCTGCCAGCTGCTCAGCAGTGAGACCCCAGTCCCACTTGCCCTGGTCCCAGCCCTGTTCATGCCCAGCTTTGGCTGGTAGCAGCCCTCTGCCAGAGTCCCCCATCTGCCTGGACGCCTTTCCTCCTCTGCTCTTTGCAGAGCAGATCTGAGCCCCCAGACAGAGCGGTCAGGATGCCTGCCCTCAGGGCACCCTGGAGTTGCTGCTTCCAGTGAAGCCAGGGCCATGAATTATTTAGGCAAATCTGGAGCTGCGAGGCTAGCCCTGGATGGAGCAGCAGAAGGCCCGGCTCTGAGCCCACATATGATCTGGCTGCTGAACCCCCAGCACCTCTGACCCCAGCTCAGGCCAGGCCTCTGGCAAGTGTGGAACTTTGAAGAATATCCTGGCCATCCTCAGCTTGATTGCATATTAAAATCGACCTCCGCGTTTATGTGATAGCACACCCAGGCTGCAAACTCGACCAGTTACATCCGAACTTCTGGGGCTGGGACCCACTGACATTATACAGTATATTGCCAGCTAGGCAGAAAGCTCTCACCCCGCCTGCCCTGGGGAGCGTCTGAAAGCCTGGTGCCCACACCACATCCCAGGCCACTTAGATCAACTTCTTTGTCTTTTTTTTTTTAAGATTTATTTATTTTTATTACAAAGTCAGATATACAGAGAGGAGAGACAGAGAGGAAGATCTTCCATCCAATGATTAACTCCCCAAGTGACCGCAGCAGCCGGTGCTGTGCCGATCCGAAGCCAGGAGCCAGGAACCTCTTCCGGGTCTACCATGCGGGTGCAGGGTCCCAAGGCTTTGGGCCGTCCTTGACTGCTTTCCCAGGCCACAAGCAGGGAGCTGAATGGGAAGTGGAGCTGCTGGGGTTAGAACCGGCACCCATGTGGGATCCTGGTGTATTCAAGGTGAGGACTTTAGCCGCTGGACCACGCTGCCAGGCCCCTGTTTGATTTTGTTTTGTTTTTTAAGTTGTATTCGATTATTTGAAAGCTGGAACTGTAGGAGGAGGGAGACACAAAGATCTTCCATCCATCCGCTGATTTACGCCCCACATGACTGCAATGCCAACTAGACTGAAGTCAGGAGCTCCTTCAGGGTCTCCGACAGGGGTGGCAGGGGCTCAAGAACTTGGGTCATGCTCTGCTACCTTCCCAGGCCAATAGCAGGGAGCTGGATTAAAAGCAGAACAAATGGGACACAAACCTGTGTTCATCTGGAGTATAAGTATCACAGGCCAGCTTAGAAGCCACCTGAGTAGACCCATGTCCACCTGACATGAGCATGGGAGATGCAGGCTGATCTGACCGCACGTGCCCAGAGCCATCTCTGGGTGAACGCTGTAAGTACCTGGTCATCTCCGACACTCATCTTACAGACAGTAAAACAAGATCCGAGAGGCCCTAAGTCACACAGCAGCATCTGTCCGAGTTAGGGTGCCAGTACGGTTCTGATGGCCAGTTCTGTCCCGTCTGCAAGCCGCTGCATCGGAGAGGAGCCTGGCTAGCTTGCAGGATTGTTCAGCTGGGTTCCCACGGAAGGTGGCAAGTCAGTGCCTGATCCAAGCAAGCCTTTGAGTAGTTCCCCCTTCGGCCCTCACAGCCATGCCCAGGTCATTGTTCCATCCCGCCAGCTGGACAGAGTGAGTCACAAGTGGACTGGCATGCCTGGCAGCACCCAATTCCTTCATCACAAAACCCAGAGTCCAGGCCAGCCCTGACCCCAGACTGGCCTCATGTGACTGAAGTTTACCTTATACTGAGTCAGTCCCCAGCCCATACCATCTTGGGTTTTACTCAGGGTTCTAGAAAGCCTTATTTCATATGTTTACATCCACTCATCTCAATTGTGTCTTCAAAGAAACATTCATCTACAATCTCCTCTTTTAAGAACAATTTTTTATGGGCCCGTCAGTGGCTGAATTCTCACCTTGAACATGCTAGGATCCCATTTAGGCACTGGTTTGTGTCCCAGCTGCTCCACTTCCCATCCAGCTCCCTGCTTGTAGCCTGGGAGAGCAGTGAGGATGGCCCAAGGCCGTGGGACCCTGCACCCGTGTGGGAGGCCCGGAGGAGGTTCCTGGCTCCTGGATCTTGGCTTCAGAACAGCTCAGCTCTGGCCATCGCGGCCACTTGGGAAGTAAACCTGCTAACGGAAGATCTTTCTCTCTGTCTCTCTTTCTCTCTGTAGGTCTACCTTTCCAATAAAAATACATCTTTTTAAAAATTAAAAAAAAATATTTTTTTTGTTTGAAAGGCAGAGTTGCAAAAAGAGGAGACAGAGACATCTTCCATTCACTGATCCACTCCCCAAGTGACTGCAATGTCCAGAACTTGAGCTGGTTCAAAGCCAGGAGCTAGGAGCTTCTTCTAAGTCTGCTTTGTGGGTACAGAGGCCCAAGGGCGTGAACCATCCTCTGCTGTTTTCCCAGGCCATAAGTAGGGAACTGGATCAGAAGTGGAACTGCTGGGATATAAACTCGTGCCCATATGATGGATGCCAACATGCAGGCAGAGGCTTGGCCTATTATGCCACAGTGCTGACCCCTACAACTTTCTATTTATGGTAATTACTGAGCCTAACTTGGGACTAACTGCAAACAAGTGGCATCAGGGAGGCCTCTGCAGGGTGTGGATTGCCTGTGCCCACACCTGACATCTTGTGGTCTTTGTGGAGGCCTGTGCTTCCCAGCACATTGACAGCTGGTGACTCTGAGCCGGGCCTTCCCAGCCTGCTCAGCGTCTAGAGATCAGCAGTGCAGACGTGGAGACCGAGGGCCACACGGGGCTCCTGCGATGGGTCATAGCCATCCTGAAGCCGTGGAGCAGCTTATCCCCATCTCATCAGCGCCCAGACTCCTGGGACTGACTGCAGGGAGCCTGAAATGATGACTGCACACCTGTGTGCTCCAGCCCCCTGCCAAAGCACCCACCACTGGGTGCAGGAGGAGCGGAGCCGTGGGAAGCCCCAGGTCCTGTCCTAGGCCAGGAATGGCTGGGCAGTCCCAGAGAAGCCATAGGCTCCTCCTGTCTGTAGAGGGCGCTACAGCCCACGTGCCTAATTGAGTGAGCAACTGTGTGATGAAGAACAACAAATAGACAGCCCAGGATTCTCTGTGCTCCTTTATTATTATTATTATTATTATTATTATTATTATTATTATTATTTACAATCTTTACATAGTTATTTTGGGCAAAAAGGGTCAAGGGCTACAGGAAAGTGGGTAAGACTATTATTTCCATATTGTTTCCTTCATGTATCTGAGGTAAAGGGGGATATTGAGGGAGATTTAAAGATTTATTTATTTATTGGAAGATCAGATATACAGAGGAGGAGAGACAGAGAAGATCTTCTGTCCGATGATTCACTCCCTAAGTCACCGCAAGGGCTGGTGCTGCGCCGATCCGAAGCCAGGAGCTAGGAACTTCCTCCAGGTCTCCCACGCAGGTGCAGGTCCCAAGGCTTTGGGCCATCCTGGACTGCTTCCCAGGCCACAAGCAGGGAGCTGGATGGGAAGTGGGGCTACCAGGATTAGAACCGCGCCCATATGGGATCCCAGTGGGTTCAAGGCAAGGACTTTAGCCACTAGGTCATGCCGCTAGGCCCTCTCTGTGCTCCTTTTAGAAAATCTAGTCGGGGAGCACACCCCCTAAGGTGTTGGGAACAACTGTAGCAACATTCTGGACCCTGAAACCTTGTCACAGGCCATTTGGGCTTCAGGCTAAGACCTGCTCTGCCCTGCCCTCCCTCCCTGCCCCTGCATCCCTCCCCACCCTTCAAGGAGGCATAGGGGAATGATAAAGCCTGGAAGGAACTTTTTTTGAAAAAGATCTCCTGGAAAGACTTCTGTTCACTCCCCAAATGGCTGTAGGTACCTGGGGCTGGGCCAGGCTGAAGCCAGGAGCCAGGAGCATCCAGGTCTCCCACATGGGCGGCAGGGCCCCACAGAGAGGGCGGGGAGAAACACAGAGAGATCATCCACCTGCTGGTTCCTTCTCCAAATGGCCACATGGCTGGGGTCCAGCTGATTTTCCACTGCTTTCCCAGGTAGATCTGCATGGAGCTGGATCTGAAGCCAAGCAGCTAAGACTACAACCAGCACTTCATGGGATTCCAGCTCTGCAGGCAATGCCTGAACCCACTGCACCGTAACGCCATTACTCTCACCATACCACATTAAGGGATTAAAAAAATTATTTTAAAGGGGTCTGACATTGTGTAGTGGATTGAGCCGCCACCTGTAACACTGGTGTTCCATATGGGCACCAGATCAAATCCTGGCTGCTCCACTTCCAATTCAGCTCCCTGCTAATGTGTCTGGGAAAGCAATGGAGAATGACCCTGGTGCTTGAGCCCCTGCACCCACCTGGGAGACCTAGAAGAAGCTCCTGGCTTCCGCCTGGCACAGCCCCAGCCATGTGGCCATTTGGAGAATGAGTCAGCAGGTGGACGATCTCTCTCTGTTTTCCCTCTCTCGCTCTGTTACTCTACCTTTCAAATAAACACACTAAATCTTTTTTTCAAAACACATAGAAGGAAGTGAACATCTGTGAGACCCACCCTGGCCCTGCCTGACCTCCACGCCTCCCCACAGGCAGCAGGCCTCAGCCAGCAGTTGGCGGTCAAGAATCTAAGTCTCTCCCTTCTGTGGACCCTCCCCGCCTGTCCTACTGCAGGCAATTGAGACCTATTTGCTGAATGTGTCTCCTGGAGGCCTGACCTACATCGCCGAGTGGCGAGGGGGCATTCTCGACCACAAGATGGGGCATCTGGCCTGCTTCTCTGGGGGCATGATCGCTCTTGGTGCCGACGATGCCAAGGAGGAGAAGAGGGCCCACTACCGCGAGCTCGCAGCCCAGATCACCAAGACGTGCCACGAGTCCTACGCCCGCTCAGGTAACCAACCATGCCAGCCAAGAGACAGCAGCAGAGGCTGAGGCTAGATGCCAGGACGAACTGGCAAGAGCAGCAGAACAGCCAGGAGCGAAGGCCCTAAGTGAGAGGCGAAGAGGGGAGGCGCCCTCAGTGCTCCATGCTCCCAGCTCTCGTGATACAGGCAAGAATAGTAGCCCAGGCCCGGCTGGAAGTAAGACTGGCAGTGGCCTGTTTCCCTTCCCATGTGCACAGCTCTCCACTGTAGACCCTTTCTTGGGGCAGAGAGAACCCAGGATTGGTGGTAAAATGTCCCCAGCTCAGGCACTGCTGCCAGGCAGGCGATCTGTGTTTTCTCACCTGTGCAGTGGGGAGAGCACCTGGTGTTTCCCCAGGTGATGCAGAGAGGTTCCACAATCAGTCAGCTGACCACCCAGCATGCCTGTGAGGTGGCCCAAGGCCCCTGGACCAACTCTGGTCCAGCAGGAACTATTCCAGGAAGGCAGACATCAACATGGCTCCCTGTCTTCCAAGCCTCACTGTGTAAGCAAACAGATCTCGAGAATGAGCAAAAGCTCGCAGTTGGTTCAGGTGGATCAGCCCAGGCCTTAAAAGACAGATGGTTAATACAGCATCCTGTTCTGGCTGCCTTGGCCCCCAGACGGCTGCCACGGCTGCTCCACGGCCCCCAGACGGCTGCCACGGCTGCTCCACGGCCCGCAGACAGCTGCCACGGCTGCTTCTGCCCTTGCCCCCCTGAACAGGTTGGCCAAGCAGCTGCTCTGCCATGGCCAGGAGCTGCTACATTGTTGAAAGAGATTGGTGGTTGGAAGAGTTTGGCCAGCTTCTCTTCCAGGAGGGGTGGGCTGTGCTCCAGAGTGCTGGCTGTCCCCTCAGAGAGAAGCTCTCAGAGCCTGAAGCTGTGCGGCCCCTGAGGCCCCCAGGGCCAAGGAAGATGCCATGCACCTGCCCCCACACAGCCTGATGGAGGAAGGCACGTGGGGGAGAGACAGGCAGGGGCCAAGGGGCTGAGCACACCTGTCTAACCATCCCCACAGATACCAAACTAGGACCCGAGGCCTTCTGGTTCAACTCCGGTCGAGAGGCAGTGGCCACCCAGTTGAGCGAGAGCTACTACATCCTGCGGCCCGAGGTAGTGGAGAGCTACATGTACCTCTGGCGCCAGACCCACGACCCCATCTACCGGGAGTGGGGCTGGGAGGTGGTGATGGTGAGTACGACCCCCAGAACTCATGGGTGGACTGCAGACCCCCAGACTCAGCCAACCAGGAGCCAAGCCAGGCTGACTTATGATAGGATCTCAGAGTGGACAGGCCCACCGTGGTGGTCGCAGAGTTCAGAGTAACCTGCTGGACCAGGGAAGGCGGATCTGAGTGTCCATGGTAGCCTTTGTGGCCCAGCCCTAGGCACCAGCAAACCCAGAGAGCCTGAGACTGGCTGGCCGCCCAGAGCCCTGTAAGACCACTGCCGGCCCGCACCTGCCTCCCTCACCCCAAAGGTCCCGCAGGGAGTCGCCACCTGTGCTCCCCAGAGCCAACCTGAAGCCATCTGCTTCCTGACCTGGGAGGGCCCAGTGTTTCATCCCTTGAGTAACAGTCGTGCATAAGGGACCACATGTTTGGGGAACCACCGGGGGCAGTAGGAAGTCCATTGCCCAAGGTCATTCCTTGAGCCCCCACTCCTTCAATCCCACCACACAGCCGGGATAGTCTCTCCTGGGCTTCCCTCCGTGGAAGCCAGGTGAAAAGCTTGGGCCTGAGTCATGGGAATAGGTGGAGGTGTGTGGGTTCTGCCCCAGCCAGGGACAAGGGGACTGAACCCCAGAAGGATACTTCAGCCTTCTGCTCCCTGCAGGGGGGCATGCAGGCCTGGCATGGGGATCCTGGCCCACTGGATCTCACAGTGTGGGGCGTAGGGACGGGGCTTCCCTCTGCCTGTGCTAAGCCGCCTTCCTCCCTCCCTTCCCCCACCCCACCCCGGCAGGCCTTGGAGAAGCACTGCCGGACGGAAGCCGGCTTCTCAGGCATCCAGGACGTATATAGCGTCACCCCCAGTCACGACAACAAGCAGCAGAGCTTCTTCCTGGCGGAGACCCTGAAGTGAGTGGGGCCGTGGGCTGCGTGCTCGCCAGAGGCCAGCAGCCTCTTCCTATCGGGGCTCTGGGCTTGGGGCTTGGGGGTCAGCCACCCCGCCCCTCAGCAGCGATCAGCTGCGGGATGAGAGCCCAGCAGGGACAGAGGGGCACTTGGGGTCCAGAAGTTAAATCCCAAAGTGACCCTGGTGCTGTTGGTACTGGTCACTATTGCTGAGTCTTCCCCCACCACTCGCTGGCAGCTGCCTCTGCAGTGTGCAGGATAACAGGCGGCCACCCCATCTAAGCAGGCCCGAACCCTTCTGGGATGCCTGTTCCCCCACAGCGGAAGTGCTGTCAGTGTCCCCGGTACACTGTGGCCTCTGGGAGGATGGACCTTGGGGCAGTACTCCAACCACTCTGCAGGAGCTGGGGGGCAGCGAGCTACAGGGGAGGGGGAGTGCTACAAGTTCCAGGAACAGGGGTGCAGGGTGTGAGCCTCCTGGGGACAGAAGCAGGATGCCATCAGGTGCCCAACACCCCCAGGGCAGTGTTGGGATGTGAGACCCTCCTCCCCCCACCCTAAGGCCCCTCTAGCCCTGACACCTGACACCTGCCCCTCCCACACAGGTATCTCTACCTTCTGTTCTCGGATGATGACGTGCTGTCCTTGGAAGACTGGGTGTTCAACACCGAGGCCCACCCGCTGCCCATCAACCACTCGGACAGTGCCCACAGGGCCTGGGGCCCCCGCTGAGAGCGCCCCTCCGCCCCCAGGCCGCCTCAGGGATGCCATGCCTCTTGGGCATTTGGGACTGCCCTCCCAAGGGACCGAGCTGGCCAGCCGTGTCGGACAGACGCGCCACTCTCCTCTGTGAGGAGACAGGCTCAGAGATACCGCCGCCACTGCTGAGCTGTCAGAGCGGGGCGCAGCCACGTCGCGCCCCCACATTCCTTTCTACAGAGAAGTTTCTATGAACCCTGTAAACTCTTGGCCAAGGCCAAGGTCCAGAGATGGCCATGGCCACAGCAGGTGGCCAGCTCACCTGCCTCCTTCCGGGCTCGACTCTGGCTCTTTCTTTCCCATTTTGTCTTGCTGTCCTGGCCTCATGTGCTCCCTCCAATCACGTCCTCCCGAGAGGCTGGCTTTGGGACACTTGTCTGCGGGCCAGCCTCCACCCCTGTGATCTTCCGTTGTTCATGCCCCATTCCCTCTGCGTCCAGTTTCCTGTCCATTACCTTATCGTTGGAGGAGAGGTCTCCTTGGATATAGGCCTGAGCTTTGGGACTCCCCAGCGCCGTTCTAGTCGTAACGGGAAAGTCTGTGAGGAAGGAACAGGGTTAACTGACAGCAGTGAAGACAGCCCACGCACCCTCCGCAGGCCCCAGGAAGGGTGCTGCGCCAGCCGTTGGCCTCGGGTTCCCCAAACGAAGGATGCCCCTTGTCTTACCCTGCCTTAAGTCAGTCCCGATGAATTCAAAAAATGTGAGCTGGAGATGCAGCAAGGCCAGAGAGGGGCAGCCACCTGCCTGAGGGCACACAGCCAGAAAATAAAATACAGATGAGCACCACCCCTGCCCTGCACCCTGTCCTGGGCCACCCCAGTCCCAAGCCCGGCCACACCCTTTCACGAGACCCAGGACAGAGAGGCCCCCAGGGAGGCAGAACAGAAAGGTTCCAGAAGTAACTGACGGGAGTGGCGGACAGTCGGGCCTGGCAGGTAGCCAGGGCCAGCAGGGCCGGTGGGGTGTGAAAGGGCGAGTGAGCCTCAAGCCAAGCCCTAGACAATAGTGACAATGAGGAGAATGATAGGAGGGGATGTGGCACGGCAGAGAGCAAGTCCCATAGATCCAGACACACACACCCCCTGGGTGGGGTGGGGTGGGGTGGATGGTGGGACCATAGCACCAGCACGTTCTGCAGGACCAGGAGTTCCAGGGCCAACGCCGAGTTGAGGATGTCCCCTGCTCCCCCACCTGCGTGTCCCCTTGGCCAAGGGCAGGGGACCGTGCTCGGCCCTTGCTCTGGCGCTGTTCATGTACCCCGCTAGCCCTCCGGGTGACCTTCGACCTCCACGGTGCAGCCCTCCTGAGGCTGCCCCGGGAGTGGAGGGCACAGGAAAGCCTTCCCCTCTTCCCCCTTCCACAGCCCTGGGTTACCTTGGCAGTCGTGGGGGAGCAGCCGCCACCACCGCCGGGAAGCAGCAGGTCACCACCCGCTCGCTGGGCACCCAGGAAGGCGTGGACCTGCTGCCCCCCAGCTCCCACACTGGGAGCCAAGGGGACCAGTGAGGAAATACTGAAAAGCAGACGGGCAGTGTCCCCGCACTTCTCTCCAGAACAGATCCTATTACATGAGTATTTTCTTCTCTTTTTCTATGAATATATAGAGTCTATGTTTTGAAACATGGTATCATACTATGCATACTATTTTCTTATACTCTGCTGTTGCACTTGACTGTATGTTGTGGATCCCTCTCCCTGTCGACAAATACACACGTATCATCACTGTGCCCACGTGTGTAACATTCCCTAGTCTGTTCCGGCGTGTCTGGCTGCTCTGTGCCCCTCTCACTCGAGTCCCTCTGAGATCTGAGTTACAGCTCACAAAAACCAGGCAGGTTGAATGTAAGCAAAAAAATACAGGGGGGCAGTGGGGTTTACCAAATTGCTGGAGACGGAACAGCTCATGGGCTTGAGGAGAGCAGACAGCCAGACTTGAAGAGAGGTGAGGAAGAGAATCTGCCAGGAATCCTACGGGGACCAGAGGCCAGCCCTTAGGCATCACCATGAGGATGCCTGGGTCATACACACACCTCTAACCGAGCTGGGGCTTGTGTGTTTGACTGACAGATGGTCAGAACTCAGTACCGTGGGCTGGAGGTGGGGGGGGAATGGGGTTCGTGACCCAAGCCAGGGCTCTGCGTACTGGGCAGGCAGCGCAGCAGGCTGACTGCCTCCGGCTTCCTCAGCGTGACATGGAGGCTGATGGGAAGCAGCCCTTTGTTCTTCTCACCTTTGGCCCCATCTTTCCTTGGCATCAACCCCCAGAGCAACAACTCGTTGTCCCCACTCTGCAGTCCCCAAGCTCCCAGGCTCCCCTGCCGGGCGCGTGTCCGCACCGGCTCTCCTCTCTCCTCAGCATCAGTGCCCTCGGCCTCATTGCTGGAAGCAAGTTGCAGAAGATGAATGAATGTTACAAAATCCATCCTCCAGGAGGGCCCTGCAGGTGGAGAAAGGGCATCCGTTGGCAACTCTGCTCCAGTCCAGGGATAAAAATAAGCCAGAGCCCAGGTAGGCTGCGAGGACGGAGGCCGCAGCGGGGCGTCATCCTCAGAGAAGGCAGCAGGGCGCTCGGCAGGCCACAGGAGGTCGAGCTCAAGTCTGTTTCTGGGGCAGCCCACAGCCACTAACCTCCTTGGCAGCCGTGCCCGCCCGCTCTGGTCCTAGGCAACGGGGTCTTTCAGAGCCACGTGGGCCCGGGACAGGAGCGGGGACATCAGCCTTTTCCAACGGCTGTGGTTTTGTTCTGACTCCAGCCTCCACTGGGTGGAAGGACAAAGGTGGAAAGTCCGACTTCAGGGTTACCCGCCCACTCCTCTGCACCCTCCGGAGGCTGGGATGTGATTGCTGCCTCTGTCCCCTGGTTTTGCAGCAGTGACCCCACTGTGGCTGGAGGGAGGCCAGCTCTCCCCAGCTTGCCCCACAGGAGCCTGTCCTGGGTTCACGTGGCTCGGGGCTGCCCAGTCCTCCTCCCACAGACGACGTGACTGAAGCCTCATCAGTTGGCTGGAGGGGAGGGCGCCCACACTGTTTTTCACAGCTGAAAACACGAGTCTGATTTGCTTTCCTATATTTGGAGCCGCATTTTAATCCTGCTCAGCTCGCCTCAAGCCGAGAGCTTCTCAGACTTGAACAAGCCCATGCGTCACCTGGGGGGCTTGTTAAAGTGCGGGTTCCCATGCAGTAGATCTGGCGTGCAGTACAAGGTTCTGCTTTTTTAACAAGCTCCCGGGAGATGCTAGCGCTGCTGGGCCCAGTATCGCACTTGGAGTGGCAAGGCCTCCATCCACGGCCGTTCTTTGGGCTTCTGTCTTTTTTCTTAGCATCCTCAGCACCAGACTTCTGCAGAGAGCAACAGAGGGTCTTGGGTGCTGGAATGGCACCTGTAGCTACCTCGGGTACAGAGGGGCCATCTCAAAATGAAGGGTGCCCATCACCTGCAACAACAGCTCCCCGCCTCCAGGGCCGTCAGGGGACTTGGAGCCAGGCTGTGTGGCTGGGTTATCTGGCAGAGCAGCTGCCTACGATGCTGGATGCTGAGCACTTAAAAGTGTGGTGAGTGCAAACCAGGAACAAGGTCGTATGTTTCATTGCCTTTTGGTGAGCTGTAGATAGCCATAGGTGGTTCCTGGCTGCCCTTTTGCACAGCACAGGATGAGAACTTGGGAAAAGGCCCCTTCTCTTGCTCTGCCCAGCTCTCCTCCTGCTGTGCATCCGACACGCTGCCGATTGTTGGGGATGGAGCCTTCCCCACCAGTGAGCTGTTTATTCTTGCACCTGCTCCAGCCTTCCCAGCTGTTTTCCGTGAAAGCCTCTGAGTTTTGTTGTGCTCCTTCTCACTCATGGTTGATCTGCACGTGACGTACCTTAAATCAGGTTCAGGAGGCAGAATGGCACCCCAATGGTGGGGGGGAGCAACTGGCACTGCCTTGGACCACGGGCAGGCCTGCCTTTCTCTATGTGTGGAAAGGGAGGTGGAGTCGAGGGGTTACTGAGCCCCGACCCTTCACCCTGTGGATGGGAACTCAGCATACAGTCGCAAAGACGGTTACTGTGACATGAACCACTTTGTAAGCCATAAAATTTTTCTTGCAGAAATGTGAGACAAACGACTCCATCAGAAATTCCCTCTTTTAAAACAAAATGCTCAGAAACTTGCACGAAACTGCATGAACCAGGCCCAGGAGAGAGACCAGACTCTCAGAGCAATAAGTCTGAACATTTTCTGCTTCTTGTGTTGGGCGAGTGCTTTGCTGTTAACCTCTAATCTACCAAAACTGGGACATTGGGATGAAGGTTTGTTGACTGACAGTCCAAGCGTTTCAGGAGGCTGGCTGGCTGTATAGCGCTGGGGAGGTTTGGAGCTGGGCCAAGGGCTACAGGAGGATTTTGGCCCAGATGTCTGGCAGGGGTTCGTTGGGGGGAGTGCCTTATAAATCCTTGCTTCACCTTACAGGGAAGGCCATTCGGGCGGAGATGATGGTGCTCCACCTGCAGAGGGCAAGCTGAGGCCCCGGGAGGCTCCCCTGGCCATATCCACATGCAGATGACCCCACATCAGGGTGACCCGTGTGTGGATGGCAGCGGGCGTCACTGCTGCCTCTGAAGGGAGCTGGAGTCGGGTCAGTAGCAGGTGTCAGAACCAGGCATCCTGATCAGCATCTTATCTGAGTCAGCGCTCCCTGTGGTGCCCCCTGCTGTTTGAAACCAGTCCTGCTTCTCTTTGAGCCTTTTACAAACCTTGATTGAGATACATTGCTCAAGGGTTTGGCATATCAGCCTGTATCCATGCCCCAAACCACCTCCCAGAGAGGTGCCATTTCCAGCGTTGGCCTCCTGCTGGCATTCCCACTTAGACCCTGTGGTACCACTCCCCACCGACTGATTTCAGGCACCAACTGCTAAGCTCCTCTGTTTTGTTTTATTTTAATAAACAAATAATTATATTTGAAAGGCAGATTTTACAGAGCAAGAAGAGAAAGAGGTTTTCCATCCACTGGTTCACTCCCCAGATCACCACAATGGCCAGAGCTGAACCAATCCAAAGCCAGAATCCAAAATCCAAAAGGACTTCTGCTGCTCCCCCAGGCTGTAAGCAGAGAGCTGGAACAAAAGTGGAGCATCCAAGACATGAACCTGTGCCCATAGGGGATGCTGGTATTGCAGGTGGAGGGTTAGCTTGTGTCACTGTGCCAGCCCTAAGTTCCTTTCTTTGTCTTCAGCTTATCAAACTTCTGGCATCTTCTGTGTCTCGATTGATAGATACTATTTATTAGAACATGCTGTCTCCTGTATGTCAAGGGTCTTCACACCTTTTTGTTTTGATGTTATCAAGCCCTCTTCTACCCACTTGCAGTTTTCTTAAAAGATTTATTTATTTCTTTGAAAGGCACAGAGGAGTGTTAGTTTGAGTTCCGGCATTGCTGCAGCAGCCTGGGGGACAACAGCTCAGTGCTAGGCCCCTGACAGCCAGGTGGCAGATCTGGGTGGAGTTCTGGTCTGCGCCATCAGTTCGGTCCTGAGCCAGGCATCCTGGGCAGTGAACCAGCAGGTGGAAGATCTCCTTCTGTCTCTCTCTTTCCATCACTCTAATAAGTGAATAAACAAACATTTTTTAAAGATTTATTTTATTCATCAGAAGTCAAATTTATAGAGAGAAGAGACAGAGAAGAACTTCCATCTGTTGCTTCACTCCCCAAGCAGCCACAACGGCCAGAGCTGTGCCAATCTGGAGCCAGGAGCCTCTTACAGGCGGGCAGATGTGGAGCCCCATGCGCCTGCTGGGAGCTCAGGTGCAGGTGCACCCTTAAGCGGGGGTGCCGCCAGCCCCAAGGCCGAGCCCAGGTAGTATGTAACCCTGCAGCAGTTTCCCACCCCCACCACACCCTGCCTGCTCCACCTCCCGCAACTCCAGCCCCCTGTGCTCCAGTGGGAGGCCCCACTGTCTCCCTGCTTTCTCTCTTGCTCCCTTCAGTCTCTATCCAGCAAACCAGAAGGGTATCTAAAGAAACAAGACAAAAAGCTAAACAGCTTTTTTAGGATATCACTGTTACGTGGTGGCCTAGCGGCTGAAGTCCTCGCCTTGAACACGCCAGGATCCCATATGGGCACTGGTTCTAATCCCAGCAGCTCCACTTCCCATTCAGCTCCCTTCCTGTGGCCTGGGAAAGCAGTAGAGGACGGCACAAAGCCTTCGGATCCTGCACCCACGTGGGCGACCCGGAAGAAGCTCCTGGCTCCTGGCTTCAGATTGGCTCAGTTCCGGCCCTTGCAGTCACTTGGGGAGTGAATCATTGTAGGGAAGATCTTCCTCTCTGTCTCTCCTCCTCTCTGTATATCTGACTTTGTAATAAAAATAAATAAATCTTAAAAAAAAAAAAGGGTACCACTGTCTATGCTGTAAGATTCACCCTTTCAGGGCCTGGTGCTGTAGCCTAGCAGCTGAAGTCCTTGCCTTGCACACACTGGGACCCCATATGGGTGCTGGTTTGTATCCCAGCTGCCCCACTTCCCTTGCAGCTCCCTCCTTGTAGCCTGGGAAGTTAGTCGAGGGTGGCCCAAAGCCTTGGGACCCTGCACCCATGTGGAAGACCTGGAAGAGGCTCCTGGCTGCTGGTTTTGGCATGGCTCAATCCCAGCATTTGGAAAACGAACCAGCTGATGGAAGATCTCATTTTGTCTCTGTTTGTCCGTCTCCCTGTGTAACCCTGCCTTTCAAATAGATGAATAAATGCTTTTTAAAGGAAAAAAAGTATCCAACTTGGGGGCTGGCATTGTGACACAGCAAGTTAGGCAACCACCTGTTGACACTGGCATCCCATCCGAGTACCACTTAGAGTCCCAGCTGCTCTTCCCATGCAGTTCCCTGTTTGTGGCCTGGGAAAGCAGTAGAGAATGGCCCAAAGCTTAGGACCCTGCACCCACATGGGAGACCCAGAAGAAGCTTCTGGTCCCAGGCTTCAGTCTGGCCCAGTGTGCTCTCTCTTTCTGTGTATGTGTGTGTTTCTCCCTGTCTCCCTGACTTTCAAATAAACAAATAAATCTAAAAAAGAATGAAGTATACAATGCATGTATATTCACACAGAATATTCACACTGGCTTGCAACCATTTGGGACCATGTCACCTCTCCAGAAGACGCCCTATTCTCATTAGCAGTCATGTCACCACCACCACCACCAACAACAACCCCCCCCCCCCCCCCCCCAGCACTGCGCAACCCCAGGCCACCACCCATCTGCTTCCTGTCACCGTGAATGCGCCGGTCCTGGACAGCTCACAAGGCTGCACTCCATGCTCTGCGGGCCTGGCGTGTGGGTCAGGTCAGGCTGCAGCATCCATGTCCAGGCAGGCTTCCTGTTTGTGGCCTAGTGGGAGCAACAGCAGTGCTACAGCCACACCCACTCCGTTTGTGGCCTCTCGGTCGACATTTAGGCTGTTCTGCCATTTGCCTGATCCAAAGGTCTAAGGCATCTCTACTTAAAACCAGACAGCAGTTGCACACCCTAACTAAAATGACATTTACTGCCCTGGCCCTGCCCCTGTCGCCAAGCCAACCCGCTGCTATTCTCCCCGGAGCTCACTCTGCCTCACTCTGCTCGTTTCCTGCTTCTTGGACACAGTAAGCTCTGCAAGTTGGTTTCCACTTCAGGGCATTACACCCTGCTGCCCTGCCCCCTTCTCCCTGCCTGGAGGCTCTGTGGTACTTGGATCCAGCTTGCAGCTCCCAGCCAAGGTTACCCACCTGCTGTGCCACTCCACACACCATGGCCGCCTGCCCAGTGACCGCCCAGCACCATGACCCAGAATGACCCTGTAGATCGTCTCCCTCCTCCTGGTAGAAATTTCAGAGCTTCCAGACGCCCTCTGCCCCCAGGGGAGCCCAAGGGAATCGCTATGTGGGCTTCCTGGAGGTGGCGGTAGTGAGCAGCGCCGCCATTTGAACGCGTGTGTAGAGCCAAGTGCTGTGTGCTTAGGGGGACCACCGGCCTCCCTAGCCCCCTAGAAGCACCCACCCGGTGCCCATTGCAGAGTGAGGCTGCATTTCTCCCTGTCCTGCTGTCTGTCTGCAGCACCCACTGCAGGAGGAAGGTCCCCTGCCATGTGTGTTTACTGCAAGGAGACTAGAGTTAGAAGACACAATTCTACTGGAAGGCAGGTACCTGTGTGTGTGAAAGAGAGAGAGAAAGATGAAGGAACAGAGAGGGAGGGAGGAAGGAAGAAAGGGAGAAAGAGGGTGGCAGGGCCACCCCCTGTTCTCATGGCCTGGAGTGCGGGTCAGCTTGCACCCCTGGCTATGATGAGGCCGGGGCAGACATCCAAGGCCCAGGTCTCCAGGCAGAAGCAGAGTCGGGGAGGAGAAGACAACAAGCCAAGCCCCGGATAGCCAGGTGTCCCTCGCTTGGGATGCAGCCCGGGTCTTCACAGGCTGCCCGGAGGCCCAGCCTGGATTTCCGCCTCCTCCTCTCCTGTCACACAGCTTTGGGGTCTCCCTGTTCAAAGCTACTGGATTATGGATGCACAGCTGAGCTTTCAGCCACCAGGCCTTCATCCCTGCTGTTCCCACCACAGCGAGCTCGCCCTTGGGTGCTGTGACTGACAGCTCCTGAACTCAGGGCTGCCAGCTGCCATGTCCCTGGTCTGTGACACATCTCTGCGCTGGGGAGGGGACACAGGAGCCACTGACTTCCTCAGGGGAAGGGACACGCCCATGCCTCTCCTGACCAAGCCCCGATCCTACCACAAACTCAGCTGCCCCTCAGTGAATGGAAGGATGGGTGGGTAATGTCCTGCTGACCTGTGAGCTCCTGCAGGACACGGCCACCCCACCAATGACCTTGCAGTGTTCATTGACTGCTAGCTTCCAGATGCCATCCTGGCCCACTGCAGAGCCAGAAGCCAGCTGCCGGAGGCACCACACAGGGCCTGATGGGCCATCCCAGCTCAGGTCCCAAGATCCTGCCCTGCCATCAGGTCAGCCCTCCTGGGAAGCATGCCCACCAGGCCAGCTCCATCGCCAGAGCTGATGTCTCCTGAGGGTCAGCCCCCAGGGTCAGCTTCCTCCCCAGAGCTCATTGGCCTGAGCCAATCTTCACAAACATACCACCTGTGTGAGGCATGAGCCCCTGGGCCCTGGTAGCTTTTTCTTTTCTTTTAATTAAGGCACAGAGGTCTTCCATGCACTTTGCTTTGCTCTGCAAATGGCCACAACGTCCAGGGCAGGGTCAGGTTAAAGCCACAAACCATCAGTTCTATTCAGGTTTCCCACATTGGTGCATCTTCCTAGGTGCATTAGCAGGGAGCCACCGGGGCTTGAATTGGCACACATATGCGATGCCAGCATCTCAGGTGGCAGCTTAGCTTCCTGTACCATAATACTGACCATGAATCCATATGTTTAACCCAAAAGCTGCAATAATAGCTAAGAGCTGCCTGGCCTGGAGAATGCCCCTCCCTTGTTTCCCAGGGGCCCAAGCTCATCCATCTTCCCTCCCCGCCTGTTCCGTGTTCCATTAGTTGTGCCTCCTGATAGGACGGAGTCAGGTCTTTCTAACAACAGCTGCCATAAGCCACGTGTCCCCAGACATCAGCAATGATGAGCCAGAAATGGCACTGTCAGAAGCCTTGGGGGCACCAGTGACAGGTCCTCTGAGAGTGCCCAAGAGACCATGGGGCCAGAGCAGAGGCCAGGGGTTGCCCACGACCAAAAGGCCCCTGCGACTTACTCATCCAACAGATACTTCAGAGGGCTCCCCATGTGCCATGCTCTGCACTGCACCGGGAGCACACACTGTGGGCACTAAGGACACACAGGATAGCAAGAGAGTGGGTTCAGATAGACCTGGGTGCCAGAGCTCAGGGCGACTCCACCTGTACTGCAGGTGGACAAGCCGGACCGAGGGGCAGGTGCACCCATGCTGGGGCTGATGTGCCCTCATAGTTCTCCGATGGCCTCTGAGTCCTCCTGTGGGAGCCACGCAGCTGCCCACCACCTGCCAGGGCCCTCATCCACTGTTGGCACCGTTGGCTGCCTGCAAAATGCCCAGGCCACTCTCTGGAATCGGCACCCCTGTGATTCTTTAGACCATCCTGGTAGTGGAAGAACTTGGACTCTGGGAGCACCACCCCTGCGCCAGAACCAGGGCAGGACCACGGCGCCCCAACCCACTGGAGTGACCCTGAAAGCCCCCGCCCCCGGCCCCGAGGCCCGGTTCCTTCTTTGTCCCTGCCCCCCCCGCCTGGAGCTGCTCTCTGGGCTTGGCCAGGCAGGACGGAAGGGGAGCACAGAGGCCTGCTTCAGGCCTTGGACCGCCGCAGCCGCAGGAGGAGCCTCGCGTGCTCCGCAAGACCGTGCTCCCTTCGCTACTGCACCGACGCCTCCGGCTTTAGGCGGGGCGCGGAACCCACCGCGGCGGCGGCGGACCCCGGCCCGGCCCCTCCGGCTGTCCCACCCCCGGCCCCGGCTCCGCCCGCGCCGGCCCGCGAGTTTCTCCGGGGCCGCTCCGGAGCTGCAGCCGCGCCGCCATGGGCCGGGCTCGGCCGGCCGAGCGCCCGCCGCGCGTCCCGGCGCCGGACGAAGCGCCTCCGAACCGCCGCGCGCGCGTCCTGGCGCTGCTCGGGGCCCTGCTCGCCGCAGCCGCGGCCGCCGCCGCCGCCCAGGCCTTCGCTCGCCACGCGGAGGCCCAAGCGTCTGCGCGGCAGGTGGGCTGGGCTGGGCTGGGCTGGGCTGGGCTGGGCTGGGCCGGGCGAACGAAGATGGGGTCGGGAACTGGAGGGGGGCAGGTGGCCGGGCCGTGCCAAGCATCGTCCCGGGAGAGGCCGGGGCTGGGACAGTCCCCGGACAAGGCTGGCCTGGACGGTGGCCGCAAACAAAGGCGCGGTGCGATGCTGGGGACGCGGGAGAGGGTGGTGATGCAAGAGCGGGGTACAGCCACCAGGGTCATTTGGAAGGGGACTTGGGAAGGACAGGGTGGGACAGAGTGCGAGGGGCAGCAGCTAAAGGAGCGCACGAAGCTGGACCAGGAGGTGCAGGAAGGGGCCGCGCGCTCCAGAGCAGGGGAAGGGAGCTCCAGATCAGCGAGATGGGGAAAGGGGGGTGCAAGGGTGCTCAGCCCTGCCCCTCCTCCCGCACAGGAGGCTGTACGCAAGGCCCTGGGGCCAGAAGGCTTCTTCCTCTTCTCCTCCTTGGACACAGACCAGGATCTCTACATCAGCCCGGAGGAATTCAAACCCATTGCTGAGAAGCTCACGGGTAAGGAGAGGCGCATCTGGCTGTGCTGACTGCACAGCCTTGCAGGGACGGAGGGAGGGAGCATCCTCAGTGTCCCTGGTCCTCTCGGATCCTTGCGGCTTTGGCCCCTCCTGGCTGGTCGCTTGGCTGAGCTGCTGCCACTGGCCAGCTCCTCAGTATCCCAAGACACCTTCCACCCGTGATTTCTCTCCTGAAACCTGGTGCCAGGAGCTGGTGCTGTCAGTGTGCGGTGGGGTACTCCATCTGGTCCCATTCACGTGTACCCAGTTGTGGGTAGTGACTCAGGGAGCAGGGAGACCATGAGGGGCTGAAGCACTCTGATGAGTTATGAAACACCCGTCTCCCACCCCATCTCTGTCCTTCAACTTTCTTGTGACATTTCTGAGACTTGGGACTTTGTGCACCCTGACTGCTGCTGTGGGCCTGTCAGTAGCTGACAACGGCAAGAAGGAGGGGGCAGCTGCTCACCGGGCGCCACGGCTTCCTGGGGCTCTGGCATGTGGGCTGCTAGGTCGGCCACTTGCTGATCTGTGACCCATGGTCACTGCTCGTGGGGGTGGAGGGTCAGAAGGCAAATGCTAATTGGCCACAGGGCAGTGTATCAATGTCTGTCTGAGGCAGGCAGCAGGCAGTTCTGTCCCCAAAGCAGATGGGCAGGTAAACAGGTCACACCCTTGTGGCCTTGCTCTTACCTCGCGTTCTGCATATTTGTCTCTGAACGTCTGCATAGCCACCTGCTCGTGGTCCTTTTATGGCCAGAGAGCGGGAGGGCCCTGCTAATGACAGTTTCACCAAGCTGCTGGGCGTGCAGGCCCTTTTTTTTAAGTTTTATTTATTTGAAAGGCAGAGTTGGAGAGACAGACGGAGAAAGTTCTTCATCCTCTGGTTCATTTCCCAAATGGCAAGAATGGATGAGATTGGGTGAAAGCTAGAAACAGGAACTCCATCTTGGGTCTCCCACGTGGGTGGCAGCCCGAGTACTTGGTGTACAGGTGCATCAGCAGGGAGTCAGATTAGAAGCAGAGCAGCAGCCGGGGGCAGGGCTCTGTTGGTTAATAACCCCTCTTCATGTGCTGGGATCCCTTATGGGCACCGGTTCGTGTCCTGGCCGCCCTGCTTCCCATCCAGCTCCCTGCCTGTGGCTTGGGAAAGCAGTGGAGGATGGCCCAAAGCCTTGGGACCCTGTACCTGTGTGGGAGACCTGGAGGGAGCTCCTGGCTTCAGAATGGCTCAGCTCCGGCCGTTGTAACTACTTGCTGATGGAAAATTTTTCGCTCTGTCTCTCCTTCTCTCTGTCAACTTGCCTTTCCAACAAAAACAAATAAATCTTTTTTAAAAATAAAAGAAAAATAGAACAGCCAGGACTCGAACAGGTGCCTATATGGAATGCCAGCATCGAAGGGAGTGGCTTAACCCGCTGTGATTTAACACCACAATACTGACGAAACATTGAATTTCTTCAACATAAACATTTCTCCCAATGAGATAGAGAGAATCCCTCCTTTAGCTCTCGGCCATTAGCCAAATTTTGGGAAAGCGGAGGGCGAACCGAATCAATCCGAGGGAGGACTAGAGGCAGGTAGTTCCTGCCAGGCGGTGGGATTGTGGGCATGGTTCATTTCTTGCTTTTTGCCTTAACAGTTTTACAAATTGTCCATAATGATCAGCCAGGAAATACAACTTTCGTTAAAAAAAAAAAAAAGCAATGGGCTTGAACATGCTGAGTGTGATGATGAATAATGATCTATGGCAGTGGTGAAATCCAGCAGTTAGCAGGCGCCATAGCAGCCTGCGTGTTCCTGTCGCTCTCCGGTGGCCCTGCAGGCAGAAATTGGAGTGGTCCTAGAGGACAAGTGGCAAGGGCGCCCATGGACTTCCCACTCAGAGATGGGGCCTGCTCCGGCCCCTTCCCATTCGGGAGCATCCGAGGCAGGTTTCAGTAAGTTTAAAAGGCAGAGAGAGAACCATCCAGCACTGGTGCTCTCCACACTGACCACAGCGGCAAGGGCTGGGCCAGGCCTGAAATGAAAAGCTTGGACCAGGTCTCCCACCTGAGTGTCAGGGCCCCAGCGACTTGAGGCATCTCATCTGCTGTGCATCAACTGGAATGCAGGTCAGAATTGGGGCTTGGGCCCAGAAGTGAGCACCCCAATGGGCATCTTAACTGCTCCACCAAATGCCTGCCTTGGACCTGTAGAGTAGAGAAGCACCCTTGGGGACTCTGGGGACCCCTGGCTAAGAACTACGTCCAGGCTGCCAGCCATAGTTCTGCCCGCCAGCTCATCCGTCAGCCACTGCCAGGTTATCACCAGCGCATCTGCCTGGGTGTGAGACACCATGGGTCCCGCCTGGCTTCTCTGCATGGCATGGGACTTGTCCCTTTAGCCACTGGCTTCTTTCTCCCCAAGCCCTCCTGGTGCCTCCAGGACACTCACCTGGCCTACTTCTAAGCAGGAGCAGATCTGAACGATCAGGCAGTGGGCTGGCCAGCCCCTGCTTACACAGAGGGACCAGGGGCCTCTTAAGAAAGGCAAAGCCCATGACATCAAATACAGCCGACCTCCTCTCCCTTTCTGATCTCCTGGTTGGGGATCCTTTTCGGTCCCCAGAGGACCAGGGATTCTGGTGCGTTCCAAGTCCCAGCAGCCTGGCCTTGGGTCCTGATGCCTACTTGCTGGCTGTGCAGCCTCTAGGGAAGCAGCTCCCATCTCTGAGCCTCCACATTACAGCCTTGAGGGGAGCAGCATCATGGTCACCTCCCAGGACTGTGGTGGAATGGACACCAGTGGTCACACTGGCTTCATGCCAGTGGGTCCCTGCCACCTGCAGCCACCTGTGTCCTGCAGGGTCTGCTGCAGCCCCCAGCTATGAGGAGGAGGAGGAGCTGACTGCCGACCCCAGCGAGGAGACGCTCATCATAGAAGCCCGGTTCCAACCTCTGCGGCCGGAGACCATGACCAAGAGCAAGGATGGGTTCCTGGGGGTGAGTGGGGCAGGGCGTGGCGGGATCCCTGCGCATGTGCACTCTCACCGTGCTCTCCTCTCTGCTCTGTGGGCTGCCTTCTGCATGCCCCACTACCATTCCAGGCCCTGTCTGAGACTCTGGGTGTCTGGGATGCTGTTCCTGCTGCCCGGGCCCGCAGTCTGGAGGGGGAGCAGGAGATAGAAGAGTTATGAGTCCAGCCCCAGACAGGAGGATCTGGGATGGCTTCCTGGAGGGAGTGACCGTTGACAGAGACTGACCACAGGGGTAGGGAGCAGCAAGTGCAATGGCCAAAAACCCTCTCTACTCATCCTTTCCTGTCCATTTGCCTTGGCCTCCCAAGCCCAGTGCCCGGCAGTGATGGGCGCCCTGATTGAGCTACGGTTAGGAAAGAGAAAGAGCAGATGTGTCCCTGCCAGCCCCACCCCTCCGAGGCCTTCCTGCATGCTTCCCTGGCCTCCTCTGTTTCGGTGATGTCACACTTCCTTCCCTGCTCCCTGGTCACCAGGCTGGCCTCCAGCTGGGGTCTCAGGCCAGCTTGGCCTTTCAGGGAGCCGCTGCACATGCTCAGAGGCCCAAGAGCAGCCCAAACCAGCAGGATGGGACAGGAACACTGCAGGGGACATCTGGGCAGGGGTGCTGTGGGACCAAGGGAGGCCAGCCTGGAGGGAGAGGGTACCTCGACTCTGCTGCTTGCCCCGGAGAGTGCAGGACAGAGCTCATCTCTGCTGTGGAGGCAGTGAGGTCACTTCGGACTTGTTGAACTGGTGCTGGGAGAGTCCTGGAAGTGGTAGGGAACTCTGGTGTGGCCACCACCCCAGAGACAGCTGGGCCAGAGGGAGGTTGGCAGTGGTGGCCACACAGAGCAGGCAGGTGGTCACTGCAGGTCTGTGAGCACCTGGCACTTGCAGGCAGCGGCAGCAGCAGCCCAGGCCCCTCGGTGGGAATACCCTGTCCCTTTCTTGTCACCTGCCATCTGTGCAGGGCTCCTGCCACACTGCCTGCAGGGAGAGAGAGAAACCTGCTGCTGGCCTAAGACAAGGTGCCCTCCCCTCCTCCCCCCGGATGGCCTGAGCTCCCTTGAGGGGCACTGGGTGCTCAGGGTCACAGGGGGTAGGGTGGGAATAGACACCTGGGAGTGGGGGACATACAGCCTGCGAGGAGGAGCTGTGAGAGGGTAGGGTCCCCAGGGCCTGACCCTACAGCTCCAGACATGGAACCAGGCAGACAGAGTGCCCAGTATGCCCAGCAAGTAGAGATGCCCCCAGCCTGTGTCTTCAGACTTAGCTCCAAACCAAACAGGGGGTTGGGGAGTGAAGTGCAAGGCAGAGAGTGGTGTGGGTGTGGTCCCAGGGGACACAGCCCAGCCCCCCAGGTTTGGGTTCCTCCCATACCCCCTCAGCTGCCCCACCCTGGAGCAAGATGCTGTGACCCCAGGCTGTCCCCAGGGTGGGCCACAGGGCATGCCCTCAGTGCCCCAGATCTCTGCTCTCCCTGGCCCAGGTCTCTCGCCTTGCCCTGGCCGGTCTTCGCAACTGGACCACTGCAGCCTCGCCGAGTGCTGTGTTTGCTGCCCGCCACTTCCGGCCCTTCCTGCCTCCACCAGGCCAGGAGCTGGGTGAGCCCTGGTGGATCATTCCCAGCGAGCTAAGTGTCTTCACCGGCTACCTGTCCAACAACCGCTTCTACCCCCCGCCACCCAAGGGCAAGGAGGTGAGGGCAAGGAGGTGAGGCAGCAAGAGGCAGGCCCCCAGTGGTCCTGCCTGCTGCGCCCCCTCTGGGGCTCCCACATCTCTGTCCCAGGACCCCTGGGCCTCCGGTGTGGAGCTGACCCTCACCCTGGGCACACAGGCCCAGCAGGATGTTGCAAGCCAGCCTGGGTCTCTGGCCCCCTCCCTTCCCGCAGGTCATTATCCATCGGCTCCTGAGCATGTTCCACCCGCGCCCCTTCGTGAAGACCCGCTTCGCCCCGCAGGGGGCCGTGGCATGCCTGACCGCCATCAGCGACTCCTACTACACAGTCATGTTCCGGTGAGCTGGCCAGCTTGCCAGGCCGGGGGCTTCCAGGCATGGTAGGGGCAGTCCCAGCTCCTGCAGCCTGTGGGCTCAGTTCACACAAGGACCCAGAAGGAAATGTGGCGCAACTTGCTCACTGCTTCGGGCAGGTGACCCTGATGGTGCTGTCCACACGGAGGGTCCGAAACATCAGCTCACACGCACCCTGCAGAGGCCATGGAAGCTCAGGGCAGGGTCAAGGCGAGGCTTCCAGAGGAGGCCCAGAACCTGGGCCACGAGGGAAGGCTGCCCCCAACCCAGCCCTTTCCCCACACACAGGTATTGGGAGAAAGTATGTGGCGGGGGGCACTCTGGCTTACCAGACCCCTTCCCTGCAGGATCCATGCTGAATTCCAGCTCAGTGAGCCACCCGATTTCCCTTTCTGGTTCTCCCCCGGCCAGTTCACTGGCCACATCATCCTCTCCAAGGATGCCACCCACGTCCGTGACTTCCGCCTCTTCGTGCCCAACCACAGGTAGGAGCCGCACCAATGCCGCATGGGGGAGACTGGCTGCTGACACAACTGCCCACAACCCAGGGGCAACTAGGGCATTGAGCAGGAAGGAGCTCCCGGCCTGGATGGGATGGAGGCTGTGGCCAGCTGAGGGTTGGGTTGCTGGGCACCAGGGCTGCGCTATGCCTGGCTGAGCCCCCGGCTGGGAGTCATCAGTCCTGGGGTGCCCCCATGTGGCAGGTTGGCAGATTGTGCCCAGCAGGTCCACCTCCTGTTTGGGAGGCTGTGCGGAGGAGAGCAGTGGGCAAGGATGGTGCCCACTTGTCTGTCTGCCTCGGAGACTTGGGGGCTGTACATGAGACCCGACTAGGAAAGTCCTCTGACCTGTCTGGAGCCTGGTCGGTGGAGGGAAATATAGAAGCAGGTTGGGCAGAGGAAAGGGTGTGGCTTCTAGGATCAAAATCCAGCAGCAACAAGCTCAGGCATTCGCAAGGTGAAGCTTCATGTCCCCCTCTGTATCATGGCAACTGTGATGTTACAAAGGTACAGCTCTTCTGCCCTGGCCGCCCCAGGTCACTGAACGTGGACATGGAGTGGCTGTACGGGGCCAGTGAGAGCAGCAGCATGGAGGTGGACATCGGCTACATTCCCCAGGTGAGCACGCAGCTGCCCCGCCCCAGGACTTGAGGTGTGGCTTCGAGGGTCACAGGGGTCATGCCCCTGAGCCACCCCTGCCCACTGACTCCACCCAGATGGAGCTGGAAGCCATGGGCCCCTCTGTGCCCTCGGTGATCCTGGATGAGAACGGCAACATACTCGCCAGCCGCCCACCCTCGGGAGAGCCCCTCCAGTTCGTGTTTGAGGAGATCACGTGGCAGCAGGAGCTGAGCTGGGAGGAGGCTGCCCGGCGCCTGGAGGTGACCATGTACCCCTTCAAGAAGGTGAGGCTTGGCAGGTGTGACGGCCAGGGGCGGGCCGGGTGGAGTGAGGCTGGGCAGGTGTGACGGCCAGGGGTGGGCAGGGTGGGGTGAGGCTGGGCAGGTGTGACGGCCAGGGGTGGGCAGGGTGGGGTGAGGCTGGGCAGGTGTGACGGCCAGGGGCGGGCCGAGTGGAGTGAGACTGGGCAGGTGTTACGGCCAGGGGTGGGCAGGGTGGGGTGAGGCTGGGCAGGTGTGACGGCCAGGGGCGGGCCGGGTGGAGTGAGGCTGGGCAGGTGTGACGGCCAGGGGTGGGCAGGGTGGGGTGAGGCTGGGCAGGTGTTACGGCCAGGGGCGGGCCGAGTGGAGTGAGGCTGGGCAGGTGTGACAGGGGTTGGCAGGGTGGGGTGAGGCTGGGCAAGTGTGACGGCCAGGGGTGGGCAGGGTGGGGTGAGGCCGAGAGCTGCAGAGCAGCAGGTGGCCCTGGGGCCTGGAAGGTATGCAGGCAGCTGGCCTGGGGGAGCTCAGCAGACCCTCATCATACACTCACATGTATAGACACATGCATATAGAATACATGTAAGCAGGTGTACATGGACACCCATATACAGATAGACACAATGAGTACAGATGCAAACTCGGACATGTACAGGCACACACTTAGATGCAGAGCCATACAGATAGATGCAGGTACTTCCACGGACACACAAACATTAGTACAGTGTACACACAGACATGCCTGTGTACAGAGAGACACAGACACACATGTCCTAGAGACACACATGCACACCCAGGCACATGCCTGCACACAGGCACACATGCATCCCCACAGAAATACGCACATGCACATACAGATAAATATCCTTACAGAGAAACATGGGTGGGGCACGCACATAGAAACACATTACAGTGACACAATTACCCATGCATGCACACATGCACAGGGTCTCACCATTTGCTCCCAGCGCCCGCGCAGGGCCGTGGCCACGCCCACTGCCTTGCCCTGTCTTGGCTGCAGGTCACCTACCTGCCGTTCACTGAGGCCTTCGACCGGGCCAAGGCTGAGAAGAAGCTGGTGCACTCGATCCTGCTGTGGGGGGCGCTGGATGACCAGTCCTGCTGAGGTGAGGGGCCCGGCCGGCCGGTCCGGGGGCTAAAGACGAGCCTTCAGTGTGCTGGGCGCCAGAGACCCTGAGACCTCCACGATGCCCCCTGATAAGACTTTGAGGGTCTTGGGGATGTCACAGCAAGGGGGAGGGGTTCTTTGTGGAGCCAAAGGGAAGCCACGAGAGGCAGAAGAAAGGGCAGCCTGGGGCGACCCCCTGGCCTTTCTTGCCTAGTGATGTGGCTGAGTGACCTCCGCTCCCCGGAGCTGGGCAGGTGGCGGGAACACAGCCCACACCCTCTCGAGTGGTGAGCACATGTGACTAAGGACAGGGCATGCCTAAGAGCTTCACACGCTTGAAGCAGGGGACCGAGGGCTGGAGGCGGGGCTGACGTTCAATTCCTGGAAGAAGCCCCGCAAAACTGCTGCCAGCAGCCTTCTCAGGAGGTCAGGCATGGGTACAAAGACAAGTGCCCTCAACCAGCTAGTGCCAGGGCCCAGGCACATGGGTGCCAAGCAGTAGGTAAGGGGCCGCCACCCGACAGTGAGGAAGATGGTGGTCCCTGCCTTTCGGGAGGACACAATGTGGCACAGACGTAGAGGAAGTTAGGGTGTGGGTGAGTGTGACACAAGGCCAGATGGCATGAGGCTGTGTGGCTGGGGGACCGGGGAGGGCCTCCTGGAGAAAGTAACTTTTAGTAGGAGTTTGTCAAATGAAGGGGAAGAGTGTTCCAGATAGAGGAGTGGCCTGTGCAAAGGGCCTGGGGCACAGTGAGTTCATTGTTTGCAAGTTCCTGGGTCAGGTAGATGCCCTGTTCAGAAGCCAGTGTGATCCCATTAATCAGTTATCACCTATTCACTGCCTATTCTGTGGCAGCCCCATCACTTGGGCACAGTCTGGGGCATGTACCCCAAACCCAGTCGCTTCTGATTGAAAACCCCAGTCAGGTATGGGGCCCCTTACCCACGTTCTGTATCTCTCGAGACAGGTTCGGGGCGAACTCTCCGGGAGACCGTCCTGGAAAGTTCGCCCATCCTCGCCCTGCTCAATGAGAGCTTTGTCAGTACCTGGTCCCTGGTCAAGGAGCTGGAGGACCTGCAGGTGAGCAGGCAGGTGGGCGGAGCAGCCCCATGGGAGCCCCGGGGCAGGACCATGCTGGGGGCTGAGGTCTCAGAGCGCCACCCTTTGTCCCCACAGAACAAGCAGGACAACCCGTCCCATCGGAAGCTGGCCAGCCTGCACCTAGAGAAGTACAGCTTCCCTGTGGAGATGATGATCTGCCTGCCCAATGGCACAGTGGTAGGCACCCTGGGTCTGGATTGCATAGGGGTGCCAGCCTTGCCCAGCTTCGGGTCTGCCAGCATTGCCTTTTGGCTGCAAAGCCTTAAGCTAGTGGGCAAAGGCTTGTAACCTATGAAGAAGTGCAGGCCTGCCCATGAGCTGGGGAGTCTAGTCTGGCTTTTCTGATCCCAGCTGCCCTGCCCTGAAGTTCTGGGGCTCGGGCAGTGGGAGCAGGCTTGGCTGCCTCAGGGTCTTAGTGTGGGGCAGTTCCTGGAGCAGGAGCAGGAGCCTGCATGGAAGGGAAGGACCAGGCAGCAGGCCAGGGGCTTCTGCGGTCCCGTGCTCAGCACTGACCACACCCTGGGGGGACCGGGACCCAGGGGAGGTGAGGCTGCTCACATAGCCCTGGCTGCCACCTTGCTGGAACCAGCCAGAGTCCCAGATGGGGAGAGGAGGATGTGGCTGTGGCTTCAAGTATCTCCCTGGCTATGGCAAGAGGCAGATGGGGAAGCAGGCCTGTGGAATGCAGGTGCTGGGATAGCTGGGACTGTGGCCACAAGGCAGAGAGGCATGGAAAGAATGATGCTGGGATGCCGGGAGGTGCTAACTTGTGTCTCCCGCCCCCAGACTGGGAAAGGAGGAGTCCCATTGTCAGGACTGGTGGCAGCCAGCATGGGTGAGGACAGCCCCAGAGGGGTGGGGCCAGGGTCCTCCCTCACCCAGCCCCTCCCCCAGGTCCACCACATCAATGCCAACTACTTCCTGGACATCACCGCCTTGAAGCCCGAGGACCTAGAGAACAACGTCTTTGGTTTCTCGTCCACCTTCGAGGACCCGTCCACGACCACCTACTTGCGCTTCCTGCGGGAGGGCCTGCAGCGTGGCCTGCCCCTCCTCCAGCCCTAGCCCTGGCCTGGCTTGATGACAGAGAGGTGTCAGGCGGGCGGGCCTCTCACAGCCCATCTCAGACTTGGCCTGTGTGCCTCCCCACGGGGCTTGCCATCAGCCAAGCGTGGTTGCCCTAGGGAGTCGGGAGTAGCGGAACCAGAGGTGCAGGTGGAGGAACTCAGAGCTCAGGCCTGCTGGAGACGTCCCAGAATGCGGCCTGGAGCACAGGTCCTTGTGATCCGTCCCCCTTCGTTGCTTTCTCCCCACCCACAAAGGAAGCCTCATGGGGTCCCAGCCCACAAGCTCTGCTCTGCCCACCATCCCCCTTGCATACACTGTTTTGGAGCTGTGTCCCCTATGCTCCCCAGACCACCAAGACCATGGTGGGACCCCAGAGGCCTGGGTAGGCCTCACTGGACACCAGCTACTTGAACAGATCAGCTGTGAAGCCAGCCTCTGCCTCCAGCCAGAAGAAGCCCAGGGTCAAGGGCTCCCACTGCCCGTGCCCCGGAAGCATTCCCACTCCTTGGAAGTCGGCCTTCTCAGAGTCCACTCTCTTCTCGACCTCCGGGTGCCCCACACCAGCTCACCTACACCCGGGGGCTATCGGCTTTCCTTGGTCACTTCCAAGGCGCTGGCCATGTCCGCGTCCAGACCTTTTTATACTCATAGGAAAATGTTCTTAGGGAATTTCCAGTTCATAGGGACTTCGGGATGCCCAGCCCTGAGGAGAAGGGAGGGGCCTGAGCTCCCCCAGCAGCAGCCCCATGACAGCTGGGTCTGAAACCCCAGAGGGCCCAGCTCGATGTTCCCGCTGCTGCGTCGGGGGGAGGCCAGCCCCTGCCTCCTCTTCAGCTCTGCGGAAGTAGCCCGCTCCTTCCTGCCCCCCGAGCTCCGTCCCATCCCGATGCCTGCTGTCGGGGTGCCCACTGGGAGCCCCCTGCCCGTCGCTTTCTCCATGCCACGTCGGGTATAAAACGGCAGCCGGTGGGCTAAGATGGCGTGTCCTTGTGCTTTCTTGTACCCAGCAGGTGAGGGGCATGGTGGTCGCTCCTGCCCTGCGGATATAGAGATTGGAGGTTCAGGAGAGGAAGTGACTCTGAGAGTCCCCCAGAATGGCGGGATGGAGCTTCAAGCCCACGGGGGACTCTGAGACCTGGGCTTGGTGCTGCATCCCCACCTCCCTCCCTGCCTGTTGTCCCTGAAATGGAGCTCAGACCGTCATCTCCTGTGCTGTGTGCACGGTGGAGCCAGAGCCAGTGCCCAGGGCTGGGCGCTGCACCCTGGGCAGCAGCAGAGAGGGTGGATGCCTGAATGTGTCATGGCACATGCGTACCCCTGAGCCTGGGGTGAGGGAGAGTGTCAGCCCCTCCCCCGCACCCCAGTTGGCTCCCTGCCTGGCACTGCTCCAACCCGTTCCAGTGCCACAGTACCCAGTGTCTTGCCCGCTGTGCCTTGAGGCCCCGCTGCACTGGTTGAACCTCTGCCACCTTCTCCCTCTCCTGTGATGGGGAAGAGAGGGCTGGTTGTACCCTGGAGCGGGCGTCATTGCCTTCTGCATTTCCACCTTCCCACGGTCCAGCCCCCTGTTGGGACTGGCTGAGCAGGTAGGAGCTGGAAAGCTCTTGGGACCCGACAGCCTGCGTGCCTTCCCCAAGCAGCTTGTGGCAGACCACGTGGCAGGACTTAACTATTCAAAGATTCTCAAGTTAGCCCGTTGACGTAGAGCCTGAGCCAGGCATGAGACGATCTTTTCCAGACATACGTGTTTATTTGAAAGGAACACCGACAGAAATCTCCCGCTGGTGCTTTACTCTTCGAGGTCCACAACAGCCAGGGTGGGCCGGGCGGCACTGGGAAGTGGAGCCTCAGTCCGGGTCTCCCAGGTGGGTGGCAGGGACCCAATGACTAGAGCCACCCCCTGCTGCTTCCCAGGGTGCGCGTTAGCAAGAATCTGGGAACAAAAGTGGAGTTGAGACTCAAACTCAAGCACTCGTAAAAAACCGAAAAATCGTGTGTGTGTGTGTGTGTGTGTGTGTGTGTGTGTGTGTGTGCTGCTGCTGCAATGGCTCATTTGGCTAATCCTCCCCTTGCAAGCACTGGGATCCTAGATAGACGCTGCTTTGTATCCCAGCTGCTCCACTTCCCATCCAGCTCCTTACTTATGCCTGGGAAAGCAGTTGAGCACGGCCCAGGACCTTGGGATCCTGCACCTGCATGGAAGACACTGGCTCCTGGCTTCAGATTTGCTTAGCTCTGGCCACTGTAGTCATTTGGGGAGTGAACCAGCAGATGGAAGATATTTCTATCTCACCTTCTCTCTGTAAATCTGTTTTTTAAAATTATAATAAGGGCCTAGCGACTAAAGTCCTCGCCTTGAACATGCTGGGATCCCATATGAGTGCCAGTTCTAATCCCGACAGCTCCACTTCCCATCCAGCTCCCTGCTTGTGGCCTGGGAAAGCAGTAGAGGACAGCACAAAGCTTTGGGACCCTGTACCCGTGTGGGAGACCTGGAAGAAGTTCCTAGCTCCTGGCTTCGGATCGGCATAGCACTGGCCCCTTGCGCTCACTTGGGGAGTGAATCATCGGACGGAAGATCTTCCTCTCTGTCTCTCCTCCTCTGTATATCTGACTTTCCAATAAATAAATACATCTTTTTAAAAAATGAAATAAATAAGGGCCTGGCACGGTGGCCTAGTGGCTAAAGTCCTCACTTTGAACGTGCCGGGATCCCATATGGGCGCTGGTTCTAATCCTGGCAGCTCCACTTCCCATCCAGCTCCCTGCTTGTGGCCTGGGAAGGCAGTTGAGGACGGCCCAAAGCCTTGGGACCCTGCACCCAAGTGGGAGACCTAGAGGAAATTCCTGGCTCCTGGCTTCGGATTGGCGCAGCATGGCTGTTGCGGCCACTTGGGGAGTGAATCATTGGAGGAAAGATCTTCCTCTCTATCTCTCCTCCTCTCTGTATATCTGCCTTTCCATTAAAAAAAAAAAAAAGGTGCAGAGGAACAAGGAGGCGGAGGTCAGCGTCGGAATGAGACCAATCAGATACCTTGGAGATTTTAGGAGAAATGCCCGCTTAACCCAGGGGCACTGATGAGGGCGTGGCCTATCGTCCCGCCCCTTCGGAGGCCGCGCCAGCACCGCCCCCGGCTGTACCCGTTAGCCCCGCCCCCAGCTGTACCCGCTATCCCTGCACCCGTCAACCCCGCCCCTTCGGAGGCCGCGCCAGCCCCGCCCCCAGCTGTACCCGTTAGCCCCGCCCCCGGCTCTACCAGTCAATCCCTCCCCTTCGGAGGCCGCGCCAGCCCCGCCCCCGAACCAGGCCTGCCGGCCGCGGGGGGCGCGGCTCGGTGCGCAGCTGCGAAGGATCGCTTCCGGGGGGCGGGTCAGCGGAAGTCGGGCGGTTGAGGCCGGGCAGCTGGCGGTGGTAGGAGGGGCCCTGAGGTGCGATGCCCGGAGTCGCAGTCTGAGGTGAGGAAGGTCCGGGAGCGGCCCGGCTTGTTCCGGCCGGCCGCGGCGTGAGGCGCGTCCCGCACCGGTTCTCGGGGCCGCCGCCGTCCGCCTCATCTTGGCCAGGGGAAGCGTGTCCCCGAAGGGGGTGGTCACTGCGTGTCAGCCCGCGAGCGGTGGCCGGACCGGACCTGGGGCTTCTCGTGTCCCCCGCCGTGCCGCCGTCCGCCCTGCTGAGCCGGCCGCGGGCCCGTGGACTTGACCGACCTTGGCCCCGGTCGGCTCGGGGTTGCGGGGGAGGGGACGCGCGGCCCGGCCAGGACCCGGCGGCTGCTTTGGGGCCTCGCGGCGGCCGCGGGGGACACCGCCTGGCCGGGGTGCGGGGACAGCCTTGGCCGGAGCAGGTCCGTCTCGGGGAGCAGCATGACGGCCGCCTCGGAGGGGACTGTGGGGGCCGCGCGGGGCCAGCCCGGGCCCCCTGCTGTCCAGTTAACTGCTGTGAGGTCCCCGAAAGCCAGGCGGGTCTCCCGGCGGGACGCTGCCAAGGCTGCCCAGCCTGGGGACTGGGCACTGCCCCGACGCCCGAGGGGTGGCCGTGACGCCGGGCCGCCTTGGTGGGGGTCCAGCCAGTTATAAACACACACTGGTGTGTCTCGCAAATTCCCCACCGGAGAGGAAGTGGCTGTGATGGTTTAGGTGAGAGACAGGCACTGCGGTCCGAGGCTGCGTTAGGAGCTGGCATTGGTCACGGGGGCTTAGGGTGACCTTGAAGTCTCGTCCCCACGTGCATCAGAGTGAGCAGACCCCTCTCCCAGGGCTGAGGCCCCCCCAGGGGAAGTCTACGCAAAGAGCGGCTCTGCCGGCCTTGCCCTGCCTCTGTCCAGAGCCTGACCAGGCACAGCCCACAGAGCCAGCGCAGGGCTAGGGATGAACTAGGGAGTGAAGCAGCCCACCGATCGCACCTGCTCGCCGTGGGTGTGCATCTCTGAAGAGTGTAGTTGGGACGGACCCTTCCCGCCTGTGTTGTATCCTAAAACTTCATTAAGCACTTCAAATCCATTTCATTGATCCTTAAGGTAGGGAAACCATTCAGAAAGATGAAATTACCTACCTGAGGCTACAAAGTCAGCAGGTGGCTAAAGCAAGATAGGAATTGGAGCCTGAGATTGCCACAAGCTGGCTATTCATTCTCCTGCTTCTGCCCCTGCCCCTTACCAGGGTCCAGCAGTGCTCTCTGCTTCTATAGCTCTAAGAACTAAAGGGGGGCGTGGCGTGGTAGTCTACTGGCTGAAGTCCTCACCTTGCATGCGCTGGGATCTTATATGGGCGCCAGTTCTAATCCTGGTTCCTCCACTTACAGTCCAGCTCCCTGCTTGTGGCCTGGGAAAGCAGTTGAGGACAGCCCAAAGCCTTGGGACTCTGCACCTGTGTGGGAGACCCAGAAGAAGCCCCTAGTTCCTGGCTTTGGATCGGCTCAGTTCCGTCATTGTGGCCACTTGGGGATGGGGGGTGAACCAGCAGATGGAGGATCTTTCTCTCTCTCCTTCTCTCTGTGTATCTGTCTGCCCAATAAAAATAAATCTGTTTAAAAAAAAGGGCTTAAAAAATAATGTGGGGCTTGGACACATCTTCAGCTTAGCTCTCCCATAAGCTTTGTACATACTAAATTGTTCTGTTTATGCCCCTCCCTCTTTTGCAAAGCAAGAGTTGCAGAGAAGAGAGGTAGAAATATCTTGCATCTGCTGGTTCACTCCCCAAATGGCTGCAACAGCTGGAGCTGAACTAATCCGAAGCCAGGAGCCTTTTGGTCTCCTGGGTGCAAGGACCCTTGGGACTTCAGCCTTCCTCAGCTGCCTTTTCAGGCCATTAGCAGGGAGCTGGGTCAAAGTGGAGCAACTGGAACATGAGCTGATGCTCATATGGGATGGTAAGCCACAGGACCAGTGCCTCTATTTATGTCTGTAAGTTTTGGCTCAGGAAACCTTTGGGCCCAGGAGGTACTCCAGGTTGGCCCAGCTAATCCAGAGTCAGATAGAACCTTGGAGGGTCTGGATTTGGAGAAGCCTGTGGTGGGGGAAGGCGCCTGCCCTCTTGGGACATCACCAGGGTCTCAGTTTTATGGCGCTGTGTGGTGGCCACTGAGTTCCCATTGTGCGGGTTATTTTACAGGAAGGGAAATCTGGCACTGATCAAGATGGCCTAATATGAAGGAGTCAGGCCTGCCACGCCTCCCAGCTGCCCGGTGGCTGCCTTGTCCTTCGAGCACTGGAGGCGACTGCAGTGTCGGGAATGGAAGCCAATGTGGTAAGGGGCATTCCCAGGGCAAGTGTGGTGGGAAGTAGAGCAACTGGAAGTAGACCTGCCCAGGTGCCATCCGAGGCCCCAAAGCTAGCTAGGTCTTCCTTCTCCCTGGAGGCCTGGAGTTGGAGCAAGGCTGATTTCCATCCCATCTCCCCAGGAGAACCTGCTAGATACACTTGGGATGTCTCAGGTGTGTTTTTGCCTTTCTGTGTTGAGGGAGGGAAGGAGCCTGGATGATCCGTCCACCAGCTGAGTCCTGGCCCTTCGCTGGGCCTTCCTGATGCGGGCTGCCCTAACAGCATCTGGTGTTCCTGTGGGTGCTGGCCAAAGGGAAAGCGGGCCATGAGTACCACCCAACTCTGAGCTGGGGAGTTCAGGCTTCCTGCTAGAGAAATGGGCAGGGGCAGTAGTTGTAATCTTGTCTCTTTGCTCTAGACTATCCCAATCTGGCAAAATAAGCCACATGGAGCTGCTCGAAGTGTGGTGAGGAGAATTGGGACCAACCTACCCCTGAAGCCATGTCCCCGGGCGGCCTTCGAGGTGAGTGTACAGGAAGGGCAAGGCAGTAGCTCCTGAGTCAGGGCCATCTGTGTGACCTGTGAGTGTACTTAATGACTGAATCCCAGGTTCCCTATCTCAATAACAGTGTGTAACAGAAATCAAGTTTAACTCATACAAGTATGCATTATTAACTTATATTTGATATTAAAGGGAATCATACTGATTTAGTTTTAAATTTTAACCATAAAAATTATGGAAAGTAAAAGCAAAGTTATCTGGAACTGTGGGCCTAATGCAGTGGCCTAGTGGCTACATTCCTCGCCTTGAACGCGCTGGGATCCCATTCGGGCACTGATTCTAATCCTGACCGCCCCACCTCCCATCCAGTTCCCTGCTTGTGGCCTGGGAGAGCAGTCGAGGACAGCCCAAAGCCTTGGAACCCTGCACCTGCGTGGGAGACCTGGAGGAACTTCCTGGCTCCTTGCTTCAGATCAGCACAGTACTAGCCTGTGTGGTCACTTGGGGAGTGAATCAACAGACGAAAGATCTTCCTCTCTGTATATCTGACTTTGCAATAAACAAAACAAAACAACAACAAAAAACCACCACCAACAAAAAAACTAATAAAGTTACCTGGAATCACATCATGACAAAGCTGTAAGAAGTTTCCTGTGGCTGTGACAGATTTTAGATGACCTTGTACCCATAGTCACAGCTTCAGAGGGCAAGATTGCCATCTGTGGTTTTTAAAAAACGAGTTTGTTTGAAAGGCAGAGTGACAGAGATCAGTCTTCATCCACTGATTCATCCTGCAAGTGGCCAAAACAGCCAGGGTTGAAGTCAGGTCTTACACATGGGTGGCGGGAGCTCAAGCACTTGAACCATCCTCCATTGCTCCCAGGTGCACTAGCAGGGAGCTGGATCAGATGCAGAGTAGCCAGGACTGGGAACCAGGTTTCTTTATGGGATGTTGGTATCCCAAGCAGTGGCTTAATGCACCGCATAACACCTGGATCATGGCCATCTCGCTACTGAAACCCTGAACTGTTTATACTCCCACATGTTTTGCTTCTGGCCTATTGTCCGCATGGTTTCCAATCAGAAACCTTTCTTCTATCCATCTAGGAAGCCTTCCTGGCAAGAGTGCTGGATGAAGTGCCCCCTGCTGTGTATTTTGCACTGTCCAATGGCTTCTTGGGGTCAGTGCATGTGTGCTGATGAATTTTACTTGCCCACAGACCTTGCCCAACATCTCTGATCTGTGTCTGAGAGATGTGCCCCCCGTCCCTACCCTGGCTGACATTGCCTGGATTGCAGCAGATGAAGAGGAGACGTATGCCCGGGTCAGGTAGCTGAGGCGGTGGCTGATCTGCCGGGGAGTGGGGAGCTGCTTCGCAGGGAGAGTGCTGGTGAGGCTGAGGCCAGTGAGGAGAGCTGCTGGCCAGAGGGGAGCAGAAACCGGACTGTGACTTGTGGGAGTCCAGTGGCCATCTGTGACTGGTGCTTTCATCTTTGGCCCAGGAGTGATACACGCCCCTTGAGGCACACATGGAAACCCAGCCCTCTGATGGTCATACAGCGTAATGCCTCCGTGCCCAACCTCCGAGGGTCTGAGGAAAGGCTCCTGGCCCTGAAGAAGCCAGCCCTGCCTGCCCTCAGCCGCTCCACCGAGCTGCAGGACGAGCTGAGCCACCTGCGCAGCCAGATTGCCAAGATAGTAGCAGCAGATTCAGGTAGGAGCCCCAGTGCTGGGGCCAGGATATGGCAGGAAAGGCTAGCGGTGTCCTTGGTTCAGGGGATCTGGGGCCCATGACTCTGGACTTGAGCAGCCTCCAGACTTCCTTAGGATAGCTCCTACTACTCATTTTGGACTTAGTGATTTGGTTAGGAACATAGTACTCAACCTGTGACCCCAGGCAGACTCCCTTCCTTAACCACAGAACCAGGACTTTCTTCTAAGTGTTTAAGCTCACATCTTCCACGAGCCCCCAACGGCTCCTTCTCAAGCATTTCCCATCACCAGGAGACATACTCGCAATCTCAGTGATTTAAAGCCATAGTCCCAAAACTTATCAGTTGGGTACATAAAAACCATAGTGCTATTTAATTCTATCACATGAGAGTTTCATGGATGAGTTACATTTCCATTTCTAGGCTACTTTTTGGTCATCTAAGCCAGACTTAAAAACTGAGGAAATTCTTTCCATTAAAACTTGAGAAACCAGGAGCACCATCAACCGTGTAGTTCTGACAGGCAGCAGGAGTCGGGCTTCAGCTCAGTTAGAAGAAAAGACAAACACAGGCCTCCGTCTCAGCTGCTGTGGGAGGAGCCTGGGGGCAATGACAGTGGGGGGCTCTCCCAGATAGTCATTGCAGTGGTCCTCTAGGGCATGCACGTGGGGAGGGGACAGTGCTGCCATTTTCAGTGCGGTGGTCCTCTAGGGTGTGCTCATGGGGAGGGGACAGTGCTGCCATTTCTAGCCCATTGCAATGTCCACCTGTGCCTGTCATTCTCTTTCAGCTTCGGCTTCTTTAACCACTTGCGCCACCGCGCCGGGCCCAACTTCGGCTTCTTTAACACCGGATTTCTTATCTCCCGGAAGTTCAAATGTCACTTCCCCCTTGCCTTGTTTTGGATCCTCATTCCACTCTACGACTTCCTTTGTCATCAGTGACATCACTGAGGAGAGTGAGGTAGAGGCCCCTGAGCTCCCATCAGTCCCCCTGCCTGGTTCTGCCAGCCCTGAATATTGTAAACCAGAACACAAAGCAACCTGCAGCTCCTCCGAAGAGGATGACTGCATCTCTCTGTCCAAGGCCAGCAGCTTTGCAGACATGATGGGTATCCTGAAGGATTTTCACCGAATAAAACAGAGCCAAGATCTGTAAGTATTTGGATACAAAGCGCTCTGGTGATCCATGTACTTTAGTATTGTTACTTCTTTTTAAAGAGAAATGGAGACAAATAATGGAGAACGATCTTCTGTCTGGTGGTGATTTGGTCCCCAAATGCCCACCATAGCCAACGCTGGAACTCCTTCTGGGTCTTTCACAGAGATGGCGGGAGACCCCTTGGGTGATTACCTACTGCCTCCCAGAGTACAAGTTAGCAGGGAGTTAGATAGGAAGCATAGTACATGGGACTTAAGCCAGTCACTCTGAAATAGCATGCCAGTGACAGTCTCATTTTTAAACATGTATTTATTTGGGCCCGGCGCCATGGCCTAGTGACTAAAGTCCTCGCCTTGAACGTGCCAGGATCCCATATGGGCGCCGGTTCTAATCCCAGCAGCTCCACTTCCCATCCAGCTCCCTGCTTGTGGCCTGGGAAAGCAGTCGAGGATGGCCCAAAGCTTTGGATCCCTGCACCCGCGTGGGAGACCTGGAAGAGGTTCCTGGTTCCCGGCTTCAGATTGGCACAGCACTGGCCATTGTGGTCACTTGGGGAGTGAATCATCAGACAGAAGATCTTCTCTCTCTTTCTCTCTGTATATCTGACTTTATAATAAAAAATAAATTTTAAAAATCTTAAAAAAAAAAAGATGTATATATATATTTTTTTATTGGAAAGTCAGGTTTACAGAGAGGAGATACAGAGAGGAAGATATTCTATCCACTGCTGCTTCACTTCCCAAGTGGCGGCAACTGAGCTGATGCAAACCCAGAAGCCAGGGGATTCTTCCGGGTCTCCCATGTGGGTGCAGAGTCCCAAGGCTTTGGGCCATTCTCTGCTGCTTTCCCAGGCCACAAGCAGGCAGCTGGATGGCAAGTGGAGCAGCTGGGACATGAACTAGTGCCCATATGGGATCCTGGAGCATTCAAGGTGAGGATTTAGCCACTAGACTATTACACTGGGCACAGTTCAGCTTTCTTATTACTGAAGAGTGCCCCCATGCCCTACACTTCATAGTGGGGGAATAAATGATATATTTCTGCTATCCCTAATTGGTAGGTATTTTTAGTGGAAGGAGATTCTCTACAGTTGGATTTCTGCTTTAAGGTGTGGTGGGTAGGATGGGGGTGCGTATTTAGTCCCTGGGATCATCCCCCATTGCTGGCTCCAGCTTCCTGCTGATGCAGACCTGGGAAACTATGATAATGGCTCAGGTAATTGGGCTGCTGCCACTCACGTGGAGGGAGACCTTAATGGCACTCTCAGCTCCCACCTTTGGCCCTGGCCAACCCTCCAGCCACTGTGGACACACACACACACAAAGACCTAATATACAAAACGATCTTGCAAATGCAGATTAGAAAATAGCCTTTTAAGAGATATAGTTAGGGCCAGGCACAATGGCTCCATTTGCTAATCTTCTCCCTTCAAGCACTGGGATCCCATTTGGGTACCAGTTGATGTTCTGGCTCCTCTACTTCACATCCAGCTTCCTGTTTATGGTCTGCAGAAGCAGTCGAGGACGGCCCAAAGCTTTGGGATCCTGCACCCAAATGGGAGACCACGAAGAAGCTCCCATCTCCTGGCTTAAAAAAAGAGTGATATGTATTTCCTGAACCTGGCGGTCCATCAGAATGGCAGAGATTTATTAATAATGTACTGTAGACATACTGAAAAATAATCCCCACAGAATAAAGCAGTTTCTGAGGGAAGGGGAGTTTGGGGAGTGTCCACCTTTGAGAACCTCTTCTTACAGAGCCCTGGAGTTCAGTATGCATTTTTCCAGGTGTGGTCTGAGCAGCTGCAAGGGACTTACCAGAGAAACTTGTGCAAAGATACAGGTTCTGGACACTTCAGTTTGAGACCCAGACCTTCATGGCCAGCACCCATGAAGCTTTGTTGCTTGTTGAGGGTTAAAAAGCTGCTCTGAGGGCTGAAGGCTGATGGAGTTCCTATTGAAGGGATGGCTACTCGCCCTGAACGGGGTCTCTGACAACCATATGAAGCTAGGCAGCTGCCTTCAGTCCCCACACCCCAAGCCCAGTCACTGCTGCTCTTGATCTGCTGTGAGGGCTTTCCCCCTTTGGTCACCATGTTTTATGGATTGATATCTCAGGCTTCTCTTACTTGCCTCTTGAATTTAGTAAATCCTAAACAACTTACTTGTCGACTCTCTCACTTGGGTCCTGGGATCTTTTCTTCTTTGTAGTAAAAGCGCTGGATCAGTGACTAAGAGTGGGGATGTAGCCTGGTAGGCAGAGATTCAAAAATAATAATTTCCCTTTATTTTGCATTTTTGGCTTAATATCTCAGCCTCTATATTACCCTAACAATCAATAAAACATTGTCAATGGGATATATGTATGTTAGTTCACTAGAACTTCAAACAGTTATTTTCCAAGAATTTGGCTTATTGGATAATTTGAGCCTACCCCAACATGCAGTTGCTTTATGTCCTACAACTTCCTGATCTCTCTCTCTCTTTCTCTCTCTCTCTCTCTGACACACACACACACACACACACACACACACACACACACACATACGTTTGTTTAGCTGTAATTCTGGGTCTCCCCTGAGGGGAAGAAATGGTAATAACAATTTTTTTCTTCAGAATTAGTAAAAGTTAATTACCAAGTGACTTCCTCAGTAGATCCTTTGGGAAAATGCTACAGAGAAAGATAGGGCCGGGACTGGTATTGTCCTGTCTGCTGTGCCTACATCCCATATGGGTGCTGTGTCCTGGCTATTCCACTTTTGATCCAGCTCTCTGCCAGTGGTTTGGGAAAACAAGAGAATGGCCTAAGACCTTAGGTCTCTGAACCCACATGGGACACCTGGAAAAAACTCCTGGTTCCCAGCTTCAGACTGGCCTAGCTCTGGCCGTCGTTGCCATCTGGGAATTGAGGTAGAAGATGGAGGATCTCTCTCTCTAACTCTTTCAAATAAAATAAAACCTTAGAGAAAGAAAAGGGATAGGATAGGATAACGTCAGAGTGGAGAGTAGAAGCTTAGTCTTTGAGGCCAGATCTACCAACCTGACGGTCCTATGTTTTGCCCACTTCATAGTCGTAAAGAAACATTAGTGCTCTACTTCAGAGGTAATGTGGAAGCAGCCAGCTTGCTTTTGAACTCCCAGCTCACTGGCTGAGTGCCTAGTGCCATTAACACTGACCTCCTGTGGTGGTCGTGAGGATTCTGGGAGGTGATACAGTCAGACTCAGATGTGATTCTGTCTCCAGGAACCGGAGTGTAATGAAGGAGGAAGACCCTGCTGTGCTTATCTCTGAGGTCCTGAGGAGGAAGTTTGCTCTGAAGGAAGAAGACATCAGCAGAAAAGGAAACTGACATGGCTCGGCTCTGCAGACTGTCTCACGCTCCTGGATTCCTTCAGTAGCTGCCTTGCTCACCACAGGACTCTGCGTCTGAAGTAGCAATCTTGACAGTGTTTGACAGGCTGGAACTTGGACTGAAGAGCAGAGCTAGCTGACATGTCTCCCGTCCCTCAAGCCTTCGCAGGAGCTGAGGCCTGGGCTCTGTACTGGGACATGTTAGAGGTGATTGTGTAAGTTGGAGTCTCAGCTTCAAGGTAGAAGTTTGTTTTTTCCTTGCGCTGTGTGAAAATAGGTCCTAAATGACTTACTACACTGCATCAGACCCCATAACTGGTCTCACAGGACACTTTGTGCCCAGCTGTCACTCTCTCAGCTGCTTGCTTGCAGTAGAGCAGGTCTGAAGGGAAGGCTGTCACTGTTTCTGTACAGACTGGCACAGGACAGGGAGATCTTAATGCTGCTGCATCAGAAACCTATACCAGTACTCAGCAATCACCTTTCCCTGTCTAGATGTAGAGGTCAGGCCATGGGCCAGCTAGCACTGGGCTGCTCCTGGGAGGCCTGGGCTGTTTTTTCTTACACATATTTTGTAATACTGTATACAACCGAATCTATCCTCCACGGCCCCAGGGCCTCACCAGTTTCGCTGAAAGCTCTCTTCCGTGGACTTTTAGTTTGAGCCCAGTAGGAAAGAGAACTGGGAAGGGAAGGAGCGCACCATCCTCCCAGGCGCTCTGAGCTGGGCCAAGGTTTGTACCGACTGCACCATGCATGACACGATGCCTGCAGGTCCCTTTATGGTAGGTGGTATGTGCACTGTGTGGGGGGGTTGAAGCATTACCTGACATTAAATGAAGGATTGGGACAAGAACTGTGTTTTCTTTGTCTGACTGAGCTAAGATCACCCCGGACCCTTTAGGAGTCTAAATGCCTGTAATTTTAAGGGGTATGAACATTTCTGGCTTCTTTTTTATCATGTCCTGTCCTTATAAAACAAAACTTTCATAGTTTCTTTCCTCTTTGTAGATTTTGCCCTAAACTCGTAAAACAACTTAATCTTACAACTTGCAGGTTTACTCTGAAATGTGCCTAAGCCTTTCGGGCACCACGCATGCAACAAGGAACTGCCACCTGGTGGATTTATGTCTTGGTGGGGCACAGGCTAAATCCAAGACTCAAGTTCATCCTGAACCCAGGAAAATGACAAAATATACACTACTACTCAGTTGCTTCTCCAAACATAAAACATTACCAATGTTAATTATCACAACTAAACATTTACTTGGATTCAGTTTTATACCTTATAAAAGAGTACTACGAGGATTTTTCAAAAAGTTCATGGAATTTTGTAGTATGAAAAGACCAAAAATCTTTTAATTTCCATTTTTACACTAGTTTTCTGAAATGCCCTCATAAAGTCATTTAGATTATTACATGGTTCAAGACTTTTTTAAGGGAGAGAGACTGAAGCAAAACTTAAAATATTATACAGTTACCACCAAAAGTAACAAAATAATGAAAACTGTTGCCAGTCCTGCTAACTCTGCATGCCTGGATTATGGAAATTTACCTTTTCTCTCTCAAAGGTGTGTCAGGAATAATGGTTCCAAGCTTAGACTAAGATGATAGCCAAAGACAAAAACGTCCCAGCCAGGCATCTGAAAGAGCCAAGAGGAGGTTCTGCAGTGGAGGGCTCAGTGCCACCCTGCCTCCTCACACATGTTCAAGGAATTCCATCACCTTCCAAAGGAAAGGCATGATGCCAACACGCTGTCAGTGAGTGGTACTGCCTGCTTTATTTATACAAATAAAATGCCTGATAATGCCAACAGTTGCATCACGTGCCTCCTTCCCACTCCCAGCTACAGATGTCTTAACATCTCTGTCATTGCAAGATACTTAAAGAAGCAAACCCTCATAAAAACATTTACAATGGATGCCTGATAACTTGATTACCCTCAGAATCCTGTGTAAAGAGACGTGTCAGCCCATCCTGGCTTTGAGCCCGAGGGCTGCTGGAAAACTGCCCCAGCTCCTGGTTCCAGCTGCTGCTAATGTCCTGGAAAGGGGCTCTGGATTTGTGGGCAATGACCTGCTGGCCCTGAGAATCTTCAGTGAAAAGCTGACTCCAGGTGTCCCTGTCATTCTCACTGTCCCAGGGACGCACAGAAACAGGACGAGGGCTTCGCTTCACATAGTCTGTGTTTTCTCTACTCCGGGAGTCCCTGTGAGTTTGAAGAACCTGCCTGTTTTCTTTGGTGGACACAATCCTTTCCAGCCTCATTCTGTCCAAGGACTGGTGACATCTGCTCCTAGCTGTGCTGCTGGGACTCGCCAGGCCCTGGCAGGTCTTCTTAGCTTCATGAAGCCATTCCTTTGTCCTGGAAGAATCCTTTTCCTCCTTTTGGTCCCAAGAACTTCCCAAGTCCTGGGTAAAGGAAAAAGCTAGTGAGGTTTTACTCTCTCCAGCAGAGACTGGGGTGCTAGGCTGGAGCAGAGACATCTCAGTCCAAAGTGGGGTCCCCATTCTGTGGTGGCTGTAAGTCTGGAGGGGGTGAGGACAGAGTCCAGCCCCCTGGGGGTCTGCTGGAGTTGAAGTGGCAAAAGGGGGTGCCATGTGATCATCTTCAGAGCCTTGCACCAGACAGCCTAGTGAAGTTGTATCATTGGTGAACTCCTGGTTGATCTGACTTCCCACATGAGATGGAACACTTCTCTGGTCACCACCGTTTCTCTTTCCTAGTAAAACAGGAATGAACAAATGACCCTCAGATTACTGCCCTCAGCAGGACTTCTTTGTCTTTGTTCTGAAATCAGCACCAGTGACTATTAATGCTGCCTGGTACAGTGTTCTTAAGATTCCTCTGGGGCCCAGCTCGATAGCATAATGGTTAAGGTCCTCACTTTGAACGTGCCGAGATCCCATATGGGTGCCGGTTCTAATCCTGGTAGCTCCACTTCCCATCCAGCTCCCTGCTTGTGGCCTGGGAAAGCAATTGTGGACGACCCAAAGCCTTGGGACCCTGCACCCACATGGGAGACCCGGAAGAGGTTCCTGGATCCTGGCTTCGGATGGGTGCAGCACTGGCCATTGCACTCACTTGGGGAGTGAATCAACAGATGGAAGATCTTCCTCTCTGTCTCTCCTCCTCTCTGTACATCTGCCTTTCCAATAAAATAAATAAAAAGATTCCTCTGAAATTAATTCAGGAGCTCATCTTCCTGCTTTAACATTGTTATTCTTCAGAATGGCATTTCTAAAACATAAATCTTACATTCTCTTATGAAAATACATGGATTCTACCCATGACCTTCTCAACCTAATAAGGTCAAGTGTGGAATATAATCACAACCTACCTTTCCAGCTGTGGTTTCATTATGTGGTTTGACATAGAACACAACTGTGCTGATTTTATACCTATCTACGTATGTTTGACATGGTTTCTACCAAGTAGAGATCCTGGCTAAACATATATTCCTGAATACGGCAATGAAAAAGGCACGCTCAGTACGTGCTCATTGCATAAGGTCTCTAAGGGCACTGTACTCATCCAAGTCGGAATCGCTCAGTGACAGTAGGAAGAACATAGGGTCCATTCTCCTCAAACATTACATGGAAAGGGAACAAAGACATAGTACAATGCTAAGGCAAATAGTAGGGAGGACGTAATACAACAACAGCTACTTACTGTCCAGTGTAAAAGGGATCCTGTCCTGTTTTACAATAAGGACATAAAATTCCCAATTCCCCATGTCACCCCAAAATATAATTGCAAACAAAGCAGAATGACTGATTTTGTATTCTGTGACAATTTTCAACTCAAAAAATTCAAAATAGTCTATAAAATATACCAAAATCTGGGGGCCAGAACTATGGTATATCAGGCTAATCTTCCAAATGCGGCACCAGCAGCCCATACGGGCACTGATTCGAGTCCCAGCAGCTCCATGTCTGGTCCATCTCCCAGCTAATGGCCTTGAGAAGACAGCGGAGGAGAGCCCAACCTCTGGGCCTCTGCACCCACTTGGAGACTTAGCTCCTGGCTTTGAACCAGCCCAGCTCCAACTTTGGCGGCCATTTGGGGACTGAACCAGCTGATGGAGGATCTCTCCCTCTATCCTTCTCTCTCTTTCAAATAAAAATACATATCTGGACCCAGCAAAATGGTTCAGTAGCTAAATCCTTGCCTTGCACATATGGGATCCCAGTTAGTATCCCAACTGCTCCACTTCCCATCCAGCTCCCGCTCCCTGCTTGTGGCCTGGGAAAGCAAAGAAAGATGGCCCAAGTCCTTGGGAATCCTGCACTTGCATGGGAGACCTGGAAGAAGCTCTTGGCTACAGCTTTGGCCATTGCGGCCATTTGGGGAGTGAACCAACGGATGGAAGATCTTTCTCTCTGTCTCTCCTCTCTGTAGAGCTGCCTTTTCAATAAAAATTTAAAAATCATTAAATAAACATACATATAGGGCCTGGCATGGTAGACTAGTGGCTAAAGTTCTTGTCTTGCACACACCAGGATCCGATATGGGTGCAAGTTCATGACCCAGTGCTCCATTTCCCATCCAGCTCCCTGCTTGTGGTCTGAGAAAGCAGCAGAGGACAGCCCAAAGCCTTGGGACCCTGCACCTGCATTAGATGCCAGGAAGATGCTCTGGGCTCCGGTTAGGCTCAGCTCTGGCTAATGCTGCCACTTGGGGAATGAATCAATGGATGGAAGATCCTTCCGTCTCTCCTCTCTATAGATCTGACTTTCCAATAAAAATAAATAAATCTTTTAAAAATACACACACACACACACACACACACAATTGTAAATGAGAAGATTCCAAGTAAGTTCCCAGTTCCTGACTTTCGCCTTCATGGAGTAAGCCAGTAGATGGAAAATTTTTCTCCTTCCCTCCCTCTTTTTATTGCCTTTCAAATAAAAAATATTAGCGGGAAGAAGGCTGATGAGAAAGTTTGTTTCTAAGAAAACAAAGTACATTTAGGTTTTCTTTATTTTTTATTTGCCTTGAGAGGAAGAGAGAGACAGAGATTTTCTATCTGCCAGCTTACTCCCAATATCTGCATTAGCCAGGCTTTGATGAGGCTAAAGCCAGGTACATGGAACTTCCAGGGACCCAGGTATCTGAGCCATCACTGCTGCCTCCTAACGGCTGACGCGGGAATCAGAAGTCAAGACTGGAGTGAAGCCCAGGTACTATAGTAAGGGTTACAGGATCTCCTGGGAACGTCTTAATTGTGCCAAATGCTTGCCTCATCTCTGAACTTCTGAAATTTTTCATACCGAAATAACAATTTGAAAATTTTATACAAAAATGACAATAATTAACCTTATACAGATCACTCATGATGACTACTTCTAATGTCAACTCCTTTAGGCACTCCCATTTCCTGAGTGCGCCTTTCCTCACTGCCAGTAAATATGAATACTAATATTATACAACCAAACTATAAAGTATGTCTGTAAATGCATGTACATACTACTTTTTCAAAAGGCAATGATTTCATGTGTTTGTTTATTTATTTAGATTTCTTTCGTTTCATAGCCTCTCTCAATATGTCAGCTTAGTTTAACACAATGCACCGACTTCAGTCATCCTCATTAATACTCCAGCATGGAAACACAATCGTACTCCTTTCGTGTTTCCTGGACAATGAAGTATTCCCCCGAACAGGTCATCATACCTGGCTGCGAGGTCAGGAAGGAAGTGATGCTGGTCTGCTTACCACCTGCAGGTGGAGTCCTTCTCTGAGTTAAAGAAATACCAGCCTTCCTCTCTTTCGGAAGGAGTGTTAACACTGGGTTGATTAAATGTGTCTGAAAAGAAATGGGGGAAAAAAAACCTATTAATACAAAAAACTTGTCAAACAAGCCAGACTGAATAAACACGAGATTGAATAAATACAAATGAGGCTGAGTAAACACTGTGTACACACACACACACACACACACACACACACACACACACGATGAAAACAAAACACAGAAATCTGAATTCAGGACTAGCATTGTGATATATATAGCACGTAAAGCTGCTGCCTTTGATGTCAGCATCCCAGATGGACTCCCACTCAGTTCCAGCTGCTCCACTTCTGATCTGGGTCCCTGCTAATGCATTTTGAAAACCAGAAGATATGCCCGGCAGCGTGGCCTAGCAGCTAAAGTTCTCTCCTTGAAAGCGCCTGAGGGCCCAGCGCGGTGGCGCAAGTGGTTAAAGGTCCTCGTCTTGCACGCCCGGGATCCCATATGGGCACCGGTTCTAATCCCGGCAGCCCCGCTTCCCTTCCAGCTCCCTGCCTGTGGCCTGGGAAAGCAGTCGAGGACAGCCCAAAGCTTTGGGACCCTGCACCCGCGTGGGAGACCCAGAAGAGGCTCCTGGCTTCGGATCGGCATAGCATCGGCCGTTGCACTCACTTGGGGAGTGAATCGTAGGACGGAAGATCTTCCTCTCTGTCTCTCCTCTCTGTATATCCGCCTTTCCAATAAAAAATAATAAAAATAAATAAATAAAGATTTATTTATTTTTAATGGAAAGTCAGATATACAGAGAGGAGGAGAGACAATGTCCAATGTCTCTGTCCAATGATTCACTCCCCAGGTGACCACAACGGCCAGTGCTGTGCCGATACAAAGCCAAGAACCAGGAACTTCCTCTAGGTCTTCCACACAGGTGCAGGGTCCCAAAGCTTTGGGCTGTCCTTGACTGCTTTCCCAGGCCACAAGCAGGAAGCTGGATGGGAAGCAGAGCTGCTGGGATTAGAACCGGCACCCATATGGGATCCTGGCGCATTCAAGGCGAGGACTTTAGCTGCTAGGCCGCAGTGCCAGGCCCATGGGGCTTTTTTTAAGCACCAAAACCAGCTAACTGGATTGAAGACACTGCTTAACCTTCATCTTGTCTTCTCCCCCCCACTTCTTACATCTGCATGTCTTAAAATTTTTGTTTCAAATTAATTTAATTTAGCTCTTTATTATTCGTTATAGCCTTGAATCTAGTACATAAGAGGTTCAAACTCCCTTCTTTCATAATGGTACTCTGGTCTGGCATTTCTCTGTGAAGTCTCCTTTTCCATATCTTGAAAACATAAGTGCACATATTGGGGAGTGAACCATTTGGGGAATGAACCAGTAAGTAGATGGAAGAACTCTCTCTCATGTCACTCAAATAAAATAACCTTCATTTGAAAAAGAAAAAAAAAAAAAACCATGAAAATGCTATTTGGAGCAAGGTATTTGTTTAGCTTAGAAGTTAAGATGCCTGCACCCTCCATCAGATGGCTTGGCTTTAATTCCCAGTCCTGACTCTTTGATTCCAGCATCCTACTGATGTGGATTCTGGAAGACAGCAATGATGCCCAACTGGGTCCCTGTCACCCATGGAAGACCTGGATTGAGTGCCTGGATCCTGGCTCTGGCCCAGTCCAGTCCTGACCTTTGCAGAATGAACCACTCTCTTCACACTGTTCCTCTTCTCTCAAAATAGAGAGACAGGGATGGGTGGACGGAAGGAGACAGAGAAAGAGAGAGAGAAAGTATAAGCTTGAGATCGTGGGCTGCTGGCAGCATGGCAGGTGACAAGCCAGCCACCTGGGCCCGTCAGCCATTTCTCAGGCAGGAGGCCACCACCACCTGCATGGAAAAGCCTATTGTACTCACCTTGCTGCCCATTTGGTGCTCTTGGCCCAGGTACAAGCCTAAACTCTGCATCATGCCAAGGCAGATGAAGAAGAGGGATGCAAAGGAACAGGGTAGGGTACCAATTTCTCTATTCACTGCCGGAAAAGGCAGGCAAATATAGCTGCCCCCACCCCACCAGGATCCAGAAGAAACTGCCAAGGTAAGACTGGGAGAGGCCAGTGTGGCAGTCTTGGGACAAGGCTGCAGCAGGTATAAACCCCTGCTCCTAGATCCCACACCAACAAGGAAGAAGATGAGCTGTATAGGCAAACTCTACATTTGATCAGTTTTATACCATCCAACACTTCACTGCTGCCTGTACCGAACTGGGTAAATCGAGGGGAAGTCTAGAAAATCATGTTAAGCAAGGAAAAGTAGTACTGTACGGATTAGCACTTTTTGCAACAACACCCTCTTCTGCAAATGGCAGTAATTCTTTTGGAGTAATTAATGGAGGAGTGTGACACTTATAAACTTCACAGGCAGACAATTTATTTAGGACAGGTTCTTTTTTACTATTATTATTACTGTGTGGTAACACAATATTGTAAAAGCACTTACATGGCTTATTGAGGTTCCATCTTTACTCATTGCACCAAAATTGAGGAAATCAACTTGCCCAAGTTGCATTAGCTTGCTCATGATGCAGATGGGGCTTTTCCAGTGATGGATTTCTTACATGGAACTGGTGATTCTTAAGGCTCGTTAGTGGCATTAAGACCCTTCACTACTGTGTCTGCCTTCTGAAGTCCCCTGAGCGGGGAGGCAGGCATTCCTCCCATTGTACCCTGTACCAGTGGTTGCTCACATCCGGCTAGTCAGCAGTGGCAGTAGAGATGAGTCATTCCCACATGTAAGAGGATTTGTAGCTATAATGTCTCCCCCAGGGCAGGCTAAAGGTCATAAGAATCTGTAATGTTGGGCCCAGCCGCAGTGGCTTAGCGGCTAAGTCCTCGCCTTGAACACCCCCGGGATCCCATATGGATACCGGTTCTAATCCCAGCAGCTCCACCTCCCATCCAGCTCCCTGCTTGTGGCCTGGGAAAGCAGTCAAGGACGGCCCAAAGCGTTGGGACCCTGCACCCGCGTGGGAGACCCAGAAGAAGTTCCTGGATCCTGGCTTCAGATTGGCATAGCATCAACCGTTGCACTCACTTGGGGAGTGAATCATCGGACGGAAGATCTTCCTCTCTGTCTCTCCTCCTCTCTGTATATCTGACTTTCCAATAAATAAATAAATCTTAAAAAAAAAAAAAAAGAATCTGTAATGTTACTTAACATACCCTTCATTCTTTTCACTCCTACCCCATTTTTTTTTATTTTTAAATTTATGTATTTATCTGAAAGACAAAATTACAGAAAGATTCTACATCCACTGGTTCTCTCCCCAAATGGCCATAACAGCCAGGGCTAGGCCAGGACAAAGCCAGGAGCTTCAGCCGGGTCTCCCAAGTGAGTGACAGAGGCCTAAGTACTTGGGCCATGCTCCACTGCTTTCTCAGGAGCACAAGCAGCAACCTGAATTAGTAGAATAGCCAGGGCCCAGCACAGTAGCTTAGCAGCTAAAGCTCTCGTCTTGCACACGCCTGGATCCCATATGGGTATCGGTTCTAATTCCGGCTGCCCTGCTTCCCATCCAGCTCCCTGATTGTGGGCCTGGACAAGCAGTAAGGAACAGCCCAAAGCCTTGGGACCCTCTCACCCATGTGGGAGGACCACAAGAAGCTCCTGGCGGCTCAGCTCTGGTCGTTGCAGCCACTTGGGGAGTGAATCAGCAGACGAAGATATTCCTCTCTGTCTCTCCTCCTGTCAGTATATCTTACTTTGCAATAAAAATTTTTAAAAATAAATTAATTAAAAAAATAAAGTAGAGCAGCAGGACTCAAACTGGCACCCATATGGGATTCTGGTGTTATAGGCAGCAATTTAACTCCTATCCCACAACGCTGGCTCTGTTCTTACCCTAAAGAGTAAATCAACTTTTGTTTGGGAAACTTGCTAACATAATGACCAAAAAGTCTACTTTTAAGAAGAAAATGCAAAGTAAAGCTGTATATAGCTCACAGCCACAATGCCAACATACAGTCTGTACCTTGGCCACTCTGATGAAAGGGCCAAATGCCTTACACATGGTCACTGTCCACCCTTACTTTTGGTTGAACATTCTCCCAAGTGATCTTTTCAACTCTGGCATTCCATTTTCTAACAATGCTCTCAACTGCTGAGCAAATCAACTTGCTATTTTATTTCACTTTGCAAAAATTCATGTACAAGAAAGATAGTCATTAAAACTTTGTATGATTTTTATATGAAGTTGGAAAGAGACACGACATTTTGACACTGATGTAACTAGGCAAATTTTAATAGTTTTCAAAATAAGTACACATAAACTGAAGAAGAAGAAGAAGCAGAAGTATCAGAAGCAGCAGAAGCAGCTGAAGACGAGGCCGAACACAAAATACTCAGCTGATACAAGTCAGTTGCCAGATATTCTCCAGAACCCTGTATGAAGGCCCAGCACAGTAGCCTAGTGGGTTAAGTCCTCACTTTGCACCCGTCAGGATCCCATATGGGTGCCAGTTCATATCCTGGTGCCCCGTTTCCCGGCCAGCTTTCTGCTTGTGGGCTCCCTCCCTGGGAAAGCAGTGGAGGACAGCCCAAAGCCTTGGGACCCTGTACCCGCATGGAAAACCTGGAAGAAGTTCTGGGTTCCTGGTTTCAGATCAGTTCAGCTCTGGCCATTGTGGCCGCCTGGGGAGTGAATCAATAGACAGAAGATCTTCCTCTCTGTCCCTCCTCTCTGTGAATCTGACTTTGCAATAAAATAAATAAAAAAAGAAACAAAATAAAAAAAAAAAAAAAAACCTTCTCTATATGTAACTGTTAGAGAAAAATGTTTCAGATTCCTGCCAAGACCCAACCTCTACTGAAGAAAATTTTCTGTTTCATGTACTTGATTTTAAAGATTTTTTTTTTATTATTATTTTTTATTGGAAAGGCGGATATACAGAGAGGAGAGACAGAGAGGAAGATCTTCCGTCCGATGATTCACTCCCCAAGTGAGTGCAACGGGCCGATACTATGCCGATCCAAAGCCAGGAGCCTCTTCTGGGTCTCCCACGCGGGTGCAGGTTCCCAAAGCTTTGGGCCGTCCTCGACTGCTTTCCCAGGCCACAGGCAGGGAGCTGGAAGGGAAGCGGGGCTGCCGGGATTAGAACCGGCACCCATATGGGATCCCGGGCGTGCAAGGCGAGGACCTTTAACCACTTGCGCCACTGCGCCAGGCCCAGTGTACTTGATTTTAAAAACGACATTTTTTTTTTTTACCTCAATGACTCCACTCCTACAAATTCTCCCTCGATAATATTCATACACAAAAATGATGTGGGGAGCAGGCACACAAAGCTAAGATGCCGTTTCAGATACCTGACACCTGCCAGCACCGCACTAGGGAGCAGGCAGGCTTCTGTTCTCATCCTGCTTCAGTTTCTAGCTTCCTGCTAATGTGCGCCCTGACAGGCAGCAGGTGATGCTTCAAGCATGTAGGTCCCTGGCACCTGCATGGGAGAGCCGCCGGATGTCCTGTCCTGTGGCTTGGCCAAGCACAGCCCTGGCTGTCATGGACACTCGGGAATGAACCAGTGGGTGAGACATCCTTGTTCTTGCCTCTCTGCCTTTCATATAAATAAAAGAATGACTCAGCTCTTTGTGAATGCAGATGAAATATGCATAAGGCGCAACAAGTGAAAAAAGCAACTCGTCCCACAATGTTTAATATGCTACTATTTGGGGCCTGGCCGCAGTGGCCTAGCAGCTAAAGTCCTTGCCTTGAACACCCCGGGATCCCATATGGACACCGGTTCTAATCCCAGCAGCTCCACTTTCCATCCAGCTCCCTGCTTGTGGCCTGGGAAAGCAGTCCACGACCCAAAGCCTTGGGATCCTGCACCCATGTGGGAGACCTGGAAGAAGTTCCTGGTTCCTGGCTTTGGAACAGCATAGCATCGGCTGTTGCACTCACTTGGGGAGTGAATCATCGGATAGAAGATCTTCCTCTCTGTCTCTCCTCCTCTCTGTATATCTGACTTCCCAAAAAATAAATAAATCTTTGTAAAAAAAAAAAAAATATATATATATATGCTACTATTTGAAAGAAAGGAAAACCCCATTTGCTTGTATATTCACAGGGGACCTCAGGAAAGAGGAACAAGATAGTGTAGGCCTCTGGGATGCAGAAAGTTGGGTAAGAATATGAAGCAGACGTTTCAATGCAGACTGGATACATTTAAACTAATAAGTAAATAATGTTATTTTTCCAAAAATGACTGCAATTGTAAAAGGTTTAACTGATTCTGTCCAACAGGTTGCAGCCACACACAGATGAACCACTTGATCTTTAGACTATTGATCACACTGTCCAAACCCAGCCTTTCCTGCGCAGTTCAAGTCCCTTTCTGTTTGGTTAAACCTTCCTTGATAACCACAAGTCAAAGGAATCTTTCTGGCCTCCAAAGTCACAGGGTCCTGAGTGAGAGCACTCACAGGAACTGAATTCTGCCTTGAATTCTGCCTTGGAGGGTTAAGCGCATAGCCTGAATAGCAATCAGAACTGAGGCAGAACCCCTGCTTGCCTGACTCATGTTTTAATCCAAACCTCAATGTTCTCAACTTATAAAACCAGGACAATGAAGGGATCTACCTCATTGCACCTTGGTGAATACCTGCTAATAAAAAGGGCTTGCAAACGGGCCAGCACTGTGAGCACCAGTTCCAACCCCTGCTGCTCCACCTCTGATCCAGTACCCTGCTAATGCGCCTGGGGAATCAGCAGAAGACGGCCCAGGTGCGTGGGCCCCTGCACCCATGTGGGAGACCTGGCTTCGGCCTGTCACCGCTCCAGCTGTTACAGCCATTTGGGAAGAGAATCCACAAGTGAAACAGCTCTCTTCTCTTTCTCTGAGACACTGCTTTTCAAATAAAGAAATATATATAATTTTTTTTTAAAGAGGGTGTTTGTGCAAAGTCTTGGACAAGTGACACATGCTAAATACTCGCTGTTGGCTAGTGTAACTGTGTGGAGCTCTTTTCCTTCTAAGACTGTAAGTACCCTGCCTGTGCTGTCCCTTTTGAGATTTGAGTTTTCATATCCCAGAGCAAGAATTGTCCCAAACAAGACAAACAGGCCTAACTAAAATGCCTTAGCACAGCGGCCAGCACAAAATGCTGTGACACCCCTGGGTGTGATGTCCACCTCGTCCTGGTTGGGTGAACCTGGGCGGGCTCCTCATTCCCAGCGAGAGGAAGGACACACACGATGGATGCTGTGCACCCACTACATTGTCCGGCACCCAACGGACGGCCAGTGCACGGGAGGCCGGCTCCCCGACCCTGCTTCCCCACAACCCTCTCCCCGCACCCCTCAAAATTACTCCTTCTGGGTAAGTAAGGCCAGCAAGCTAGCCTGGCCAAGTCTGGAGGCAAGAGACCCCAGGGGTGAGAATTCCCCAATTTTGCCAAGTGCACCTGCCTCCCAGGACTTCAAGCCTCCGTCAGCGCGCCTGGAAGGGACTGTAAGCGCCCAAAAAGAGCGAATTTGCTTTTCCACCTCCCCTCACCTAACCTGGGAACTCTGCCGTCCCGGTCTCCCCTCAGCCCACGGCTTCCTTCTACCCCAACCCCATTTTCAGCTTTCCCCCATTCCTCTCGCCGGTGAATCTCCAAAGCCGTCCCTGACTTTCCGTCGATCACCTCCAGACTCTCCAGCACCCGTCTCTTTTCGCGTCCCCTCAGGTCGTCCCCGTCCCCCCCGAAACGCCCAATGAACCCTCCCCAAGTCCCACCTGCACTTTGTGCCTCTTCAGAGCCGCCGCGTCCAGCCACACGCCGCAGGCCTCCTCCTCGGGGACTCTCCGCCTCATGGCCACCGCAAAGTGGCCACCTCCGGCTAGTCACTAAGCCCCAGCTCGGGACGCCTCACAGACTCCCCTCAGCCGCCGACCTCCACCTTCGGATCTCCCGCCAGCGCCTAGGGGCGGAGCTACGCGCCGGCCGCTCCGTGCGCAGGCGCCGACCCGCGACGTCAGCCCCGCCTCTTTCCCCAAGCTCCGCCCCGCGCGCGGTGATGCGTTTGCTGGTCCCGCCCAGTGTCTCCTGGTCTCCTCAGGCTTGTGTGGTGTCTTACCGGTGGATTCGTGTGAGGTCGTACCTGGAATGTGTCGTTTCGCTTCGCCGAACTGTCCTTTCTTGATAATGACCCAGTTACCTCAAAGGGAAGCCGAGGAGCCCGGGCTCCGGGCTTCAGCATTTCCCTAAATGGACGCCACCTCCTTAACTTTGTGGATTTCCTTCATAAGAGAGGAAATCTTGGGGCCTAGCGGGCAAAGGTCTCAATTTGAATGTGCCAGGAACGTGACTGGGAAAGCAGTCGAGGACGGCTTGGGACCCTGCACCCAGGTGGGAGACCCGGAAGAAGTTCCTGGCTCCTGGCTTCAGATCAGCTCAGTTCCGGCCGTTGTGGTCACTTGGGATGTGAATCAGCAGACGGAAGATCTTCCTCTCTGCATATCCGTCTTTCCAATAAAAATAAATCTTTTTAAAAGGAAAAAAGGAGAAAATCCTAAAGTTAACCATAAAGTCTCATTTTAGAATGTTCTGGAAACACTACGGACTCTGTGACCTTAGGTTTTAAAAAGGATCAAGTGAGGACTTTGCAGATTCTAAGAACCTCTTGGAGAGGCAAAAATGCTACATCCTGCCCACAGCAATTGCCACAGACAGAATGTTTACTCATTTGTTGTAAACATTTATATAGGCGTGCATCTCAGACAGCATGTGGAAATTTTTAATTCAAAAATGTTTATTCTGGTGCTAAGAAAATAAAAAATCTGGGGCCCACGCACGATGGCTCAATTGGCTGAACTTTCCTCTGAAAGTGCAAGGATCCCATATGGGCAGTGATGGCTACCGCAGTCACAGGAAGTGGGTGGACACCACAGTGACCTCAGCCAGAGATCTGGCACACCCCGAAGGCGGCCAAGGGCACACTTGGGCCAATGATGGACAAAGGCCAATATTCCTTGTCCTATCAGGGCCCAAGCAGGGCTGATGCCAGCACCCATGTCAGAGGGGGCATAAAACCTTTGCCTCCACTACCCAGCTTGTCTTTCCCACTTGTGGTTCTCACCTCTCTTCTTCATTCCTCCACTGCACGGCAAAGGTCGAGGAATGGACTTCTCTTTGTATAATAAAGGCCTGTTTGTACTTGGCTGGTATTTTCTTTCTTGGGTGGTTGGCAAAGCTAACAGGCATCCGTTTGTGTCCTGGCTGCTCCACTTCCCATCCAGCCCCCTGCTTGTGATCAGGGAAGGCAGTTGAGGATGGTCCAAAGCCTTGGGACCTTGTACTCACATGGAAAAACCAGAAGAGGCCCCTGGCTCCTGGCTTCAGATTTGCTCAGCTCTGGCCATTGCAGATGGTATCTGAGGAATGAACCACTTGATAGAAGATCTGTACTTCTCTCTGTAAATCGACCTTTCCAATAAAAATCTTAAATCCAAAATCTGGGGTCCAGCATAGCCACTGCCAGCAATGCCAGAATCCCCCATTGGGATTGTAGGGTGCCAATTCTAGTGCAGCTCCCTGTTAATGTGCCTGGGGGAGTATGCCAGGATGGCCCAAGTAAATGGGTGCCTGCATGCACATGGGAGGTCTAGACTATGCTCTTGGCTCCTGGCTTCCACCAGGCCCATTCCACCAGGCCCAGCCCTGGGCTTTGTGGTCATTGGAGGATGGGGGGGGGAAGGAGGGTGAACCAGCAGATGGGAGATCTGTCTCTCCATAACTTTGCTTTTCAAGTAAGCCTTTAAAAATAAAAAATAAAAAACCTCTCCAGATACTTGCACCTCACAACCTCACACTTAGTTCCGGGGTTGTATTCCGTGCTCCAGCTCCCTACGACAGGCAAGTGGTCTAGTACCTGCCATGTATGTAAGAGACCCCATTGAATTTCCAGCTCCGGTTTGGGGAATGAGCCAGCAGATGAGAGCTCTATTTGTCCCTCCCAATAAAAGGTTGGGGCCAAATTGTGGCACCGTGGGTTAATTTGCCCCTTGTAACACTGGCATCCTTAAAGAAGCACAATTTCTAGTCCCAACCAGTCCAGTCCACTTCGGATCCAGTTCCTGCTAATGCACCTGGGAAGGCAGCAGAGGATGGCCCAAATGCCTGGGCCTCTCTCACCCAAGTGGACACCCAGCTGGAGTTCAGGTTCCACCTGGGCCAGCCAGTCATGACTGTTGCAGCCGTCTGGGGAGGGAACCAGCATTTGGACAACCTCCTTTTGTGCAACCCTTCCTATTAAATAAAAGCTAGGATAAATATCACATGAAAACAAATGTTTAAATCCATGCAGATTTTTTAAGTATGCATTTTCCATGTACATTTCAATGATGCTATTACTATGTGTTACATATTTTATGATATAAATAAGAAAATGCCGCAGCAAATTTTAGCAGTGGGATGATTTTTTTTTTCTTTAATCCAAGGGTTTTTTGTTTTTGTTTTGCTTTTTCCTAATTCCCTTCATTGTTCACACATATGTGGTTTATATGCCATGGGAAAAAAACAGTGCTAATAAAAGTTAACACAGAGAGAAAAGCCGGCATCTGGTGTGATGGCGCAGCCACTGCTGGGGATCTCCACATCCCCACACTGGAAGGCTGGGTCAGAGGCCACCAGCACTCACAGTTGCAGTTTCCTGGATTTCTAGCTGCACTCTGGGAGAGGGCAGTGGGTGACGGCTCATGTCCTTGGGTCCCTGCCATCTTCCTGGGAGGCCAAGCTTGAGTTCTGGACAGCCTGGCTCAGCCCAAGCACTTGTGGGGTGAACCAGTGGGTGGGAGGTCCATCTCCGTGTATCAGGTTCTCTGTCTCTGTCTCTGCCTTTCAAATAAAAAAAATTTTTTTGTAAGATTTATTTATTTTCATTGCTAAGTCAGACATACAGAGAGGAGGAGAGTCAAAGAAGAAGATCTTCCGTTCAATGATTTACTCCCCAAGTGACTGCAATGGCCGGTGCTGTGCCGATCCAAAGCCAGGAACCAAGAGCTCTTCCGGGTCTCCCATGAGAGTGCATGGTCCCAAGGCTTTGGGCCATCCTTGACTGCTTTCCCAGGCCACAAGCGGGGAGCAGGATGGGAAGCAGGACAGCTGGGATTAGAACTGGTGCCATATGGGATCCCGGGGCGTTCATGGCAAGGACTTTAGCTGCTAGACCACCGTGCCAGGCCCTCAAATCAAATTTTAAAGTCCATATAGAAAGTTCTCCTCTGTTACTATATGGTGGGATTATATTTTAGACACATTCTTTTAACTAATTTATACATTTCTTTAGTAATAAAACTGCCTTGTGAAAAGGATTCATATTATAACATACTTTAAGTGTGTACAGTGTATAGTATAAAAATATAGAAATCTATGTAAAGAAACTATATAAAGGTGTAACTCCACCCACCAGCAAATACAAAACAAGAACGGCTCCCCCTCCAGCATGTCCACTCCCAGGGTCCTTGGCTTCCTTGGGAAAACCGTCCCCACACTGAAAACCAACTCCCTGGGACCAGAGACAAAAAGCCAAGAGGCAGCTCTAGTTAGAATAACTTTAATTTGCATTGAGAACACATCAGAATTCATCACCACTACACCAGCCACCCCGAACTCTCCCTTCTGCACCCCAGACCTTTGCACACATTTCCCCATATTATTGTAATGTCCCTTCTCATCGTCCTTAAGCAAGCTTCTGCTTACCTTCCCAACCTAAGACCCCAAGTGTCCTGGGAAAAACCGGTTATTCCCACCCTTGGGTTTCCCCTGACAGTTCACCCAGACAGGAAAGCCTTCTCCATCCTGCATTGAACCACAGGGCTCAGCTGGGTGGCTTGCCTCTGTCTCAGCCAGCACTGAATGCACCATGAATCATGAACCAGCAAATCACGGGAGAAGCTGGGAGCAAGCTGCAGGGGACAGAGAGGCCAGAGCCAGGAGACAGAGGCTCCTGGAGCAGTGACTGGAGAGTGACTGAAGAATTAAGGGGTCCCAGGTGGCATCCATTTACACAGTCTTCTACTTCAGGGGCTCTCCCAAGCCCCAACACTCCAGACTCCAGTTCAAGCAACAGTTAAGATTCTGGATCAAGTTTGGGCCTGCCCTTTCTTCATTCCCTAGTGAAATCTGAGTAGAAGTGGGTTGCTGAGGCTGCCCCTGTCTCTCAGACCATGTGGAAGCTTCCAAACCCGGATCCTGATCCAAGTTGACCCCCCAGTCTCACTCCTAGTGAGAGGCAAGGAAAGGGCATGCCAAGAGGGCCCAAACCTTCATGTCGTTCCCTCTCCCAGCACAGTGAGTTGAGAAAGGTCCGGAGTAGACCCCAGCAGCTCCAAGGCAGTCCCCAGATCCAAGGTGGGCTAGTACCACCCTTGGTGTTGCATGCACAGGGAGTCATTGCAGGCCAGACACAAGCAACTTTACCAGGCCTTGTTCCCCACTGGAGCCAAGCCCAGACCCTTGTCCCCCCCATGATGCCTCCCTCCTGACCGACTGCCTCCCCCTTCACTGGGTCTTCTGCTCGAGTTTGCGCCGCACTAGCTGGCTCAGGAGGAATGCCGTGAGGACGCTGCTGACCACGGTGAGCAGGAAGAGGCCCGCGAAGTTGTGGGGTGAGCGCGTGTGCAGAGGCTCATAGATGGGCCGCCGGGCCTCGTAGTCCAGCGTCACGGCCTCCAGCTGAGCCAGCGTGCACAGCACCAAGAAGACATGGAAGAGTTGATGGCCCTGCCCAAAGACATGGCAGCTGCCAGGGAACCAGCGTTCAGGCATGACGGTGGAGAAAAAGGCGGCAGCCAGCAGAAAGAACACCACCTGGCATTTGTGGTAGAGAAGGGCCGGGTCATTTGTGGCTGGATCAGAGGACACCAAGATGCGGTGTATCACGGGGCTAATGTCCAGGGCATAGGCCACCGCAGAGGGCACCTCCTGGCAGGTGCGGCCCAGCAGGCCGGGCTTCTGGATGTACTTGTTGTAGCAGGAGCCTGTACAGGAAAGCCAGGCAAGAAAGGCGGCTGTAGGCAGGAACACAGCCTGCACCTGCGAGTGCCAGGCAGGCTCGATGGCATAATAGAAGTGTGCCAGGGCACTGCCAAACTGGTACACAGCCACACCCACGTAGTCCAGGAAGAAGAAGCTGTAATGCCAGAACTCAGATTTGGCCTGCAGGAGGTGAGCGAGGGCACTGAAGGAGAGGTAGGTGAAGGAGGCGAGGACGATGATGAAGAGGGGCAGGGCGTGTGGGTCTCCCCAGAAGTCCACGGTCCCCATGAAGATGGCCAGCCGCAGGAGCAGCACCACGGCCGCCAGCAGGTGGGTCCAGACGTTCACCGCCTCATTGTGCTGCTGGAAGAGTGTGCGGAAGTAGAAACGCCAGGTCCGATGCAGTGGCCGGTAGCCAGCATAGATGTAGGGCTTCCAGAAGAGGGGCGGCACCTGGGCCCGGTCCACTGTGAAGACAGGCTCTGGCTGCGGAGACACCTGTGTGGCCTGGCGCAGATTGTACAGGAAGTGGCTGAACTTCTGGGCCACCGCCATGGCCATGGCTGTGGAGGCCTAGGCAGGGAGCTGGGAGAGGAGAGGTCAGACGAAAGTTACGGACCAAGGCCCAGGTCTCCCTCCCTCCCTCCATCCCCTTGCACTTGCACCATGTCTAAGGGGGAGGGAGGAGTAAGATGCATCCCAAGGAAGAGCTCAACACAGAACTGGAAAGCAAGGCCCACTGCTATGTTCCTTGATGCTTCTCCAGGACCAAGAGCAGAGCCCACACACGGCAGGTGCTCCAGAAATGATGCTGGGGGAGGGGTCGCACAGATAATAAAGTTTCCCACATCGGTCATTTTCGGCTCAAGGACAGATGTGACCATGCAGAACGGAGGGCATGGAGGCAGGCTGTTGCAGCCCCTGTGTTGGTGCCAACACCGGTGTTCACCCAGTAGCAAGGATGACCTTGCCAAGACACCTGATGCCTTTACTCAGAGCCCCTTTTCACTGAGGCCACGGTCTTCCGCTCACCCTCAGTGACTCTGCAGGAGCTGCTCTTAGCTGCCTTCTCCAGGCTTATTTTTTTTTTAAAGATTTATTTTATTTTTATTGGAAAGGCGGATATACAGAGAGGAGAGACAGATCTTCTGTCCGATGATTCACTCCTAAGTGGCCGCAGTGGCTGGAGCTGAGCCAATCTGAAGCCAGGAGCCTCTTCCGGGTCTCCCATGCGGGTGCAGGGTCCCAAAGCTTTGGGCCGTCCTTGACTGCTTTCCCAGGCCACAAGCAGGGAGCTGGATGGGAAGCGGGGCTGCCGGGATTAGAACCAGCGCCCATATGGAATCCCGGGCGTGCAAGGCGAGGACCTTAACCACTGCACCATCGTGCCAGGCCCCAGCCTTATTGTTACAATGCACTAAATCCAGCCACCACCTCACCAGACTCCTGGGGATTTCCCCTTTCATGCATCCACAGCTTTGCATTAGCTACTCTCTCTCTGCCTCACCCTGCCTACCTGGCAAACTCCTATTCAGCCCTCAATACCCGTTCCTTATTGGATACTTTCCTTGGTCCCCTGGACTTTCTGTGATGACCCCTCTATCTGAGTGCCTACTACAATGACCATACAACACTTTTTTTTTTAATAAGCATTAAGCTGGGATTACTGAGAGCAGGCAACTTGTTTTGTGATTCCAGAAATCCTGCTAAGCAAGGAGCTGACACTCAGTGACAGTGAATGAAGGACCATTTTGATGTATTTTGATGACAGGTCAGACTTTCCATGGCCTATCAGAGAGCTGCTTGTCCCTGAGAGTCCCCAGCTAATAAACAAGTCTACAAAACCAGCCTTTGTGGGGCCCAGTGCAGTGGCATAACAAGGTAATCCTCTAGCATCTCATAGGGGTACAGGTTCAAGTCTCAGCTGCTCCACTCCTGATCTGGCTCCCTGCTATAACCTGAGGGCAGAGAATGGCTCAGGTCCTGGGGCCCCTGCATCTGCGTGGGAGACCTAGAAGAAACTCCTGGCTTTGGATCAGCTCAGCTCTAGCCATTGTGGGCATTTGGGGAGTGAACCAGAAGATGGAAGCTCTGTCCTTTTGCTTACCCTCACTCCTACTTGCAAGTTTCCCGCAAGCTCCAAGCCCTCCCTACCATTGCCTGTGTTTTGCTTGTTCCAAATATGTCTGATCTGGGTCTAGTGCAGTAGCCTAGTGGCTAAAGTCCTTTCCTTGCTTGCGCTGGGATCCCGTATGGGTGCTGTTTCGTGTCCTGGATGTTCCACTTTCATTTCAGCTCCCTGCCTGTTGCTTGGGAAGAGCAGTAGATCTCAAAGCCATGAGATCCTACAGCCGTGTGGGAGACCTGGAAGAAGCTCCTGGCTCCTGGCTTCAGATCAGCACAGCTCTGGCTGTTGTGGCCACTTGGGGAGTGAACCAACAGATGGTAGATCTTCTTCTCTGTCTATCCTTCTCTCTGTAAATCTGACTTCCCAATAAAAATAAAATAAATGTTTAGAAAAATAAAAATAAGAAACCAAATATGTCCGATCTAACCCCTCATCCTGGCATTCAAGGCCCTCATGACCAGCACCCGTCCTCAGTTCCCACCTAATCCCAACAGCGTCCCACTCTGTGCCAACATCCTGTCCCACTCTGTGACAACATCCTGTCCCACTCTGTGCCAACATCCCGTCCCACTCTGTGCCAACATCCTGTCCCACTCTGTGCCAACATCCTTTCTCTGCATGGAAATTCTTCAAGGCCGGCAAAAGCTCCCTGCACCCCTACCACCCACTGACAGCAGTTTACACAATTCAGCCTGTACCCACTCACTCATTCATTCATCAAACACCCCATGCTCTTCGTGGTCTCACACTGTCAGGTGTAGCACAGAGGCCGAGAGCCGCTCCCATGGCAGCAGCATGGTCTGGCGGAGGCTACAGAAAGCAAACTAAGCCACAGCAGGTGCTCACACGGCACCTGCGCGGTTTTAAGTGTTCTATGGATAACTGAGTCTCTGGGGCTTTAAAACTAGCCTCATGAGATCAATGCTATCCATGGATTCCCATTTTCCACAAAGGAAAAAGGCACAAGGACATGCTCTGAACCCTGCACTCTGAAACACTCACCTCAACAGCCCTTGGCAAAGCCACACGGTCAGGGCTATTCATCATTTCACAATGACAAAAGGTTGCCCTCAGCCTTATCTTGTGTCATTCATTAACTCAAATATTTACTGGAAATCCTTGCAGACAACTGCTCCGCTGCCAGACAAACTCCCTTCAGCAAGCATATTGCCCACCATCCATCAGCCAGCTCTTGCCACACCTTGGCACCCATCACTGTATGAAACCAAGAGACTGGGTAGAATAACGCACGGGCTCTCTGCCATCCACACCACCGTGATAGCTGCCAAGTCAGCTGGTCAGGCCACACACAGAGCAAAGAATGTGCCTGCGGTGCTGGGGTAGCAGCAAGCTTGGTCCTCCACAGTCTGAGCCATGCTCCTTAAGCTCCCCCCGTGCCAGCGTCCAGGGGTCAGCTGTGGTTCTCGGCTCTTCCCGGCTTGGTATGAGTGAGGCAGGATTTCAATGAGCTGCACAGAGTGCACCCATCACAAGCATGGGAAGGCTCAAGGCTCAGCCCTTCCCTGTTCCCAGAGAGCCGGGTACAGGGCACATTTAGGAAGCAGGCCTTGGGAATGAACTAAAGAATGGGGCCACTCAGTGCCAGAACCTAGAACCCCCTCTGCCCCATCTGCCAGCATGGGAGTGCTCCCTCTCTCTCTAGGTGATGGGCCTTCTGCCTTGGCACTCTGGCTTCCACCTCTGGTGACGACTTGGCCTTCTCAATTCCAAAAGGGTCCCTCGATAGCACCGACACAGCTCCTTGCTGACAATGAGGATACCAGAGTCCAGAAATGGCAGGCTTTCCCTCGAGGGGTGCACCTGCCAGACCTCTACGCCACCACAGGAATAGACCAGAGACAGGGAGGACCATCAGTGTCCCAGCGGCCTCTAAGTCCATTGTCTGTGCACCATGTCTCACCCAAGTACACCCCAAGGGAAGGTGCTGAGAAGTCCTGCAATAAAGAAACCTGCTGAGCTGTTAAAAAAAAAAAAGGGAAGGAAGGAAGCAAGCAAGCAAGAAATGATCTGAGAGGTAGACACACACACACACACACACACACACACAAGGAGCTTCCATCGCTGGGTTACTCCAACAGCCCAGGTCAGGCCAAGCCCAAAGTGGAAGCCAGAAACTAGGAACTCAGTCCAGGTTCCCACATGGGTGACAGGATCTCAAACACCTGTGCCCCACCATCACTGCCATTCGGGGTAAATGTTAGTAGGCAGCTGGGGAGCAATGCCAGGGACTGTGGTGTGGGATGTGAGCATCTTAATCAGCAGCTTCACCACTAGGCCAAATGCCCACCTCCACCCAGCTCGGTGGAACCTATACTCACCACACTTATGTGGCCATGGATTCCTGTCCCAGTAATGACGACAAAGCCAGCTGGGACATAATGACCTCTCTATAAACCACACTACAATTCATTCTCCTAAGTTGCCCAGGAGGCGGATATTACAATGCCCATTCTGCTGTTGTGCATGGGACATTCTGAGAAGCAAAGGAAGCTTATCCAGAGGCCGACATTGTGGTATAGCAGGTAAAGCCACCACCTATGACTCCAGCACTCTATATGGCCTAGGAAAGGCAGTGGGAGATGGCCCAAGCATTTGGGCCCTAGCTACCCATATGGAAGACCTAGATGAAGCTCTGGGCTTTGGCCTGGTCCAGTACTGGTTGTTGCATCAATCTAGGAAGTGTATCAGTTGATGAAAGATTTCTCTCTTCTGTCTCTCTCTGTAATTCTGACTTTCAAAGCAAATCTTAGGGCTGGCACTGTGGCATAAGGGGTAAAACCACCACCTATAACACCAGCATTCCATATGGGTCCCAGTTTGTGTCCTGGCTGTTCTACTTCAGATCTAGCATCCTATTAATGGCCTGGGAAAGCAGTGGAAGATGGTCCAAGTGTTTGGACTCCTGCACCACGAGAGACCCAGATGAAACCGGGGCTGGCTCCTGCCTTCAGCCTGGCCTAGCCCTGACAATGATGGCCATTTGGGGAGTAAACCAGATTTCTTTCCCTCTCTGTAACTCTTTCAAATAAATAAATAAATATTTTTAAAAATTAAAAGATTGCTTATCCAAGGTCATGGGGAAGGAGAGGAAGTCTGTGGTGAAGTCAGGCTTGGGCCTGTTTCTTAGGCTGCAGAACAGAACCACTTGGAGCCCTCTGCTGCTGTCCCAGCCGTATGCATCCCATACCACACATGTCACATCACATGCGTCCCCCAGAAGGCTGCTGAAAGGTACAGTCTCAGGGAAACAACCAGGTCCTCTCCCTGAAGGTGCTTGTTAGTAACTGACCAACACTCAGGACCCCCGTCTCCCTCAGCTGTCAGTTACCTACCCGCTCTGCACAGGGCAGTCCTGGCTCCCGCATGGGGACAGTGCTCCCTCACAGCCTCCCTCCCTGCCCCCTGGCAGGCCCCAAAGACACAACACAGAGAAACAGATCAGGGTGAGGGAAGTTCCGCTGCCTCTTGCCTGTAGAGCTCCACCAGGGGCCCCTCGCCTTCTAAGCACGTCTGTATCCACAATCAGTTCCCATCTCCTGACTACAAGGAATGGGACCATGAATCCAGGGGAAAGAAACGAGCAACAGCAGGGACCAGAGTGGGTACCCAGAGGGCACTGTTCCAGTACTCAGCCCACCGTGCCACAAGGCCCTGCCTGTCCCTGGCAGCCCGGCCCCCTCCAATGGCGTTGGGTACCTGGAATCTCTCTCAAGCCTGGGGGCAGATGACCTGCTGCAGGACTAGGCAAATGCGCCAGAAGCCAAGCTCTGGGTGGCACTTCTACAGGTAAGGGGCTCTGGGGGCGGGGCTTGTAGGGACCTGGGGTATCTTGTGTGACATCACCAGAGGGTGGAGCTAAGGGCAACCTCCCAGACCTCTGTCTTCCCTCCTTTCACCACTCCCACACTGGTACAAAACCCCTGTGCTCTCCTGGCTAGGCCTTGGATGCAGAGAGAAGCTCACTACGCACCTTGCGGGAGATGAGCACGGAAACTAAGAGGAGCTGAGAAGCTGTGACTCACCCAAGTTCACAGGGCACGTGAGGGCAGAGGCAAGATGAGGCCGCGTGTCCACAGCCGGGTTAATGGATGTCAGGCCAACGTGGCAGGTTCCTGATCCCCAGGGCAGCTAGGAATAAAAGAAAATGTGGTTGAGGCTCTTGAAGGAGATGGCCTTTGGGTTCAGAGAGGCAAGTCTGACTGCATCCACTGTGTGACCTGCCCTGATGCTTCATGGGAACCATAGTACTATCAACATCATAGATGGCTGCACAGATTAAATGGCCTAGAACTCTATTTTCAACTTTTTTTTTCAAGATTTATTTCTTTTTATTGGAAATGCAGATTTACAGAGAGGAGGAGAGAAAAAGATCTTCCATCTGCTGGTTCACTCCCCAAGTGGCTATAACAGCCAGAACTGAGCCAATCCAAAGCCAGGAGCCAGGAGCTTCTTCCTTCTGAGTCTCTAACACAGGTTCACGGTCCCAAGGCTTTGGGCCATCCTCTACTACTACTTTCTCAGGCCACAAGCAGGGAGCTGGATGGGAAGTGGAGCAGCAAGACACAAACCAGGGCCCATATGGGATCCCAGCAGATGCAAAGCAAGGACTTTAGCCACTAGGCGATTGTGTCAGGCCCCTAAGATTCCATTTTAGCACAGAATAAGGATCCAATCGTTGAGAGGTTCACCTGAGTTCTCTAAACACTTCAGGCCTCCCACAGCCCTTGATAACTACTTCCACTCTTAACTGAGTCTCTTTGGACCCTAGATAATCGGCTAGAGTCTAGACTTCAGAACACCTTGACCTAACGTAATAACTAAGTTGGTCTCAGCAATGACCATCAAAAAAAACTTCTCTGGATTCATGGAGCCTTAGAAGGTGGCACTTGGAGAGGTGGCTTGGGAAGGACTTTCCACTCCCAGCAGCACTAGAGGCCATGCCCCCAAGAGGGTCTCAGGTGCAGGGAGTGTCTTACTTAGCAGGTAGCAAAAAGTCATTTTGGCAGTTCCGAATCAAGTTAAAGTGGTTTGTAGATGAAGGGCCGGGCTCGGTAGCCTAGCTGCTAAAGTCCTTGCCTTGCATGCGCTGGGATCCCAATGGGAGCCGGTTCTAAGCCCAGCAGCCTCAGTTCCCATCCAGCTCCCGGCTTGTGGCCTGGGAAGGCAGTCGAGGATGGCCCAAAGCCTTGGGCTCCTGCACCCACATGGGAAACCTGGAAGAGACCCTTGGCTCCTGGATAGACTCAGTTTTGGCCATTGGTGGCTGCTTGGGACATGAATTAATGGACAGAAGACTTTCTTCTCTGACTCTCCTCCTCTCTGCATATCTGACTCTGCAATAAAAATTAAAAAATCTTTTTTTAAAAGTTCATGGAAAATTAGAAAGAAAAAACAAATTGAGCTTAGGGGTGAGCAGGCATTTGGCCTAGCGGTTAAGACACCAGCTAGGACGCCCACATGCCAGATCAGAGTGCCTGGGTTCAAGTCCTAACTCTGCTCCTGATGCCAACTTTCTGCTAGGGTACACCTTGGAATCAGCACCTGCTGCCTCAAGTGTGTAGCTACTGCTACCTGCTTGGGAGACCCGGGTTGAGTACCTGACTTCCCAGCTTCCGCCTGGCCCAAACCAGGCCAGCAATATGCAGGCTTCTGGGGAATGAATCGGCAAATGGAAGATCAAACTGTCTTTTCATCTCTCCCCTCTTCCCCACACTGCCTTTTAAGTAGATGAGAATAAACATTTTAAAAAGTAATTCTGGGGCCCGGCGCGGTGGCGCAAGTGGTTAAAGGTCCTCGCCTTGCACCCCCGGGATCCCATATGGGCGCCGGTTCTAATCCCGGCAGCCCCGCTTCCCTTCCAGCTCCCTGCTTGTGGCCTGGGAAAGCAGTCGAGGACGGCCCAAAGCTTTGGGAACCTGCACCCGCGTGGGAGACCCGGAAGAGGCTCCTGGCTTCGGATCGGCATAGTATCGGCCCGTTGCGCTCACTTGGGGAGTGAATCATCGGACGGAAGATCTTCCTCTCTGTCTCTCCTCTCTGTATATCCGCCTTTCCAATGAAAAAAATAATAAAAATAAATCTTTAAAAAAAGTAATTCTGCAAAATCCCAATACATGAGATTGAAGACAGTTCAAGATTTACAGCAATTAATAAAATTATGATACTTGGGTTTTCTGTGTAGACAACTTCCATATCTACATTCGTGCATTCAAACAAGTACAGATTGAAGAAAACATTTAAATGGTCCTGCTGTTTAAACATGCACATTTTTCTTATCATTGCTTCTTAAATAGCCTGGCATAGTAACTATTTATGTAGTATTTGCATTTCATTTGGTATTATTAATAATCTGGAGGTAGCTTAAAGTATGAGGGGGTTGCATAGGTATAACACAAACACTGCATTGTACATAAGGGACAAGAGCATCCATGGATTTGCGCACCTACAGGGGTCCTGGAACCAACAACCCCACAGACACTGAGTTTCTACACCCTGCTGCTTGACAGTGTGCTGTGACTCTGAGGCTCTGGGGTCCATGGCAGTGACTGCTGCTCCGTCTTCACCAGCAGTCCAGGCACGGTGGGATTTATTTGCCTTTCTGGGAAATCTCCCCAGCCCAGCTCCCCCGGACTGTCATGCCCCAGAGATTCCCTGACAGCCCAGACATGGTGTCAGGACTCAGCAGCCTCCCTCCTCCCCAGCCTCAGCAGGGTCACTCTTTCAGAAAGGAAAATGGCCTGCAACAGTGTTTCCCTACTAAAGAGAGCTCTGAAAGGGACTGAGCTCCTCCCAGACACTCCTATGCACACAAGGGTCATGGTACATCCATGGAGAAACTGCCACTTTCAAAGGAAAAGTTTCACTGTGAGGACATGACCAGACTGCTGAAAGTCTGTCCCTCACATGACCAGACTGCTAAAGGTCTGTCCCTCACACCCCAGAAGAAATGCTATTCAAAGCTCTCCCTGGCCTACAGCCAGCCAGCAAGAAAGAGGTCTGCTTGAACATGCTGCATCGTGCAGAGTACAGCTCCAGACTTTTCCCTAGCAATGTCACTGTTCCATGAGCACGTTAGGAATTCAGTTCCAGAGCTTTTGGCATGGGAAGAAAGTCAGGAACAGGCCTGGAGTCCAATGGAACCAACATTACCACAGCTTCTGGCTCCAAGGCTTTCAAATGGTTCATTCAAAAACGTAACTACCAGTCAAGTCTTTACCCAGGAACTGGAGTCAGGGGAAGTCCAGACCCCCCACATATGCTTAAACACAGTCACAGCAGCAAGTTTCAGAGATGTTTCATCTGATGGGGTATTAGGAATTGGATCTTGTTCTTAAAAGATGTATTCATTTACTCTTTTATTTGAAAGGCAGAATGTCAGAGAGAGATTTTTCTTACCTTTGCTGATTCACTCCCACAAATGGCCACACAAACACCCAAGACTGGGCCAGACCAAAACCAAGAGCCAGGAACTTCCTTCAGGTATCCCACATAGGTGGCAGGGGCCACAATGCCTGGGGCATCCTCTGCTGCCTTCCCAGAAGCCTTAACTGGAAACTGAATCAGAAAGGAAAAGCCAGGGCTTGAACTGGCACTCCAATGAGGGATGCCAGTGCTGGAAGAGGGAGCTTAATCCATCGCACCACACCACCAGTCCCAGGACGTGAACTTTACAGCAAGTCCCACCCACTATTCCAAGTCTACCAACGCCCATGGAAAGCATTTTGCAGCAAGCAGACTCACTTTCAGGCAAATTCTTCTCCCACATCATGCTAACCTCCAAGCAAAGCACTGCAACTCAATCCTGGCAAGAGCCCAAGGACGGGCCTAGTGGTTAAAGTCCTTGCACATGCTGGGATTCCATATGGGTGCCGGTTTGTATCCCGGCTGCTCCACTTCCCTCCCAGCTCCCTGCTTATGGCTTCCCTCCCTGGGAAGGCAGTCGAGGACGGCCCAAAGTGGGAGACCCGGAAGAGGCTCCCTGCTTCAGATAGGTTCAGTTCCGGCTGTTGCAGCCATTTGGGGAGTGAGCCAGGGGATGGAAGATCTTTGTCTCCTACTCTCCTTCTCTCTGTAAATCTGCCTTTCCAACAAAAAATAAATCTCTAACAACAAGAACAATGACAAAAGAGCACAAGGACTTGAGCCATCTTCTGCTGCGTTTCTGAGGTATACTAACAGAGCTGCATTGCAAGTGGAGCAGCTGGGACACAAACTGGCACCCATCTGGGACACTGATGACCACGGCTTTACCAGCAGTGCTAATTCGGCCCCAGTAATTTTTGACAGGTCTTAGTCCATAAACTCATAGATTTCAGGCAGGCTATTCCGTTACAAACCCCAAAACCGTGTTGATAGAAAAGGGAACTGCTGCTAGCCCCCAAGTTAAGTCAGCTCAACCCACAGAACCAATGTTCTGCCTTCCCCCAGCCTGTCATGTGACTAAGGCTAATCAGCTGTGTGATCTTCTATCTCACACAGGAGGTCAGGGCACTTCCTTCTGGCAGGCTCCAGGGTAGGCCAAAGGAGCTCAGGGTGCAGTTTCAGTTTCTCTCACCCCTGCTGGGGAAGGCCGATCCTAGCCTCCTGGGCCCACCATGGGAACGAAAAGGGACAGGTGGATGGAGGGCAGTAGCGGCTCTGCCTTGTAAAGCTGCTTCCCAGCTGCACAGTACCCCAACATTACAACCAAAGTCCTTTACCTTTAGGACTCTGAAGCCGTTCCAAAGGAAGAATGGAGATGGAGTTAGGGGCCAAGAACTAAGGAGTCAGACACTGTGACCCAGTGAGGAAAAACTGCCTCATCCAGTAATGGAGTGCCTGAGTTCGAGTCCCTGCTCCTTCACTTCTGATCCAACTCCCTGCTAACATGCCTGGAAAAGCAGTGGAAGATGAGCCAAGAACTTGGGCCCCTACCTCTCAGGCAGGAGACTCATTTAGAGCTCCTGGCTCTGGTCTGGCCCAGTCCTGGCTGTTGTGAGCATTTGGGGAGGGAATCAGAAGATAGAATCATGCATGCACATTGTTACTCAGCTTTTCAAGCAAATAAAAATATAAAAAATGTTAATTATGCGGCCAGTGTGGGGGCATAGTGGGTAAAACCATCACCTGTGAAGCCAGCATCCAAATTTGGGCACTTGTTCAAGTCCCAGCTGCTCCACTTCCAGTCCAACTCTCTGCTAATGTGCCTGGGGAAGAAGCAAGAGATGGCCCAAGTTCTTGGCTTCCTGCGCCCATATGAGAGACCCAGAGGAAACATCTGGATCCTGACTTAGTACTGGTCCAATTCCTGCTGCTGCAGCCCTTTGGGGAATAAACCAGTATTCCAGCCATCTTTAATCATCACCATGTCCCAAAGACTACAATCAACTGTATTTAAATACTGCCACACTGTCTTCAGTGCCTGAACTTGGAATTGAACTTGGAATCAGTTTGGTTTGTGGATTCCTGTAGAGGCGAGCAGGGCAGCTTCTAAAGGTGGCCCTTCTGGCCCCCATCAGGATGGTCTCCAGTGTGCACGGCATCCCCTTGGAAGTCCTAAGTGCTTGTGAGCAATTATCCTTCGCCCCTCGGTGTCCACGGACTCACTGTGGTTACAACGAGACCATGAAGAAAGCACACAGGATCAGCTAAGCTGCTGGACAATGTCAATCAAGACCAAGCAAGCCCTTGAGATGACAACACACAGAGATGTCAATGCCTTAAAACAGAGCGGCCAGTTCACCAAGAGAACTGGCCATTACATCAGATGTGGCCTAAAACCACCACCATGTGTAGAGGACAGAACCTAACCAGCAGGTGGACAAACTGCAACCCCACCTCACTTGAGGGTGTGAGCTTCCAATGAGGGGCCAAGTCTCACCCATGCAGCCCACAACTTTAGCCAGCCACAGGCTGGATGTCACTGGAATGTGCAACCAAGACAGATAACCAGATACCCACGTTCCCTGCCATCCCTGTGCAGCACGCAGCAGAATCTGCTTTTTCTTCTTCTTCTTTTTAAAAATTATTTGAGGGCCCGGCGCAATGGCGCAGTGGTTAAGGTCCTCGCCTTGCACGCCCGGGATCCCATATGGGCGCCGGTTCTAATCCCGGCAGCCCCGCTTCCCTTCCAGCTCCCTGCCTGTGGCCCGGGAAAGCAGTCGAGGATGGCCCAAAGCTTTGGGACCCTGCACCCGCGTGGGAGACCCAGAAGAGGCTCCTGGCTTCGGATCAGCATAGCATCGGCCGTTGCGCTCACTTGGGGAGTGAATCATCGGACGGAAGATCTTCCTCTCTGTCTCTCCTCTCTGTATATCCGCCTTTCCAATAAAAAATAATAAAAATAAATCTTAAAAAAATGAAAAAATAAAAATAAAAATTATTTGAAAGGTAGAGTTACAGAGAGATTTAAAAAAAAATCTTCCACTGGCTGGTTCACTCTCCAAATGATTGCAACAGCTAGGGCTATTTCTGTCAAAGCCAGGAACATCATTTTAGGTCTTCCATGAAGCACAAGCCCTTGAGTCATCTTCTGCTGCTTTCCCAGATGGGTTAGCATGTAGCTGGACCCTAAGTGGACCAGCCACCTCTCAAACGGTACCCATAGGGTGTTGTGATGACAACACGGGCTCCCAAAAGGATCTTTTTACTGGTACAGGAGGCTGCCCCTGTTATGATTCCTTCCTTTGTTTAAATAAACTCTGTTAAATTTTGTCTCCAGTGTTTCTTTGCATAGATGTGTCAAGGGACCAGGGAAATGTGGCTGGAGTTTGGACTTGTGAGGACACTGTCCTTATTTAATAATTAAGTGGTTTTCAGCAAAGACCACTCAGAGTAACCACATTGCTTTCACAGAGCCTTGACCCTTAACCCCAGACCTCAAAGAGCTCACTGGGTGGTGAGACCCTCAGGGAAAGAGGCCCCAGCTCCAGCAGCCTCAGGCCATCCTGGGAGGGCCCAGAAGGACAGGTTCGGTTAGCAAGCCATGCAAAGGCATGTGGTGGGGCCTGGGCATGTCCTGCAAGCCTGCAGGTCCAGGCTGGACCGACCTCAGAAGGGAACTCTACAGGGCTCCATGTGGCCTGCTCTGTCACACGGGAAACGGAGCTTCTCTCTGCTCCTGATTCACATCCCCCTTCCTGAACTCAGCACCCACCCCTAAACTCCTGTAAACAAGGCTGGGCCACCCCCAGTTCCTCCTGGTGTCCCCTGGCTCACACCCCAGGACCAGCTTGTGTGGGGAGAGATGACAGGGCATGCCTGACCCCCGCCCACAGACGTCACCCACAAAACCACTGCTGTGCCCCGTGCTCACTCACACAGAGGCCGGAGGCCCAGAAAGAGGCGGCAAGGGAACCCGCCCAGCCGGTGTCCCGGGGGGACTACAGAGTCCTTGCTGGGGTGGGACCTCTAGCTCTCACCTCTGGCAGGCTCCTAAAAGGGAGGCTGGCGTCCTCAGTGTCACCTAAGGATGGGACTTGAGGTCTGGGACCTTCTAGCTGGTTAACTAAGTCTTTGGGCTGTGTCCTCAGTCACAAGCAGGAGAGGAAACCCCAGCTACCTCCTGGGCTCCTGTGAAAGCAAAGCTGTGGCTGCTCGGCCCTGGCTCCCATATCCTGTCCAGATCCCACCACTCAAGCTGTGAATCCTGGGGCAAGTCCCTTCACAGCCTATTCCCATTCCTCTAAATATCAAGGGAGGGGAGCGATGCACTCAGCGGCCTTTAAGCATCTGGACAGCCTGAGAATATTATCTTGCCGGGCTGTGGAGCTTCAGCTTCCAACGCTGCCTCCTCCGTGAACAGGCAGCCCAGCTAGTCAATCCCTAAGGGCAACACCTCAGGGTGGCCGTGTCCTCTCGGATCCTGACTCGGAAGGTCCATCATGAGGGCACTTCACAGAGTTAACAGAGCTGTGACGCAACAGGTTAAGCTGTTGCTTGCAAAGCTTGGGAAGGCGCGGAAATGGCCCAAGTACACGGGGCCCTGCGACCACAGAGGGGTGCTGGATGGAATTCTAGGCTCTTGGCTTCAGGCTGGACCAGCTTCAAGTATTAAGGGCCACTTGAGGGAGTGAACCAGTGGCTGAAATATCTGTCTCTCCCTCTCTGTAACTGCCTTTTGGATAAACAATTTAAAAATAATTTTTTTAAAGGTTGATAGAAAATGCACATTATAAAAAACCAGAATGGGTGTTAAAAACTGAGTAATGGGCCTGGCGCAGTGGCCTAGTGGCTAAAGTCCTTGCTTTGCACACGCAGGGATCCCATATGGGCACCGGTTCTAATTCTGACAGCCCCATTTCCCATCCAGCTCCTTGCTTGTGGCCTGGGAAAGCAGTCAAGGACAGCTCAAAGCCTTGGGACCCTGCACCCGCGTGGGAAACCCGGAGGAGGCTCCTGGTTCTTGACTTTGGATCGGCTCAGTTCTGGCCTTTGCAGCCACTTGGGGAGTGAATCAACGGATGGAAGACCTTTCTCTCTGTCTTTCCTCCTATCTGTATATCAGACTTTCCAATAAAAATAAAAAATATATCTTAAAAAAAAAAAAGACTGTGTACCAAGATGAACATGAACATTTAAAAATCTATTTCCTGGGGGCTGGCATTGTAACAGGTCAAATTACTGTCTACAATGCCAGCATCCTATCTGGGGTACCAGTTTAAGTCTTAGCTGCTCCATTTTCGATCCTGCTCTTTGCAAGCGGCCAGAGAAAAGTTATGAAAGATGGTCGAAGTGTTAGGGACCTTGCCATTCACAGGGGAGACCCAGAAGAAACTCCTGCCTTTGAACTGGCCCAGCTCTGGCTGTTGGGGCTACCTAGGGAGTGAACCAGTGGATGCAAGCTCACTCTATCTCTCTCTTTCAAATAAACAAATATTAACCCAAACAAACAACAACAAAAAAACCCTCTAAGAAATAAATAAAACTTCACTTCGTAGGAGGATTTTTTAATGCCCTTGTATAGGTTTGATTTGGTTTTAATTCTGCTTCCTCTTTTTGCCTCCTTCCTGGTATGCAAAATATTCAGTGCTGCTTTTCTGAGTCTCCTGATTGTTTGGAATATTCTCTCAGAGACAACTTTATCCAGCCATGACAGACAAACCTCCTTAGCTCATAAAACCAGACCAGCGTTACTGCCGGGGCTGCCACAAGTAAACCCCCTTGTGAGGGACCCGAGGAGACCCCCACACGACGTGGTAGGGCTTGGGGAATTACTGCTGGGACCAGGCCTGACATCAGGGCCAGCGGCCCGCTGTTTCCTGCGACCCTGCAGCGCTTGCCCTCTGCCTCCCTGCCAAGGCCTTGCAAGGCCAGTCCCTGCCCTGGCCTCACTGCCCTGCAGGCGAGCTGGCAGAGCAGGCCAGGTAGAACTGCTCTAGCCTCACTCACCACGGCGGGCTCCCCAGTAACCCAGCAACCCAGCGGAGACCACAAGATCCACAGCCTGGTTTCCAGCTCTGGCAGGTCTCCCCATCTCAGCATCTACCTCCCTCCGTGTGAACCCCCAAAATGTTTGCAGAAAAAAAAAAAAAAAAAGCCCCTCCACGGATTCCAGGAGTGAAGAGTAACCATGTTTGTTTTTGTTTTTGACAACACCGTGGGTACTGAAAACTGTGATCAGAATAAAACAATTTTTGCAGAAATTCTTCCTTCCGACTCACACTCAGCACTGCCCAGGAGGGGTCCTGGAGCAGGACAGCAGGGCCAAGGAGCGCTGGTGAACTGGTTAAGGCCTCCTTCCTCCCCGAACGGGGCACCTCCCGGCAGGAGACCTGAAGATGGAAGGGGCAACCTCTCACTCAAGGAGCCCACGGTGACACAAATCCCAGGGCAGCAGGGCCAGGTCTCTCTCCAACAGGAGCTCAAACGTGGGATGTAGTTGTGTGTCCCCACATTCCCCCACCAGGTGCAGCTAGGTTCTGAAAATCCAAAAAGCTCTTAGAACTCCAAAGCCTTGACCTTGACCCAGCCCCCACAGGGTTCTGAGCCGGTCCCAAGGAAATTTCTGGAAGTCCTGAAAATCAACAGGTTTAAGGCCAGACACCGGAGTGTGCGTCCCCATCCTCAGGCACTGAGGCTGCTCGGGCCTCGGGTTCTCCAGTGCCCCGGCTGGGACCACCCACTCTCCTTCCGGTCTCCCGGGTCCCTGCTGGGATCCCTCCTCCGGTGCCACCACCCCCGGCCCCCATCCCGCCGTCCACTCCGCTCCATCTTCCCGGCCCGGGCATCCTTGCGCTCTACGCTGCCTTCCCCAACCCGGCCACCCTCTCACCTCTGCCCCGCGCCCCCCAGCTGCCCCGCCGCGTCTCGGGCTGCGCGCCTTCGGGATTGCGCTCCTCGGCGCTGCCTTGGGGTTCTCCCCAGTCCGTCCCTCCACCCCCGGCTCCCCAGCCGGGTTTCCGCCCGCACCCCTTCCGCACCGCGCCCGCGGGGAGAGCTCTCGGCGTCCGCCCCGCGGGCTCCCAGCTCGGCGCAGCCCCGTCCGTACCTGCGCCCGGGCAGAGCTGGCACCGCCGCCGCGGCGTCGCGGGCGGGCAGGCGGCCGAGCGCAGATAAAGGGGCGGCTGGGCGGCCCCGCCCCGAGCCGGGAGGGCGGCGGCGGAGCTCGGGGCGTGGGGCAGCGGGCGCCTCGCAGGGCCGGGCGGTGCGTAAGCTAGTCTCCCCCACCGCGTGCGTGTAGTGCACCCGCAGACCGAGGGGGCCGCCCACGCCGGCGCGACAGAGCCCTAGGACTGGGCGTAGCACACTTTTGGGGAAACCTTGGTATCCCCAGAGAAGCGGTAGTCCGGCAATGGCGCTGCGGAGGCTCCGGCCCCCATTTCCTTGCTTCCGGACGGACCAGAGCTAGAGCTCGTGCTTCTGGCCTGGCCGACCTAGAGGTGGCAGGACAAGACATGGCAGGACAGCGAGCCACGGCTCAGCGCACGGGCCTCGGGTCTCCCTGACTCACCCAGAGGCCTCCTAGAGACCCTCCGGCAGCTTCCCCAGACCACCAGCTGCGCGCACCTGTCTGGGTATCCACCAAAACACCCTTAACTATTCCCTAACATTGTTGATAGCGCAGTTGCGGGCTAAGGAGCCTGGCACATAGTAGGCCTTTAGGAGACAGAAGGCTGAGCTGAGATGAGATGGCTCAGCTCAAGGAGCCTTGCATCGGCTGGGAGAGGCTGTTGGTGGGTACAGTAGCCAGGACAGGCCCGGGCACAACCCCTAACTCACCGTGTGACCTTGGGCAGGTCTGTTGGGCCTCTCACTGTGGAGGCACTAACACAACCTAAGCGGGTTGTCGGGAGAATTCAGGGCGCCTGGGGCCGTGAAGGTTCCTTGTCTCCTGCCAAGTAGCAGAGGAACATGCATTTCTCTATTACAATGAAACACAATCGCATGAAACTGCTGTCTGCTTCGACTGATTCAAACCCATCGGAAGTGGTTCATCTCCATTACGCAGGTGGCTAAGAAAATAACACAGAAAATCCTCACCGGGAACCGAGTACAGAAAACGAAAACAAGGGCATGGTGGAAAAGAGCTTATACATAATAGAATAGGTTCTGTCACCATGAATAAAATTAAGAACCGGGAAGGGGCTTGGGTTCTGTTTGCATTTTTGGAACACCTGCTGTGGGGGGGGGGCGGGGGGAAGGGGTGTTTGTTTTGTTTTTTGCTTTCTTTTAAAGATTTGTTTTTATTATTTGAAAGGCAGAGAGAGCGCGCAAGAATAAATACAAGAGCGAGAAAAAAGGGAGTAAGAGAACGAGAGGAAGCACTTTGACCTGCTAGTTCGCTCCCCAAATGCCCACAACAGTCAGGGCTGGTCCAGGTCAAAGCCCGGAGACCTGGAACTCCACCCAGGTCTCTTACCTGGATGACAGGGACGCAAGCACTGGTGTCATTGTTAGTGGAGATGGCTGGAAGAGGGCTTCATGTCTACCCACAAGAAAGAGTGCAGGCATGACTCGCAGTAGGGAGACTGCAAGGTTTACTGGGTGAACATCCTTTGAATGGTCGGGTGCCTCTGCAGGTGGGATTTGGGACGGCCCCGGGGCAGACAGGCTTCTCCTGGGGAGCCTCCCTTGTGGACAGGGCTGGGACCACCTGTAAAGTTTCAGGGGCGTGGGTGGGTGGGTAGGAGGTCGGCTGCTTGCAGGGTGTGCTGCTGGGGCTGCTGTCTTCCCTTCTGCAGGTGCTTGGCTTTCCTCAGGTCCCTCCCCCACACACAGGCCGATGTCGAACTGGTTGCTTAACGCCATCACCTTCTACTTTCCAGGGTGCACATTCTGCTGAAGCTGGATCCGCAGCAGAGCACAGACGTCAACCTGGAGGAGGGACTCGAACCCTAGGCACTCTGATGCGGAACAAGATGTGAGTGCTCAAGGACTGGGCCACAGCACCAGCCCCCTGGGCTTGTGCCTAAAGCTCCTCCCACTATGAGCCACGCAGTTCATTGGATAGTTCCCATGACCACTTCCTTTGTTCCAGACACCCCTGTGAAACAGGTGTCATATTGAACCCATGTTGCAAGTTGGAAAACTGAGGTTCAGAGATATGACGAGAGACTTTAATACGATCTCACATGAGCCTCATGCAATCCTTGGAGCCCAGTGTGATGACCCTCATTTTATGGATTAAAAAAAAAAAACCAAAAAAACAGAAATGATGCATCTCAGATTACCCAGCTCCAGAGGAGTAGTTGGCCGCTTGGAAGTAGACCTGGGGATATGGTTGCAGAAGTCACCAAACCGTAAAAACTGGCCCTGGAGGCCTAAGAGCTGAATCATAAAAATACTGCAACTGTTGCCTGGGGTGCCTTCTGCTTGGCTGCTGGGCCTGTGAACAGCCCCCTTCCTCCACTCCCTACTGCTCCCTCCGCCCTCCCCCCACCACCTCCACCACCTACTGTGGTCCCCTAAGGGTGCTTGAATGTCTTCTCAGTGTGTGGATGAGGAAACAGGCTTGGGACAATGCCAGCTTCTGAAAGCCACCCAGTTGGCTAAGTGGCAAGTCTTGGCCTCAAGCCCGTCTCTTATCTGCTGACTGGCACCCAGGAATGAAGTTGGGGCAGGAACCCTTGCTTCCCCACCCTTCTGGGTTTGAGCTCCTTCTCAAGCCCAGGCAGGGTGAGAGTAAACCCCCACCCCTACTGCACCCCTTCCCCAGCTGGGACAGCCAGGGTGCCTCCCCTCCTTGCAGGCTGACAGCATTCTAGCTGCGTTCAAGATCAATGACTCAACTGCCGTAGAATCTGGAACCACCACAGTCCTTGAAACTCAGAACCCTCGGGCCGGCCGCAGTGGCCTAGCGGCTAAAGTCCTTGCCTTGAAAGTGCTGGGATCCCATAAGGGCAACAGTTCTAATCCCAGCAGCTCCACTTTCCATCCAGCTCCCTGCTTGTGGCCTGGGAAAGCAGTCAAGGACAGCCTTGGGACCCTGCACCCACGTGTGAGACTTGGAGGAGGTTCCTGGCTCCTGGCTCCAGATCCCCCTATCACTTGGGGAGTAAATCATTGGGGGAGGGGGCGGGGGGGGGAATCTTCCTCTCTGTCTCTCCTCTTCTTTATATATCTGACTTTGTTTTAAAAATAAATAAATCTTTAAAAGAAAGAAAAAAAGAGACTCAGAACCCTCGAAAGGAAACCTTTGCCTGCCCTCTTGACTCCCATTTCTGTCCCGAGAGGGGATAAGTTCTCCTGGGGAAAGTGAAAACCTGGGCAAGTCTCAGGTGAGTACTTGGAAGCAATCAACAACCTTCATAAGGAGCCAGGTTCTGGGGCTGGTACACTGGTACAGTGGGCTAATTCTTTGTGGTGTCAGCATCCCAAATGGATGCATGTCCCAGCTGCTCCATTTCCCATCCACCTCCCTGTTTGTGGCCTGGGAAAGCAGCAAAGGATTCCCCAAAGCCCTGGGACCAGGAACCTGTGTGAGAGACACAGAGGAAACTCCTGCCTCCTGGCTTCATATCAGCTCAGTTCTGGCCACTGTGGCCATTTGGAGGGTGAACCAATAGATACAAAGATCTCTTTTTCTCTGTGAAAAAAAAATGCCTTTCAAATAAGAATAAATATTTTTAAAATAATAAAAATTTAAAAAAATTCACAAAAAAGCCATACATGCATTTCAAAGTGGTTTTGCACCAAAATGAAATTGTGTTAATTTGTTGTAGAACGTGTCATTACAGGATCTACTTTGAGGCACTTAGAAATAAGATGATCAGTTTGAAAAGCTGCTTATGGGAGGAACACAACTTTCACTCAAATTGACATAAGCATAAGTGTCATATTGAAGGCGGAAGCTTGGGTGGAAGAACGGTGGGATGACTGATGCTTTATGAAAAGTTGATAGGGAAAAGGCACCAAAGGAATAAACAGCTGACAAAAGGATACTTGTTGCCTCACAGATTAAGCCACCAACTGCAACACTAGCCATCCCCAATGGATGCTGGTTTGTATCTTGGCTGCTTCGCTTCCAATCCAGTGACCAGTTGAATGTGTGTAGAAAAGCAGTAGAACATGGCTCAAGTCCTGGGCTGCCTAGAAGAAGCTCCTGTCTGCTGGCTTCGGCCTGGCCCCACCCTGGCCTTTGTGGCCATTTGGGGAAAGCCTTGCCTTTCTAAATAAATCTTAAAGAAAAAACGTCATCTTGTGTTTGTGCCCTAGCTAAAGAGGACCAATGACTAACAGCAAAACAGCCAACACAGCAGGCATCTCAACTGGCTGAACTCACACTGTTCTGACTGCAGAAATAAAGTGGAGCCAACCTTCTGCAGGGTTGCCAAGACTGCTGTGCTGAGTGAGATCAGTACAGACAAGCAGAGCTTCGGAGGGAAATGTCAAACAAGTGCGAGCAAGCTCCTGGAGCCTTTTCTGCAGGATTCCAACAAGCAATGGAACCTGGCCTTACCAGCAGATCCTGAAGGCAACATACAATCAGGACTGTGTCTCCTAAGTGGTGGATGTGATCAAATCAAAGCAGATCTGTCCAGCACAAAAGCCATGGCAATGGGTGTGTGGGGACGCATGAGGCATTTTGCTTGTTGACTTTCTCTAAGGCCAAAGAACGATAATATTTGCTTATTTTAAATATATATATATATATATATATATTTAATTTGAAAGGCAGAATTAACAGAGAGAAGGAGAGACAGAGAGAAAGATCTGCTGTCCGCTGGTTCACTCCCCAAGTGAGCACAATGGCCAGAGCTGAGCTAATCTGAAGCCAGTAGCTTCTTCCAAGTCTCCCAGATGAGTGCAGGGTCCCAAGGCTTTGGGCCATCTTCCACTGCCATCCTAGGTCATAAACAGGGAGCTGGATCGGAAGTGGAGCAGCCAGGACATGAACCAGCGTCTGTATGGGATACTGCTACTGTAGGCAGAAGATAAGGCTGCTACGTCATTGTACTGGCCCCTATAGCATCTGTGACTGTTTGGAAAAACTAGCCAAAGCTCCATCCGGAACAAACCTGAGAAAGCTTCACCGGAGCAACTTGTCCTTCCCCACAACAGGAAGGTTCCTGCTTGCCCCTCTCATCAAATATTCTTCAAATAAACATCCCTCCCCCTCCCGTTTGAATGGCAAACAGAAAGAGACAGAAAGATCTTCCATCTGTTGGTTCATTCCCTAAAAGTCTTCAACACTGCCCGAGCGCGGCCGCGTCGTCTCGGCCGTCTCGGCCGTGCAGCTGCCGCCGCCGCCTCCCGAGCCTGCTTACCCGGCTGTCCGCCTGCAGCATGAGCGGCCTGCGCGTCTACAGCACGTCGGTCACCGGCTCCCGCGAAATCAAGTCCCAGCAGAGCGAGGTGACTCGTGTCCTGGACGGAAAGCGCATCCAGTACCAGCTAGTGGACATCTCCCAGGACAACGCCCTGCGGGACGAGATGCGGGCCCTGGCGGGCAACCCCAAGGCCACCCCACCGCAGATTGTCAATGAGGACCAGTATTGTGGGGACTATGAGCTCTTTGTGGAGGCTGTGGAGCAGAACACGCTGCAGGAGTTCCTGAAGCTGGCCTGAGGCTCTCCCGGACTTGGTCCCCATGTCCTCCCCACAGCCCTCACCTGGCTCCGAGGACCGTGTGACCAAGCTGTCTGACATTCCTAACCTTTTGGCCTTGGAGTCCCTCTCCCTCACCCTGGCCTCCCTTCCTTGCTCCAAGGCTGTCTCAGAAACTGTCTTAAGCAACAGCCCCAGTGCTGGCGGTTCTAGCCAGTCCTTGGGGCCGCCACCTGCCTGCCTGGCACTGACGGGGCACTTCTGCTGGTTCCCTCAGCCAGGGCTCTGCCAAAGGCCCCACAGTCCCTTTCCCAGGAGCACCCTGGAGACAATTAAATGCCCCCTAATAGTGAAAAAAAAAAAAAAAGTCTTCAACACTGAGGGCTGGGCCAAGCTGACACCAGGAGCCAGGAATACACCTGTCCATATTCCTGGATGGCAGGGACCCAACAGCTGGAGCTGTCACCGGCTGCTACCAGGTGTGCATGAGCAGGAAGGTGGCATCTGGAGCCAAGCCAGGACTCAAACCTGAACACTCCTGCCTGGGATGCTGGTGCTCCAAGCAGCAACTTCATTGCTGGGCCAAACACCTGCCATGAAAACTTTTATTTTAAAACCTGAGTTGGTCAAGTCCAAGGAGCTCATGGTTTCAGTCAAGAACCCAGAGTCACCAGCCCACAAAAATGTGCCTGGGGCCAAAGACCAAACTGTTTTCTGTGCTAACACCATGGCATGGTGGCCTAAGCTTCTGCCTGTTGGCTCTGGCATCTGATATGAGAACCAGTCCATGTACTGGTTCCACTTCCAATGCAGCCCCCTGCCTATGGCCTGGGAAAGTGGCAGCGGATGGCCTAAGGCTTTGTGCCCTTGCATCCATGTGGGAGACCCCAGAAGAAGCTCCTGGCTTCAGATTAACCCAGCTCTGGCCATTTTGGCCATTTTGGGAGTGAACCAGCAGGTGGAAGATTTCTGTGTCTCTCTCCTCTCTAAAATCTGTCTCTCAAATAAAAACATAATAAATTAGAAACAAAAAACGAAAACTGGGCCTTATGCGATGACTCAGTGGCTAAACCCTTGTCTTGTAAGTACCGGGATCCCATATAGGTGCCAATTCATGTCCCAGCTGCTCCATGTCCCATCCAGCTCCCTGCTTGAGGCCTGGAAAACAATAGAAAAATACCCAAAGCCTTAAGACCCTGCACCCGCATGGGAGACCTGCAAGAAGTTCCAAGACCTGCAAGTAGCTCCTGACTTCTGACTTCAGATTGGCTCAACTCCAGCCATTGCAGCCTCTTGGGGAGTGAACCAGCAGATGGAAGATCTTTGTCTCTCCTTATCTCTGTAAAGCTGCCTTTCCTATTAAGAAAAAAAATCTTAAAAAAATTTAAATTTAAATTTAAAAAACCCAACCTTTTTTCTTTGGTACTAGGCAAGTCCCACCTTGTCCAGTGTGTGCTGGCTCCTGGTGCACATACTCCCTATGCACATTCTACAGTTAAAGTGCTGGCTGCTTTCCTTTTTAACTGTACGGTCTTGGAGCTCATTCCTTCCTTGTACACCCAGGCTTTCTGCTTGCTCCTCTTTCCTCCATTGTGCCTGGGGATCCTAATTTGCTTAACCCACCACTGTGTGGGCATTTAAGCTGTTTCCAGTTAATGGCTAATGAATAACCTTTCACCTACATCATAGCACTTGCTCACAAACAGAAACTCCTGGAAGCAGAAGGATCTGATAAGTATCGCCAAGCTCCTGGAGTGGGAGATACAAGTGCCCACTCTGCTTGCCAACAGAGCATGTGCCAAGCCTCGTGGTGCCTGCGGATCTGCTGGTGAAGACGGAACAGAGCACGTGCCAAGCCTCGTGGTGCCTATGGATCTGCTGATGAAGACGGAATCTTGGTTCCTGGCCGTTCATGGTTCTCTCCCCATGAGTGAGATTGTATGGTCACTAAACCATGTTTTAAGCAGAAATTCACCCATACAGCTCTTCTGAAAATGCCAGAGCTTTAATTTCCTGATTCCCTGAGTTTACTGTCATAGTCAGCCATTTGTTATCTTAATTGTAGGTTTTAAAAATATATAATTTTTTTTTTTATTGGAAAGGCAGATTTACAGAAAGAAGGAGAGACAGGGAACTTCCATCTGCTGGTTCACTCCCCAAATGGTCACAACAGCCAGAGCTTGGCCAGTCCAAAGCTAGGAGCCAGGAGCTTCTTGTGGGTCTCCCATGTGGGTATAAGGAGGGTCCAAGGACTTCACCCATCCTTCAGTGCCTTTCCAGATCATAAAAGCAAGGAGCTGGATAGGAAGTGGAGCTGCCAGGACTCGAATTGGTGCCCATACGGAATACTGACATTTCAGGTGGAGGATTATCTTGTCACACCACAGCTCTGGACCTTAATTACAGTTTTAAACAGAGAGGACAGAGACTCAAATAGTCTGCTCTTCTGTTTGGTTCGTGTTTCCCATGCTTGTGTGCCATGTCCTCCTCCTGGTCAGGGTGAGCTCAGATACAGTGCAGAGACTCAAGCTGGTACACATTTCTTGCCCATTCCAGGTGTCTGTTGGCTGAATTGCTCCTCCCATCTATCCCCATTCTGAGGTCCTGCACTGATGTCACAGCCCAAGATGCCACCTGCCAACTCTGCAGAGATGGAGCAGCTAAGGTTCAGGGGCAAAGTTGTATTGAATAAAGTGGCAGAGTTTAACAGGAGAAAAGGCATCCAAATGTATGAGTGTGGTGGTCGTGGGGGATGACTGTATGTATGGTGCAGTGGCTGCACAGGCTAATCCACCAACTGTTAGCATCTACTTCCTATAAGGGCATTGGTTTGTGTCCCAGCTGCTCCACTTCCAATCCAACTCCCCATTAATGGCCTGGGGGAGCAACAGAGGGTGGGCCAAGTCCTTGGGATCCTGCAACCACATGGGATACCCAGAAGAAACTCCTGACTCCTGGCTTCAGATTGGTTCAGCTCCATCTGTTGCTACCATCTGGGGAGTGAACCAGTCTATCCAATACCTTCTCTTTTCTATCTTCTTTCTCTGTAAAATCTGCCTTTGAAATAAAAATAAACGGATCCTAGAAAAAACCAAAACCCTCCCACATCCCACTTCAGAGTACTTAAGCTTGACTCCAGCTCCTTTTTCTAACATTAGCTTCCTTCTAGTGTAGGCCTTAGGAGACAATGATGATGGGGATCAAGTGACTAGGTCCCCTCCACCCTCGTGGAAGACCTGGACGACATACACCTGCCTCAACCCTGGGTGTTGCAAGCATTTGAATGACGAACCAACAGGCCGAAACGCTCTCTCTGCCTCTCATATAAACACATTTTTAAAGAGGTAGAAATAAAAAAAATACATTTGTATACTTGAAAGAGTGACAGAAAGAGACAGAGAGATCTTCTACCCGCTGATTCACTCTTCAAATGCCGTCCATAGCCAGGACTGGGCCAGGAGCAGGGGAATTCTCTCCAGGTTTCCCACGTGACTGCCAGGAACCCAAGTGCTAGGACCATCATCTGCCACCTTCCCCAGGTAATTAACAGGAAGCTGGGTGGTAAACAGGGGAGCCGGGACAAGAATCAGCGCTCTTAAGTTGTTACGGGTTAGAATTTTGATTTGTGAGTTGTACCTCAATAAAGCTGTTACACCATTTTGATTGATTGAAAAAATTGAAAAAAATTTTCAACTACCATCTTTTTTTAACTTAAAGACTTATTTATTTTTAATATACATATTTTTTATTTTGATGACTTTTACATAGTTGACTAGGGCTCAAAGGGTCAAGGGCTACTGGAAAGTGGGTAAGACCATTGTTTTCACATTCTCTTTTTTTTTTGTTCCTGTGTCTGGGGAAAGGGGAGAGACAAAGGGAGAAGCCACACCCACCCTTCCAACCATCCCAGGGTCCCCGATGTGGGGCATACTCTGAGGGCACTGCTCCAGTGGTTTCGATAGTTCAACTGTTCTGAATCGCTGCCGATCTTGCCGTCCTAAGCACAATGAAATCTCTTCAGCATCCACTGGCTGACATAGTCCAACTTGGCAACTCTACTTGCCCAGATTTTCAATGCCAACATGTGGCTGGGGTAGTGGAACAATTTGTTCTGTCCTCTGTGGTGGTACCAGGAGTCCTATCAAGACTTATTTATTTTTATTGGAAAGGCAAATTTACAGCAAGAAGGAGAGACAGAAAGATCTGTCCACTGGTTCACTCCCCAAATGGCAGCAATAGCTGGAGCTGAGCTGATTCAAAACAAGGAGCCAGGAGCTTCTTGCAGGTCTCCTACATGCGTACAGGGACCCAAGGCTTTGGGCCATCCTCTCCTGCCTTCCCAGGCCTTAAATAGAGATCCAGATCAGAAGTGGAGCAGCTGGGACACGAACCAGTGCCTATATGGGATGCTGGCACCTCAGGGTGGAAGATGAGCCTGCTGAGCCATGATGGTGGCCCCTCCAATTAACATCTTTCCACAATGTATTTTAAAATCTTTGTCTCGCACTGGATGAAGGATGTTATTTTCAGACTGACTATGTGAGTTTCATTGAGATCCTCTAGGAACTGCTTCTGGATCTCCCAAACTGGTGGCAGGGGCCCAAGCACTTGGGCCATCTTCTACTGCTTTTCCCAGGCCATTAGCAGGGAAATGGATCAGAAGTGGAGCATTCAGAATTGGATTCTGTGCCCATATGGGATGCTGGCATTGCAGGCTGGACCTTTACTTGCTGCACTAAGCACTGGTCACCAACACTTTATCTTGTAAATGACTAGTCAAGCTGGTGATTTCACAGCTGGAGAAACTGGGGCTCAGAGACGTAAGCAGCCTTGCAGAGGCTGCACAGGTCATTTCCCTGATGTGTAGGACAGACTGGCTTCATGTGCAAGGATCTGGGAAGTAGTTACTGAAGGAGCTGGGCTTGCCATGGCACAGGCAGCTCCTCCTTGCTGCATGAGGCCCTTCAACTCCTCCAGATGCTGCTTCAGCCCTGGCATCCTGCCTGTTTGTATGAGCAGGCACGCCCTCCTCTCCCAACGTTTAGAAAGCCCAGCTCTATTTGCAGACATGTTTTTGTTTGTTTGTTTGTTTTGTTTTCTGGGGCCAGCATTGTGGTGCAGAAGGTCTGGTTATCATTTATGACACCAGCATTCCATATCAGAGTGCTGGTTTGAGTCCTGGCTGCTCTGCTTCTGGTCCAACTTCCTGCTAATGTACCTAGGAGGGCAGTGGACTGTCTCCCACACAGGAGACCTAGATGGAAATCCTGGCTTCAGCTTGGACAAGCATCAGGTCATTGTGGTTGTTTGGGGAATACACCACCCAGTGCAATCTCTCTTTGTGTGTCACTCAACCTGGCCAAGTAT